TTAAGTAATTTAAAATTGCCAAAAAAGTATCTCTGGAATCGATCGCTGCATAGTTCCCGCTTAAACCCCGGTAAAAAGCCCCCACAAAAGCATTTTTACTAAAATTGCAATTATTTTTAAAAATTTCCCTTTTGGGGAAAGGAACGCGCGAATGTTTTGTGCGAAAAAATTTTCGACCCGTATTAATTGGGGCACAAGCCCCGCGATTTAATTGCGGGGAAATGAAAACCCCGGGGGGGATGCCCCGTCGAGGAAAGATAAAGGGAAACTTTATCCGGAAATTTAATTTCCAGTCACTGAATTTTAAAAAAATTAAGGGTTTTTAGGTTTTTGTAAATGTCATTTTTAAAACAGTTTTTATTTTGGGGTTTTTGGGAAAATTTTAAAAAAGTTAGGGGAAAAGTTGAAACCCGAAAAATTGTTGAGGGTTTTTTTAAAAATAGGAAACTTTTTTTTTTTGCGGTTTTTTAACGAATCAAAACAATAGAAATTAGAAAAAATTATTAAAAAATTTCCCTAATATAACTTCCAATGTTTGGTTATTTAAAAAAAGTGAGTAAAAGTTTTCATCAAGGGTATAAATAAATAATCTTCTTTTGCCATTTAAAAAGAAGAAATATCCCTTTTATTTCCCCAAACCCCAAAATTTAACCCCCTTATTTGTTGTTTTTTTAAAGCGTTTATCCCAAAAGGGGGGGGGACTTTAAATCTCTGGTATTTTTGGGGGAGGGGGGGGGGCTTTAAATCTCTGATTTTTATTTGTTCTTTTCACAAAAAATTTTTCCCCCTTTCAAAATTTTTTTAGGGGTTCCCCGTATATTTTGAAGATTTGTTCCTCTTTTTCGTTCATTTTGCTACCAGCCGTTTGTGTGATGGAGATGTTGAATAAGGTTTTTTGCAACAAAATTTTGTGGGTGTTCGCGTTGGAAGTTTTTTTAGGGAAAAATTTTTTATCTTTGTAGAGTTTTTTTTTTTGCTTTTTGGTTTGGGTATTTTAAAGGTGAAAAGAAAAGGGTTGAAGGGCCCGCTAGTAAATTTTAAAAAAAACTGCATGAAATTAGTTGCAGACCCAACTGCTAGGCCTGCAACAATCCCAAAGGTTTTTTCCAAATGAAAATGACACTACCATCTGGCTTTTGTGTTTTAACCCAAATTAAGTCGCCGCTCCCCGGTTTTAGAAAACCCAATAATTTCATACCCTCCCCAAAAAAATGGAAATTTGGAAAAAAATAAGATAAGATGGGGGGAAGGGGGTTTTGGGAAATTCCCTGGATCTTAAAAAACAATTTTTTTCCCTTTATTTTCGTGCCCCCAAAGTAAGGTTTTTATAATTTTTTCCCGATTTGCAAACAAAGAGGAAAAACAATGATGCCCCTGGGAAAGATTAAACGGGGAAAATCAACTGAAATTTCAGGGCCCCTTGTAAAAGTTGTATTTTCCGGTTTTTTGTTTTGGTTTTTTTTTGAGCTCTTGCGTCTTGTTGAAAATGTCCTGCGTGAGCCCCCCAAAAGAATGCCGAGAGAAAGAAGTAAAAATTTGGGAAAATGCAATCCCCGTTCCCCTGCATTTAGAGAAAAAGAGAGGATTTCCCGAATTGCAAAAAATTTTTTGGTGGGGAACCCCAAACTTTTGTGAAGAAAACGTAGGGCCAAAGGGAACAGAGTAACGTTTAGGTTTAGTTGGTTTAATGTATTTCCCTTTTTTTTGGCTTTTTGAAAGGGGCGTTAAAGGGAAAAAGTAAAAGAGGAAAACTTAAATTTATCACAAAATGATATAGCTAACCGGGTTCCCTTTTTCCTTTATCCCCTTTCTTTTTTGGGTGGCAGGCAGCAAAATTGTTGTGTGATTGCGGTAAAAGGGGAAAGTTCCCTCATCATTGAAAAATGGTTTTTTCAGCCCTTTTTAAAAAAATCATTTGTTGTTGTGTTCAAATAATAAAAACCTTTTCTTTTGTTTTGTATGGAAAGTTGGGATTTTTTTGTTGGGGAAAATCAAAAAAAAAGTTTTTTTTATATGATTTGTTTCTGGTTTGAGTGATGAAGTTGACCGATACAATAGGAAAAAACCTATTTTGTAGCTTCGTTCAATTTTGGGTTTGGTAGAAGTTCCTTTTGTTTTGGAAATTTTTTTTGCCAAATTTACCCGCCCCCGTTAGCCCCTTTACCCTGGGGTCCCCAAATTCAGCTTTAATTGGGAAGATTTGATTTTTGGGTTTTTGGCTTCTGAGCACTCAAATTCCCCCTCTTTTTTTTTAAAATTTTTGGAAGGATTTGATTCTGTAGAATAGAAAAGTCGTGATGTTTTTCCCTCTTCTTTCGGAAAGCTTTAAAGATTCTATGGACCTTTTTGATTTTTCGTTTTTTAGAAAGGGAATTTGGGTTTACTCCTCTTTTTTGATTTGTTTACTTAACGATTTGGCAGAACTGGGGCTGGTTTTTTTTTGAGGAGAATTTTCCCAAAAGGGTTTTGATGCCAAAAAGTGTTTGCATATTGGTTTAAATTTTTTGTGACAGATTTATCTCTGGGCTCCCTGATTTTCTTCTCCTTTTAGGGGTTTCCCTTTTTTGTATTTCCGGGCCCCTTTTTAAAAGCATGTTTACCCCCGTAAAAGGGGTCAGAGTATTGGGTTGGCAGTTTTCTGGAAACGTTTCCCTTTTCTGCAGGGACCCCCGCAAAAAAATTGAACCCCCCAGTGCACAACCTGAAAATTTTTGTTATTTTTTCTTTATATACCCTTTCGTTTAAGCATTGGGGTTGTTTTTAATACCCTTTTTGGAAAAGTTTCTTTGTGAAGATGATTGGAAAATAAAAAGGAAAGATTTTTAAAGATAATTTGGGGTTTAAAAGGGGGGGTTAAAAAATTTAAAAAAAAGTAGTGAACCCGTACCACCCCCCCCCCCCCCCCCCCCCCCCCCCCCCCCTTTTGGGGGTTTTTGGAAAAAAATTCCCCATTTTGTTCCAAAATTTATTTAGATCACCCGGGAAATTTTGTGAAAATTTAAAAATGGGCCGGGAAAGGGAGGCCCTAGTTCTGTAAACCCGTCCCTAATGGGGCGGTGGAAAAAAAATAGTCAGGTGGCCTTTTTTGCTTTAAAAAATCGTTAATTAAGGGAGATTATTTTTAAAAATATACACTGATAAAGTGTTGGGATTCTTTTGAAAAAATGTGGGGGGGGATTTTTGAAAATAATACTTCATCCGGCCGGCCCGGGTAATCCCGCCCAAATTTGTGTGGGATAGGTTGTACAGTAGAAATTTGGTTATTTGTTTTTATAGTATTCCCTTTTTGTGTGCAAGTGTGAATTTTTTTCGTTTATTTGGGGATGGGATTTGTTTAGGGCCCTGTTTGGGATAGGGGGATAGATAAGGGAAAATTAAAAGATTAAGGAAATTTTGTGGGTTTATCAAATTTCCCCATTCTGTCGAATATCCCTTAGCTTTCAGTTTGCTTTTTTAAACAGTACAAAAAGATGTTGCAGTATGAAAAGTTCTTTCACAAATTTAAAAAGGAAGACCTGGGCTGCTTTTTCGGGATTTCCCGTGCGCATTTTATTCGGAGTGGTACAAATCATGAATTAAAATTTCTTAATTGAAAGAGAATTGAAAAAGAAATAAAAAGTACAATATTGGGGGTAAGAATTCAGCGTGGGGAGGGGGCTATCAACTTTTACATTCTGTTTGGAAACATCTTTTGTAATTTTCCCGCATTACAAGAGCGCAAGGATGATTCCCGCAGTACTGCAGAGTTTCATCACAACTATACCGGAAGAATTGGGTTTTTTCTGTTTTCCCCCTGCAAATTCATCTGTGGAGTGGTTTTTTAAACGAATTTGATTAAAATCTCTTTTGAAAGGAAAATTTATAGAAATAAAAAAGAAAGAATTTTGGGGATAAGATTTATCGTGGGGGTTTTTCAACTTACCCAATTTTGTCGAATTTTAAATTTGCTACAGTTTCCGCATTTAAAACGTTAAAAAAGATGCCCCGCAGTATGACAGGTTTCTCAAAATATAACCCGGAAAAATGTTTTTTTCTTTTTGTATGTTCCCCTTTGGATTCTTTGGGGTTTGGGAAAAAATTTAATATGATATCTTTATTGAAAGAGCATTGATAAGAAATAAATAAGATAAGAATATTGGAGATAACAATCTCATCTTGGGTTTATCAACTTACCACATTCTGTCGAATCATCATTAGCTACAGTTCCAGCATTACAAGCAGTACAAGAAGATGCTCCTGCAATACTGACAGAGTTCTCATCACAACTATCACAGGAAGAAATGTGTGCGTCTCTGTATGTTTCCCGTGCACATTCATCTGTGGAGGTGTTACAAATCATGAATAAGACAATATCTTTATTGAAAGAGAATTGATAAGAAACCTAAATAAGAACAAATATTGGAGACAAGAATCTCATCGTGGGTTTATCAACTTACCACATTCTGTCGAAATCATCATTAGCTACAGTTCCAGCATCACAAGCAGTGCAAGCAAGATGTCCCTGCAGTACTGACAGAGTTCTCATCACAACTAACACAGGAAGACATGTCTGCTTCTTGTATGTTCCGCCGCACCAATCATCTGCGGAGTGGTACAAATCATGAATATGATATCTTTATTTGAAAGAGAATTGATAAGAAATAAATAAGATAAGAATATTGGAGATAAGAACTCATCGTGGGTTTATCAACTTACCAACTTGCAATCATCTGTGGAGTGTACAAATCATGAATAAGATATCTTTATTGAATGAGAATTGATAAGAAATAAATAAGATAGAATATTACAGATAAGAAATCGTATCATGAGTTTATCCACTTAGCAACATTTGGTCATTTGTCTTATATTCCAATTTTTGTGCAAGTGTGACATTTTTCTCGTTTATTGGAGACCTGGGATTTGTTATAGGCGTGATGGTGATAGAGATAGATAAGAATATTACAGATAAGAATCTCATCGTGGGTTTATCAACTTACCACATTCTGTCGAATCATCATTAGCTACAGTTCCAGCATTACAAGCAGTACAAGAAGATGCTCCTGCAGTACTGACAGAGTTCTCATCACAATTACACAGGAAGACATGTCTGCTTCTCTGTATGTTCCCGCTGCGCATTCATCTGCGGAGTGGTACAAATCATGAATAAGATATCTTAATTGAATGAGAATTGATAAGAAATAAATAAGATACAAATATTGGGGATAAGAATCTCAGCGTGGGTACTGGGTCTATCAACTTACCACATTCTGTCAAATCATCATTGGCTACAGTTCCAGCATTACAAGCAGTGCAAGAAGATGCTCCTGCAGTACTGACAGAGTTCTCATCACAACTATCACAGGAAGACATGTCTGCTTCTCTGTATGTTCCCGCTGAGCATTCATCTGCGGAGTGGTACAAATTATGAATAAGATAATATCTCTTTTGAAAGAGAATTGATAAGAAATAAATAAGATAAGAATATTGGAGATAAGAATCTCATCGTGGGTTTATCAACTTACCACATTCTGTCGAATCATCATTAGCTACAGTTCCAGCATTACAAGCAGTACAAGAAGATGCTCCTGCAATACTGACAGAGTTCTCATCACAACTATCACAGGAAGACATGTGTGCGTCTCTGTATGTTCCCGCTGCACATTCATCTGTGGAGTGATACAAATCATGAATAAGACAATATCTTTATTGAAAGAGAATTGATAAGAAATAAATAAGATACAAATATTGGAGACAAGAATCTCATCGTGGGTTTATCAACTTACCACATTCTGTCGAATCATCATTAGCTACAGTTCCAGCATCACAAGCAGTGCAAGAAGATGCTCCTGCAGTACTGACAGAGTTCTCATCACAACTAACACAGGAAGACATGTCTGCTTCTCTGTATGTTCCCGCCGCACAATCATCTGCGGAGTGGTACAAATCATGAATATGATATCTTTATTGAAAGAGAATTGATAAGAAATAAATAAGATAAGAATATTGGAGATAAGAATCTCATCGTGGGTTTATCAACTTACCAACTTGCAATCATCTGTGGAGTGGTACAAATCATGAATAAGATATCTTTATTGAATGAGAATTGATAAGAAATAAATAAGATAAGAATATTACAGATAAGAATCGTATCATGAGTTTATCCACTTAGCAACATTTGGTCATTTGTCTTATATTCCCAATTTTTGTGCAAGTGTGACATTTTTCTCGTTTATTGGAGACTGGGATTTGTATAGGCCGTGATGGTGATAGAGATAGATAAGAATATTACAGATAAGAATCTCATCGTGGGTTTATCAACTTACCACATTCTGTCGAATCATCATTAGCTACAGTTCCAGCATTACAAGCAGTACAAGAAGATGCTCCTGCAGTACTGACAGAGTTCTCATCACAATTAACACAGGAAGACATGTCTGCTTCTCTGTATGTTCCCGCTGCACAATCATCTGCGGAGTGGTACAAATCATGAATAAGATATCTTAATTGAATGAGAATTGATAAGAAATAAATAAGATACAAATATTGGGGATAAGAATCTCAGCGTGGGTACTGGGTCTATCAACTTACCACATTCTGTCAAATCATCATTAGCTACAGTTCCAGCATTACAAGCAGTGCAAGAAGATGCTCCTGCAGTACTGACAGAGTTCTCATCACAACTATCACAGGAGGACATGTCTGCTTCTCTGTATGTTCCCGCTGCACATTCATCTGTGGAGTGGTATTAATCATGAATAAGTTAATATCTCTTTTGAAAGAGAATTGATAAGAAATAAATAAGATAAGAATATTGGAGATAAGAATCTCATCGTGGGTTTATCAACTTACCACATTCTGTCGAATCATCATTAGCTACAGTTCCAGCATTACAAGCAGTACAAGAAGATGCTCCTGCAGTACTGACAGAGTTCTCATCACAACTATCACAGGAAAACATGTCTGCTTCTCTGTATGTTCCCGGTGAACATTTTTCTGAAGATGTTATATTTTATTCATAATGTAAACAATCGCTGCTAGCATAACAGATGATCATTCTGCATCTATGTAAAATATGTTTAATGGATTGATATAGCCTGACATTAGAGTACATTAGAGTACATTAGAGTACATTAGAGTACATTGGAGTACATTAGAGTACATTAGAGTACATTAGAGTTCATTAGAGTACATTTGAGTACATTTGAGTACATTAGAGAGTTCACTTACGACACTTAGTATTATACGTATTAGCCACATATCCACTAGAACATATAGTACAAGAAGAAGCTCCAGCAGCACTGATGGTGTTTCCTTCACAGCCTTTACAACTACTCATGTACGCACTCCTGTACTTGCCTGCTGGACACTTTTCTGAAAATGGTTGACATTTGCAATTTGCTTGCTGATGCATTCATATGATTGCATGGTGTCGCAAAACATATGCGTATTGAATAACGATACAAAAGGAAAATGCTAGTGTTAGTTTATTTGAGAACCTGTCTAATAGAACTATTAGTAGAAGTAATTATAGTATTAACAATATTAGTAGGATGCACGTACGTTCACTTCTGTTCCAAGTCAAATATTACAATACTTATAATGCACAATTCATTTCATCATACTTCAATACTACAATATTTCATCACACGAATTTCGGGTGTTCTCTCCAGTTTTCCTACCGTCTTTTGTATGGTAAGGGTGAGCAGATGTAGCATGAGTCAGGAAGAGAAGTATGATGACAGTTCCTCTGAAAACCATATCACAAAGCTTCTATTGTCCTTCTAAGTATCATAATTCCTAGAATAAGCAAGGTAATGACTTAATAATCAGTATGAGCAATGTAATGACATACTAATTAGTATAAGCAATGTAAGATAGGAAGGCTGGACTTAACTTACCATGAATATAGCTAAAGCTACGTAAGTTTAATCCCGAAGACCTCCGCAAACAATCATGTAAACAACAAAATGATTTTTTAATTAGGTTTTCGGAGAGGCCAGAGCAGAAGAACTACGTATAAAGTATATATAGTATAACCATATTATGATTAGAAACGTTATTTTTGAAATTAGCTAGTAACCAGATACCTATCATCATATTCCATCTCTAATTCTCGCAGTTTTAAAATAGTACGCAATTCAACTATCACGCCTTTATCATAAAGTGTCTGATCACGGTCTATCTACAAAAGTGTGATGTTTGCCGACCAGATTCCAGACCCTTATGACGCACAATCCTAATTCTCTGTGCCTTTTACCGTCACGTAATTATTAACAATCTTCTGGCTATACATTGCATGTGTAGGGAAGAAGAAACATGGCACTTCGCCAAGTATTGGTGTAATGATAATTTAGTTGATTTAGTTAGGGTATTATGAACATTTACTGGAAACCGATTTGCCACAAGCATTTCTGTGTAATTAAATATGTTGTCCATAGTTGTCCAATGTGTTGTCCATAGTTGTCCAGTCAGAAGCCCAATAGGGACATTTGACTTTGCTATAAAAGTGTGACTATGACGGTCTCACATTGAGCTCTTAAGTGCCTTGTTATTAGGGCGAGAAAATATGCTCTAGCTAGTTGTGCCCATCAGATCCACTTATACAAGTCTAGCTAGTTGTGCCCATCAGATCCACTTATACAAGTCTAGCTAGTTGTGCCCATCAGATCCACTTATACAAGTCTAGCTAGTTGTGCCCATCAGATCCACTTATACAAGTCTAGCTAGTTGTGCCCATCAGATCCACTTATACAAGTCTAGCTAGTTGTGCCCACCAGATCCACTTATACAAGTCTAGCTAGTTGTGCCCATCAGATCCACTTATACAAGTCTAGCTAGTTGTGCCCATCAGATCCACTTATACAAGTCTAGCTAGTTGTGCCCATCAGATCCAACACATTCCTGCGCAGAAATGCTTGTGGAAAATCAGTCCACAGATGGTTTGATATTTATGCTTATTGTCTAATTAACCAGATAATAATTGTAAATTGAAATTTAATAACACCGCTTTTAAGATACAACTTATACTCAGCAGTGTTTGAACTAGTCATCCCAGAAAATACCATGAATACTGAGTTCAGAAGGTAACTTATGCTTGAAAATATGTCGTCAATACTAAAGCCAGAAAATGGTAGTACTTAAATATATTATGCAAAGATCGAATACCAAGTATGACCAAAATAGTTATCGATAAAGTGTTTCAAGGTCATCTAGGGACAGTTTAAAAAGGAACGTTTGAGAACTGAGGAGATGGTAACAGGCAGACGATTGTAGATCTTTGGAGTCACCACAGAGAAGCTACGCTCACCAAACTTTAAATTACAAGAGGGAACAATAAGCTTCAATGAGTGATCATGGTGAGAATACTAGAACATGTCCTGCAGATAAGTTGGTGCCAATCCTAACAGTGGCTTGTGAGATAGTTAGTTAGATTTTGAAGACAATCCCTTTCAGCTATATCTTGTTATTAAGAATCTGCTGACTGTCATCCTTGTTATACATGACAATGCATCAAGATACGTAGGTATAGGAAACCTTGCCCTTGGCAAGTTGCCATGTCCATTGTTCCCGTATAATTACAAGGAGAGGACGCTACTAAATTAAACATGACAATCAAATTAAACGGCATAAAGTTAATTGGAAACAAGCTTCAGTCCTCAGTAGTATTTCAATAGTCAACTGAAAAGGATACAAACTCTGCAATATTTCACATCACAATATCACTCAATAGGAATGTGAAGAAAGGAATGAGTTTCATGAGGTAAGTTATGATGTGGTATAAACACTAAACAGTGCTACTTAATCAGCTCTACCTCGTATTAACTAACAATTACACAGCAGTGTGTAGACAGTTATTGAGTTATTCGCATCCTATTTAAAATTCCTTCATCAGTCATCTGGAATGATATTATTCTGATCTGTCATTGTGACTAATTATTCTATTAACATGATCTGATAGGTTTACGGAAGTTGATACAATGCCAAATTATGGAAGGACAAGGTCAGCAATGTTGCATTGTATGGTAGCCTACCAAGGCTGTCAAAAAATTACGAAGCAGGAGATTAAAAATAGCTGGACACTGCATCAGGCTTCTTGAGCTACTGGCCAGTGATTTAGTATTATGGGAACCTGTGCACTGTGCAGCGCATGGTAGAGCACAGCAAGGTTGACCGAGACAAAGCTTTTTTATCATTTTATTTGATTATGTTACTGAAGGAAGTTGGGACAAACTCTAAAGAGGAACTGCGAACCCTGATGCGGGACACTTCAAAGAACATAGCAAAAAATACTGAAACGCTTATCATGTTACAAACCAGGAAACCCCTAAATAGAGCTTGCTCTTAAACAGCCGATTGGGAGACAGGGACAAAAGAAAATCGCGATACCGCGATTTTCAACAGACTATACGTAAGACTATACATAAAATTTGTCGCAAATAATGGGAAAAATCGCGATTTCCTTTTGTCCCTGTTGGGTGAGGATAATGGACAAAAATGCACGGTATTCGGAATGCACGACTTTTCAGGCAGCGAATTTTTGTAAAATTGTAACTAAAGATATGGGGTTTATCGTGAGTGTTTCGAGGTATTCGGTGGCACGGACGAAAAGCAAAAATTGAAAAACGAATTATCAAGTCGTGAATATATAATGGCCCCTACTAACAGTTGAACTCCTACTATGATAGTTGAGCTAACTACACTGTTGTCACTCACCCACGGGGCGTCTCGACCACTCTAAGTTTTAATGCTTTCAACACTATTATAATATATAACAATTAACAAATAATTTGTTAATGTAAGACAACAGCTCTGCGTCATCCGTTACCTTATCATTATATTTATAGCTCATTTAAAATGCTTATATTAAAACGTATACTATCTTGCAGAGAAATAACTAAATAATCAAACCTAACCATACTATTTGATTTTGGCCGGAAGTCTAACTCTAAGTTATTCGATTTTGGCCGGAAGTCTAACTCTAAGTTATTTGATTTTGGCCGGAAGTCTAACTCTAAGTTATTTGATTATTTGATTTTGGCCGGAAGTCTAACTCTAAGTTATTTGATTATTTGATTTTGGCTGGAAGTCTAACTCTAAGTTATTCGATTTTGGCCGGAAGTCTAACTCTAAGTTCTCGATGGAATGCAGTGTGTCTGCAGTGATAATTTCTAAATAATAATACCTTACTCTCAAGTTTTATAGTATAGTATAGTACAGTTTATAGTAGAGTACTATGTTCTTGTAGAGTACGTATGTTTGGAGTATAGTATAGTACAGTTTATAGTGGAGTATTATGTTCTCGAAAGTATGTTTATAGTATAGTATAGTACAGTTTATAGTAGAGTACTATGTTCTTGTAGAGTACGTATGTTTGTATAGTATGTTCTCGAAAGTATGTTTGGAGCACAAATTTGCAGATTCAACTGACTCAATTGTCGCTAATGAAATAGAATCGTATGATTTTGCATTTTTCAGACAACAAGTTTGAAGGGGGTTGTAGTAAAGTAGGATTAGGTGCAACTTATTAGGGTCAAGTATTTATTTAGGTTCTTAGGGTTTTAGTACAGTTTCTATCATCAAACTAATTACAACACTACAAATCTATTACATTTATTGAGAATTATGTAATAGATATAAATATTTTAAACGGGGATATCCTGTCCAAACCCAGGATGCACTACATGAAGAATTCGTTGTAACTTTGTTTAAAAAGCATTAATAGTTATATTTAATTCTTACAGTCCACTAGGGTAGAGTAATATCGTATTTTTCTCCATATTTTAGAGCCCTTTTAGTGCAGGGTTACATTCATTTAGATTTTAGTTGCACTTATCTTTACATTTTACAGCACTGCGTGTAAATGGGCGGAAGTAAAGGACTTTCTGTAGTCACGCGTGATTGAGTCACGCATTTCGGCAGGCTATTTAAGGGCTGACAAGTTTATTACCGGGGTAGTATGTTTAATCAAGAAAGCATGGAGTATTTGGATTTATCGTAAAGTGGTATTCTTACGACACTACGTTTTAAATCTTGAAATAATCTATATGTTTCTATACTTTTAGCAGCAAGTATTAGGAATAAAAACTCGAATGATAGCCGCAGTTCAGTTAACTAAACCCTCAAATTGTAAATCGTAGGACAACAATATCACATTTTTAAAGATGCATGTGTTTAGTGACATCAGAAATATTAACTAACGAATTGTAATTTTACTGTCAAATAACTCAAGAAATTCAAAATAACACTGTATTTATAAAGTCAAGTTTAACATCAATACAAACGCTCAAATTAAGGTTCACTATTACAAGTACAATGTTCTAAGAGCAAGGGGTCGTCTACATATTACGTTATCAGCCGAGGGGGGGGGGGGGGGGGGGGTTCGAAATGATTACGCTAGTGTAATTTCGATACAATAGTTATGTGTAAAACTGATTAAGGAGGGGGGCCGGGGGGGGGGGGGTAAAAATGTCCACAAAGTGATTACCGTGTACTATGTGAACGACCCCTAAGAGTAAGATAATAATATATGAAGTTCACTATGTTTTATAGTCAAACACTACTTGTAAACAGTTAAGCTAGATAATCCTGACTCAGATCACAAGTTGTAATTTATCATCACCTCACCTATCACCAACTTCTTGGTATTGATCATATCTGTACCGATTATGCACTTTTCTATCCATTTCATTTGAATTAAGTTACATATTTTTTGTTTTTGTTTTTTTCAGAATCACATCGTTTATTTGTTTATTCTACAGCGCGTCCTCCAAAGCATGAATGTGCCCATGTCCATGATGAACATGGACATGCTCGTGACCATGACCGTGACCATGACCATGACCATGACCGTGACCGTGACCATGTTCATGTTCTGGGTGAAGGCCGTGGTCGTGGTGGCCAGGATGGAAGCCAGTAGACTGGGTCGATGGTACTGAGTGTGTTAGGGACTGTCCCATCATTCTGAACTTTGCCATCCAGAACTTTACACAATCTTCCTTTAGTACCACGTAGAAGAGGAAGATAAAAACACCCTGAAATATCATGTATTATATAATATAATGTAATATAATGTAATATAATGTAATATACTGTAATATAATGTAATATTATGTATTATATATAATGTAATTTTATGTATTATATAAGAGATGGTACACTGGTTAATGTTTACTATAATATTGAAGTAATACATTAAAAGTAGATACTTGTAGGACATACCAACATATCCAAAAATTTAAACAATGTACCGTAAATAACAATACCTGTGGGGCATTTAGTGCAATAAAGAGCCATCTGAAGACCGCATTGATGGTACTATAGTTGGAGTTGTTCATCAGAAGAAAGAAACCAACAATCCAACTCAGACCCAGAATAATTGTCACCGCTAGTGCTGATTTCACCTGCTTCTGTGAACCAAAATAACTGTGATTAGACTTTGAATTATTAGCAGTGCAAGTTGTTAACGAACAGATTCTCAAATATCAGGATCTATCCCGTAGCCACTAACCGTTCTCATTTTGATTTCAGCTTCGTCCGTTTTCTCAGCTTGGGTCTTGATAGCAGTCATAATAACTTTGACTATGAAGACAAATAAGACCCAACTAATGACCACCCCTAGTACCACTGGACCGTAGAACGTTGCAATACCGTAGGGGTATTTGATAAAGCACCTGACACAATATACTCTTGTTAACTCAACTATTAAATAATATAGGAGTATTAAATGATATAATATAATGTTCTTAATTCTGAATATCTGCTGCACTGTACACTTGCCCGATAAACATTGCGAATTGTCACGAAATTGAAAAGTTTGTATTAACTATATCAGGTAAAATTTATCCTTAAGTCCATTATTTACGTCTTAGGATCTGCAAAGTCAGATCGGAAATGAAATTCAAAAATATTTCTCCGCACGGAGAAATATTTTTGATATGACCCAAAACTCCGTGAAAGCAGTTTTAACCTAGGCGCTCGCGTGGGGAATTTCAGTCGTTCACCACGTGCGTGCGCAAATCTGCGTGTGCAAATATCAACCGTGGGAACGTACATTGTAAACAAAACTGCCTTCGCGGAGTTTTGCCTTTCAAAACTCTTTTCGCGGAGTTTTGTGTCAAATCTGGTCGCAAAACTGAGCCGTGGAACTGGGCTGTTAGTCCATTATTTACGTCTTAGGATCTGCAAAGTCAGCTCCGCCCCAAGCCACCCCGATCAGAGGGAAGATAAGTGGGAGACCCCATCCTACCAAACTGTACTTCAGCATTGCGTGGCTCATGTAGACCCCTAGTACTTTAACCATGGCTAAGTACATAGTAACTGCTTCCACCACCATCCAGCTTAGCTGGCAGAGCCAGAAGTAGTTCAACAGGAACGCTATCTACACAATTAGTTGTTATTAGTACTCATTTTGCTAAATGTTAGGTTATATACCTATACTTTTGACAGGGTAAAAATGTGTTACAAATGTTTTTGACATTTTTTTACTAATTGGCGTTTCAAAACATCGTTAACTCGGACGTTTGCAGTGTAAAAATCAATACCATACGGAAGTGTGGTGTTAATATGCGCTTACAATGGAACAAGGAATGGAAGGTTTTGCATCCTCTTCAGCAGCTACAAAACTATCCATTAAAAAGAAGAACACAATAGAGAGCATTAGAGCGAGAACCAGCATCAGGTTGATTTTCTGAGACTTCATTTTCATCAATTTCCTGTAAATGTGATATTTAGTTCGTTATGCCTGTTCCACTGCACTACTGTACTACTATATCTATACTACTACATACTACTACTACTATATATATAGCCAGGATAGCAATTCTATTGTATTTATCATGGGATGTTGACTTGCTACATCGTATTATATGCATGATACAATCTCTATGATCTGTAATGATAATGATGAAGTTGTTATGTGCAAGATTACTTGTTTGGAAGAATAGCAGCTGCAGTAAGTGCAAGATTACTTGTTTGGAAGAATAGCAGCTGCAGTAAGTGCAAGATTACTTGTTTGGAAGAATAGCAGCTGCAGTAAGTGTTAAACAGAAGAGACTAGAAGCCAACAGAACTAGTGACACAAGCTCCTCCTTGTCATTACTCTCGCTGGTGAACGACTGAAATGTAAATAATAACATATTAAAGTCACTATTGTGACGGTACATATAGGGTGTTTCATAAATAATGTCCTGTTTTTGATTTATTGTCTAATTTAGTACTGTAAATGAATTAACGTTTCAAGTAAACGGCAACCTAGTAAAGGTTTCAAGTATGGCCAGTTGTCTGCAACTTTATCTTTAGTTGGTTCGGTGCTAAAAGCTAGACACGAGATACTTGCTCAGATTTCAAGTTGAAATGTGAGTTGGAAAATCAATTACTATCTCGATAAATAATTTTGAATTTGCGAAGAATTGGCAGAATTAAGTTGAAGAACAAATATAATTGTTGGGATTAAAAATATATATATTTATATATAAAACTAAAATAAATTAGTAAAATTAAGTAACCATGAGAACTGCAAAGCTAGTGAGATGATCACAAATACATTTCACTTCGGTAACTCCTGTCTCTGCGTTGTACACTGATCGGGTCTCGCAGCCCTTCTCGCTCCAGCCTCGCTCACCTGAAGGAGAGGTCTTAATTAGGAACCGGCCGGATATCCGGTCGGTTCCTAGTCTCAATACACAAGTGTCAAGATGAAACTCCTCCTTGATTCCACTGTCCTTCTGAGATGCAGAGATGCCTTGTTTTGTTACCTACCTGTTAAAATACCTGCTAATGTGCTGCACATTTATAGACTACCTAGTTGAGAGTGTACCTAGCACCCTGCCTAAACCCTAGTTGAGTGTGTACCACAACCTAGCACCCTGCCTAAACGTTCGGAACTCCTGGACCTATGTGGCAAGCCTGCTCCCTGAACAAAACAAAACAAAACAAAACAAAACACATTTATGGACACGTTCATTTGAGTTTGAGGATATTGGTAAATATAAGTGACCCTATTAAAAGGCACAGTGTAGTTGACTTTGTCACACTATAAAATTACTGAAACCCTTGATGGTTAGGATAATCGTCTCATCCTCTAGGCTAACTTTGTCACATAACGATATCTTAATCAGGTGATAAGATATCGCTTAAATACGGCCGGCACGGAAATGGTTACATTGTCACACTATAAACATGTGACGGAGTAAATATGGACCCCTTGCTGCCGTTTTTGACCAAATTTTTGAGTGTCCAGTTGATTGGATGGGTACATATGACCATTACCTACATATTTGACGACTTTTTTCGTTAGATGGTGCATTCAGGTTTACTCTGTCACACATTAAAGAAAATATGTGATGAATGTTTAGGGCACCCTGATAAGCAATGCTGAGTAGTGTAAGTTTATTTGATGGCCTGGAAGTGCTGGGAATTGTTATTATATCATATAGTCGTAAGGAATTAAAACATAGAAGGCACAACCAAGCTTACTTTGTCACATAATCTTGATAATATCTGAACATGTGTGAAATTGAACAAATAATGATATACCAGCTTAAACCCCTTATATTATACGTACTATGGATCAAACAACACTGCTAGTACCATGCACCAGTCACATAAATCATTATCAGGTGGTAATATGATAACAGTGTCACGATTAAACTACCGCTACATGGTCAGAAATAGGGTAATTTCGTCACAAAAAATTATTATAACTCTGTTAGCTCCTTGCTGACAAAATAACTAGTTTATCGACATTTTTTTGATGATAAAGTTACATAGTATTCTAATAGAAGTATAGTTCTTCAAAATAGGGGCAAGACATGTTTACTTTGTCACATCAGTTATTATAAGAGTTAGGTAATCGTCATCAGATTAAAAGATATTTTTCGTAGTTTGGATCGATTAATACTTTAATATACCTGTAATAAATCCTATGCCAATTTTAACACACTATCTTGATACTGTTGGGGCAGGGAAGTTAATTTTGTCACATTTTCAATGTCTTTGACAAATTAATCTAAATTTTAAAAATTGAGTTCTTATGTTCTGGACAATATTCTTCCAATCGTTTCTGAAAGAATGTTGAATTCTAATAGAGTTATAGATCTTCAAAATAGGGGCAAGACATGTTTACTTTGTCACATCAGTTATTATAAGAGTTAGGTAATCGTCATCACATTAACATATATTTTTGTAGTTTGGATTGATTTATATAGGTAATAAAGCAGCCTATGCTAATTTTTACACACTATCTTGAAATTGTTGGGGCATGAAAAGTTAATTTTGTCACATTTTTAGTGACTTTGACAAATTTAACCTAAAATTGTTAAACTTAAGCTCTGATGTTCTGGACAATATTCTAATAGAGGTATAGAATATAGATCTTCAAAATAGGGGCAAGACATGTTTACTTTGTCACATCAGTTATTATAAGAGTTATTATAAGAGACTATTTCATTCTATAATCATTGTTTTTAATCTATTTACGATTTCGTATAATTTTTTGTGACAATGTAAACATCAACTGATCTTAACTTGCATCAACTACATTGTCATCATATAAAATTTTCCCGCCTTTCAAACCAAAATCAGATATAAATTATTCGCCCAAAATTTTAAATTTCATATATTGTGACAGAATTAACCTCATTTCCCAATAACCAAGTGCCTGTATTAGCTAACTATTCAAAACAACATATTTTAGGGCTATGCTTGGTAGAGCAGCCATAAAATAATGAGTTGAAAGGGTTTTTAGGACACCTCACAGTAGAATAGAGGTATGGTATCATGAGTGTGACAAAGTTACCTAAATATTGCCTTGTAACCGTTCGATCCGTGCCCATTAACCAATGTTGTATCATAATTGTTAGATTGGCCTAATTTACTATATTTCAGACCAAGGAATGATAATTAGACAACTGCAGTTAACTAAGTCACACAAAATGTGATATTTGAAACATTATAGTGCCTAACAACAATAGATTTCCTTTCTGAGCGGTGCATATGGGAGTATGGGTTACGTGGCTAATGTTCAGAACTTCTGAACGTGCTAGGTTAATAGATGTCAAAATTAAGCCACTATCGTCAAAAACGCTATAATTTTTGTTTACCAATATCCTCAAACTCAAATGAACGTGTCCTTATAGCAAATAAAAGATAACGCACCAGTATGAGAAGTGTTGTAGAAACTACATGTCAGCTTCTGTCTAACAATGGTCTTCCGTTTAGAAAAGCTGAGCACCTTTTTCTCGGCTTTATCCTTTATTTATATTGATCAGTCATTCAATATTATATTGATCAGTCATTCCATTTTGTAATAATTCGATAGGATTCACGATTTTTCAATTGTTTTGAAGGTGCGAATATAATGAAAACTGCATTGATTTCTAAACAACCTATTTATACGACGACAAATCACAAATATTAACTTTTTGGCTAGTCAGAAGTCGAATTTTTCAAAAATCTAACCGTTACTTTAAATGTCATGGTGACATTTTGGTGTGCTTCCAGCGGTAGTATTTCTGAGGAGGTCTTGCTTATTATGTTGATGTCTGCGATAACACTCGCCACCAACGAAAGTCCCTTTAATTTTTAGTGTTATTTGAAGGTGATAATGAGAATCCAGTTAATTCAGTATAAGCTTCTTTCAAATTAAAGAAGAATAAAATATCTTTACTCATCACACACAGGCACGTAGCCCCCCCCCCCCCTCCCCGTGCCTGATCACACACAGGCACGTAGCCCCCCCCCCCCCCCTCCCCGTGCCTGATCACACACAGGCACGTAGCCACCCCCCCCCCCTCCCCGTGCCTGATCACACACAGGCACGTAGCCCCCCCCCCCCCCCTGCCTCATCACACTCACATCTGGTGTAGTTTCATCGCCTTCTTTCTTATCCACCCCAACTTGAACTATCGAATGGGCAACTTCTTTTAACAACATGTTCTCATCTGTGGACTTTGGAGTGGTAGTTTTGGATGGGAACGACTTATCGTTCTCATAGTAAACCACGGTCAGCACCTCGTCTTTTGTCGTTGTCAGCTCGCCCTGATAAAAACATTGTTTTTTCACCTATTAAAATTGTAAATAAACCCCCAGCCTAACCCTGCAGTTCCACGGCTCAGTTTTGCAACCAGATTTGCTCACATTTTTTCTCACATTTTTTCTCACATTTTTGCGACCGGAAATGAAATTCAAAAATATTTCTCCGCACGGAGAAATATTTTTGATATGACCCAAAACTCCGTGAAAGCAGTTTTAACCTGAGCGCTCGCGTGGGAAATTTCATTATAATGCGCCCACGTGCGCGCGCAAATCTGCGTGCAAATACCAACCGCATGGGAACGTACATTGTAAACAAAACTGCCTTCGCGGATTTTTGCCTTTCAGAACTCTTTTCGCGGAGTTTTGTGTCAAATCTGGTCGCAAAACTGAGCCGTGGAACTGGGCTGTTAGACTTAGTAGATAAACACATAAATGCCAAATTTGGTCATGTTACCATAGTACCATAACCATATTTGGTCATGTTACCATAGTACCATATTTGGTCATGTTACCATAGTAGTTACATTACCATATTTGGTCATGTTACCATAGTAACATTACCATATTTGGTCATGTTACCATAATAACATTACCATATTTGGTCATGTTACCATATTAACATTACCATATTTGGTCATGTTACTATAATAACATTACCATATTTGGTCATGTTACCATAGTACCATATTTGGTCATGTTACTATAGTACCATATTTGGTCATGTTACCATAGTAACATTACCATATTTGGTCATGTTATCATAATAACATTACCATATTTGGTCATGTTACCATATTAACATTACCATATTTGGTCATGTTACTATAATAACATTACCATATTTGGTCATGTTACCATAGTACCATATTTGGTCATGTTACTATAGTACCATATTTGGTCATGTTACCATAGTAACATTACCATATTTGCACATGCATACAAGAGAAAAGCTTACTGTGAAGAAAGTATTTGCATCATCTTTTTGGTTTGTGCTCCCCTTAACTACATTCAAATCTCCTGCCAGAGTCAGCATTTGTTTCATCCTCGATGTGTCTGTGGTTTCCACAGCTGCTATACCAAGCGCTAAAAGTAGAAACAGTTACTGGGTAGTATATGGAATTGATAATGTTTGATCTAAGTCTAGTTTGGTTCTATTCCATCATTTTGGTGCAAAATAACGTATTGCTTTTTTTTATCTCACACTTATTTTACTTCGGAGTATTCCAACAGCCACATTGTTACACAAGTGTAACTAGCCAATTACAGGAAGCCGAAGGATTTAATTAGGCCAGTGACGGTTAAGGTAGTGTGTACCATACTTTCTTCGCCCGAGACTTCGCTGCAATGGACAGCTTCTCATTTAACCCTCACACACGATTTCTCGAATATTCGGCTGAGTAGACCGGGGGGCTGCATAGACCACTCAGGATCTTTAGCTGAATGTCGACGACACTCACCCCACGACTAGGCAGGCAGTGGGTTTCGAACTCGCAATCTTACGATTACAAATCCGATGATTAACCAACTACGCTACCTGGCCGCTTGATAAAAAATAATTTTTCCTCAAACATAGTTTGAGAGTTGTTTGGGATGTCTTATCTGTAAGGAAGGTATAGACTTAGTATATTAAAATAGTATAAGGACGGTAGCTTGGCTTGGTAGCTATGTTCAGTTATGTCTTGAACAAAATTCGATTTTCAAATTCGATACATTTTTTGTATCACCGAATTGGTTTCGAACCATATGAGTAAGTCATACAGTGCAAATTAACTCGTCAGAAAATAACTATTATACCTACTCTAGTGCTTTAAGCCTCCTTTTATACTAAAATGTTACTGGAAAAAGATATGCATAAGTATATTTATCTCCGGGAATCAGACCCCCGAAAAGTCGTGAACACTGAGCACTGATAATTTCCAGCGAAGGAACTGCCAGATTATTATCAACACAAAATGACAGTCGACTTGATGAGCAGTGGGGAAGCTAATAACAGTTGCGCACTATACATTACACACTATAGTGTATGATGCGCACTATACATTACACACTATAGTGTATGATGCGCACTATACATTACACACTATAGTGTATTATGCGCACTATACATCACACACTATAGTGTATGTTGCGCACTATACATTACACACTATAGTGTATGATGCGTACTATACATTACACACTATAGTGTATGATGCGCACTATACATTACGCACTATAGTGTATGTTGCGCACTATACATTACACACTATAGTGTATGATGCGCACTATACATTACACACTATAGTGTATGATGCGCACTATACATTACATACTATAGTGTATGATGCGCACTATACATTATACACTATAGTGTATGATGCGCACTATACATTACACATTATAGTGTATGATGCGCACTATACATTACACACTATAGTGTATGATGCGCACTATACATTACACACTATAGTGTATGATGCGCACTATACATTACACACTATAGTGTATGATGCGCACTATACATTACACACTATAGTGTATGATGCGCACTATACATTACACACTATAGTGTATGATGCGCACTATACATTACACACTATAGTGTATGATGCGCACTATACATTACACACTATAGTGTATGATGCGCACTATACATTACACACTATAGTGTATGATGCGCACTATACATTACACACTATAGTGTATGATGCGAACTATACATCACACACTATAGTGTATGTTGCGCACTATACATTACACACTATAGTGTATGATGCGTACTATACATTACACACTATAGTGTATGATGCGCACTTTACATTACACACTATATTGTATGATGCGCACTATACATTAAACACTAGAGTTTATTATGCGCACTATACATTACACACTATAGTGTATGATGCGCACTATACATTACACAATATAGTGTATGATGCGCACTATACATTACACACTATATTGTATGTTGCGCACTATACATTACACACTAGATATTGTATGATGCGCACTATACATTACACACTATAGTGTATGATGCGCACTATACATTACACACTATAGTGTATGATGTGCACTATACATTACACACTATAGTGTATGATGTGCACTATACATTACACACTATAGTGTATGATGCGTACTATACATTACAGACTATGGTGTATGATGCGCACTATAAATTACACACTATATTGTATGATGCGCACTATACATTACACACTATAGTGTATGATGCGCACTATACATTGCACACTATATTTATGATGCGCATTCTTTCAATCAGAACCGGAGAAAGTTATAACAAATAATACCTTTGCTTAGTTTCGTGCAGTGCTATTATCGCGCTTATCACTCAACAGCCAAGGTATTGTTTTTATTATAAACTTTTTACTTTAAAACTCTTTACCTATCGAATCTTCTGTTTTGAGCACATCATTATCATTCTGAAGGGCAACTGCACGAATAATTGCAACTGCAGATTCTCTCAGTTCATCACTGGCTTGCTGGTCTTGCAGTTCTGTCACATCAGTGTTAGTCTGAATGTTATCTATCGTAGATATGAGATTGTCAACAGTATTGTTTGATAGCTCAGAGTCAGGTAGATTTATCAATGTGTCTATACTTAGGGACACTTTTTGTACATCAGAAGAGCTCAGCTTACTCCCTTCAACGGCCGTCATGTCCTTTATCTCATCAGACATTTCTTCTTGGGTTTCGGAAGACCCAGTCTCAATTTCCTTGGACGATACAATTTTCAGGACAATTAGTTTTGTTTAAACTTATCGACATTTAGATATAAATCAAAGATCAACCAGGTTTTCCTGTTGCAGGCACAATTAATATTATACCTGCAACAGGTCACTGAACATTGCAGACAATTAATATTATACCTGCAACAGGTCACTGAATATTGCAGACAATTAATATTGTACCTGCAACAGGTCACTGAACATTGCATACAATTAATATAATACCTGCAACAGGTCACTGAACATTGCAGACAATTAATATTATTCCTGCAACAGGTCACTGAACATTGCAGACAATTAATATTATTCCTGCAACAGGTCACTGAACATTGCAGACAATTAATATTGTACCTGCAACAGGTCACTGAACATTGCAGACAATTAATATTATTCCTGCAACAGGTCACTGAACATTGCAGACAATTAATATTATTCCTGCAACAGGTATAGGCCACTGAACAATGCAGACAATTAATATTATACCTGCAACAGGTCACTGAACATTGCAGACAATTAATATTATTCCTGCAACAGGTCACTGAACATTGCAGACAATTAATATTATTCCTGCAACAGGTCACTGAACATTGCAGACAATTAATATTATACCTGCAACAGGTCACTGAACATTGCAGACAATTAATATTATTCCTGCAACAGGTCACTGAACATTGCAGACAATTAATATTATACCTGCAACAGGTCACTGAACATTGCAGACAATTAATATTATTCCTGCAACAGGTCACTGAACATTGCAGACAATTAATATAATACCTGCAACAGGTCACTGAACATTGCAGACAATTAATATTATACCTGCAACAGGTCACTGAACATTGCAGACAATTAATATTATACCTGCAACAGGTCACTGAACATTGCAGACAATTAATATTATACCTGCAACAGGTCACTGAACAATGCAGACAATTAATATTATTCCTGCAACAGGTCACTGAACATTGCAGACAATTAATATTATACCTGCAACAGGTCACTGAACATTGCAGACAATTAACATTATACCTGCAACAGGTCACTGAACATTGCAGACAATTAATATTATACCTGCAACAGGTCACTGAACATTGCAGACAATTAATATTATACCTGCAACAGGTCACTGAACATTGCAGACAATTAATATTATACCTGCAACAGGTCACTGAACAATGCAGACAATTAATATTATTCCTGCAACAGGTCACTGAACATTGCAGACAATTAATATTATTCCTGCAACAGGTCACTGAACATTGCAGACAATTAATATTATACCTGCAACAGGTCACTGAACATTGCAGACAATTAACATTATACCTGCAACAGGTCACTGAACATTGCAGACAATTAATATTATACCTGCAACAGGTCACTGAACAATGCAGACAATTAATATTATACCTGCAACAGGTCACTGAACATTGCAGACAATTAATATTATACCTGCAACAGGTCACTGAACATTGCAGACAATTAATATTATACCTGCAACAGGTCACTGAACAATGCAGACAATTAATATTATACCTGCAACAGGTCACTGAACATTGCAGACAATTAATATTATACCTGCAACAGGTCACTGAACATTGCAGACAATTAATATTATACCTGCAACAGGTCACTGACTATTGTTGAAACAGCAGAAGGGCACTCTGAAAAGTCTGTCTCACTGAATAATCCACTTGCAGTGCAGAACTTGCGAGCTTTAAACTTACCCTGGGTTATACATTATCACTATAATATACTATGTTCCTGGGCCAAGTAAGAGGAGCCAGAATATTAATTTATTAAGTTATCTTAATCACACCAACTATTAGTGCTCACATCATATAAACATGGCAGTTCTGCGTGTATTTCTGGATCTGTAGCTGTCCAAGTGTACGTTCCATAGACCACACTGGTTTCAATTCTAGTTTCACACTCTGAAACTATCAGTTATCTTGTTAGAGGCATATAAAGTGGGGGGGGGGACCACATATAATACGTCACCAAGCAATCACCACAATATGACTGTAATCGTTAATCAAACTTTTGTTTAAATCATACTTCACTTTCCAAATTGTCTCCTACATCAATATTACCGGACAAAAAGTAAGCTACTTTTAGAATACTAGTGTAGGTAGAAATATGTATAACAGCAGATATTTTACCTTTAACAGTAACCTTTGCAATAACTTTGCACTGGGTTGCCTTCTCCTGTTCGTACACATTGCCCGGACAGGGTTCACATGACACCATGTTCCTTGATCTGTATGTTCCTCGCTTGCAGTTAACTGAGGAAAATTACATTGTTGAAGCAGTAATAGCCACCAAAGCTAGAGGATTCAATTTTCTGGGTGATGCTTTTCAGTTTCTGTTTTGTTGAATGATGAGGTTTATAGAAAGTCGTCAATAGAATCGTTCAATAATTTTAAATTACGCTATATAATTTAAAATATGATCTTCCGTATTCACTTAAACACTTACCACATTCTGTCAAATCATCATTAGCTACAGTTCCAGCATTACAAGCAGTACAAGAAGATGCTCCTGCAGTACTGACAGAGTTCTCATCACAATTAACACAGGAAGACATATCTGCTTCCCTGTATGTTCCCGCTGAGCATTCATCTGTGGAGTGGTACCAATCATGAATAAGATATCTTTATTAAAATATATTTGATAAGAAATTAATAAGATAAGAATATTACAGATAAGAATCATATCGTGGGTTTATCCACTTACCACATTCTGTCAAATCATCATTAGCTACGGTTCCCGCTGAGCATTCTCCCAAAACTGTAAAATTTCCATTGCATTGTTACTGATAATTTTATCTCTGCATAGTTTACATGCAATCAAAGAGGAGTCTATATATTCACTTGCCACGCATTCTTTTGAAAATATGCCTGGCAAATGAATATTGCTGATAATGATCTTTTCGTGGGTTTATCAACTTACCACATTCTGTCGAATCATCGTTAGCTACAGTTCCAGCATTACAAGCAGTGCAAGAAGATGCTCCTGCAGTACTGACAGAGTTCTCATCACAACTATCACAGGAAGACATGTCTGCTTCTCTGTATGTTCCCGCTGCACATTCATCTGTGGAGTGGTACAAATCATCAATAAGATATCTTTATTGAAAGAGAATTGATAAGAAATAAATAAGAGAAGAATATTGGAGATTTAAATAATCTCATCGTGGGTTTATCCTCTTACCACATTCTGTCAAATCATCATTAGCTATAGTTCCAGCATTACAAGCAGTGCAAGAAGATGCTCCTGCAGTACTGACAGAGTTCTCATCACAATTAACACAGGAAGACATGTCTGCTTTTGTGTATGTTCCCGCTGCACATTCATCTGCGGAGTGGTACAAATCATCAATAAGATATCTTTATTGAAAGAGAATTGATTAGAAATAAATAAAAGAACAATATTGGGGATAAGAATCTTATCGTGGGTTTATCAACTTACCACATTCTGTCAAATCATCATTAGCTACAGTTCCAGCATTACAAGCAGTGCAAGAAGATGCTCCTGCAGTACTGACAGAGTTCTCATCACAACTAACACAGGAAGACATGTCTGCTTCTCTGTATGTTCCCGCTGCGCATTCATCTGTGGAGTGGTACCAATCATGAATCAGATAATATCTTTATTGAAAGAGAATTGATAGGAAATAAATAAGATAAGATAAGCATAGTGGGGATAAGAATCTCACCGTGGGTTTATCAACTTACCACATTCTGTAAACTTATCATTAGCTACAGTTCCAGCATCACAAGCAGTACAAGAAGATGCTCCTGCAGTACTGACAGAGTTCTCATCACAACTATCACAGGAAGACATGTCTGCTTCTCTGTATGTTCCCGCTGCACATTCATCTGTAGAGTGGTACAAATCATCAATAAGATATCTTTATTGAAAGAGAATTGATAAGAAATAAATAAAATAAGATAAGAATAGTGGGGATAAGAATCTCATCGTGGGTTTATCAACTTACCACATCCTGTCGAATTATCATTAGCTACTGTTCCAGCATTACAAGCAGTGCAAGAAGATGCTCCTGCAGTACTGACAGAGTTCTCATCACAACTAACACAGGAAGACATGTCTGCTTCTCTGTATGTTCCCGCTGCGCATTCATCTGTGGAGTGGTACCAATCATGAATCAGATAATATCTTTATTGAAAGAGAATTGATAGGAAATAAATAAGATAAGATAAGCATAGTGTGGATAAGAATCTCACCGTGGGTTTATCAACTTACCACATTCTGTAAACTTATCATTAGCTACAGTTCCAGCATCACAAGCAGTACAAGAAGATGCTCCTGCAGTACTGACAGAGTTCTCATCACAACTAACACAGGAAGACATGCCTGCTTCTCTGTATGTTCCCGCTGCACATTCATCTGTACAGTGGTACAAATCATCAATAAGATATCTTTATTGAAAGAGAATTGATAAGAAATAAATAAAATAACATAAGAATATTGGGGATAAGAATCTCACCGTGGGTTTATCAACTTACCACATCCTGTCGAATCATCATTAGCTACAGTTCCAGCATTACAAGCAGTGCAAGAAGATGCTCCTGCAGTACTGACAGAGTTCTCATCACAACTAACACAGGAAGACATGTCTGCTTCTCTGTATGTTCCCGCTGTGCATTCATCTGTGGAGTGGTACCAATCATGAATCAGATAATATCTTTATTGAAAGAGAATTGATAAGAAATAAATAAGATAAGATAAGCATAGTGGGGATAAGAATCTCACCGTGGGTTTACCAACTTACCACATTTTGTCGAATCATCATTAGCTACCCTTCCAGCATTACAAGCAATGCAAGAAGATGCTCCTGCAGTACTGACAGAGTTCTCATCACAACTAATACAGGAAGACATGTGTGCTTCTCTGTATGTTCCCGCTGCACATTCATCTGCGGAGTGGTACAAATCATCAATAAGATATCTTTATTGAAAGAGAATTGATAAGAAATAAATAGAGAAGCATATTGGGGATAAGAATCTTATCGTGGGTTTATCAACTTACCACATTCTGTCGAATCATCATTAGCTACAGTTCCAGCATTACAAGCAATGCAAGAAGATGCTCCTGCAGTACTGACAGAGTTCTCATCACAACTAATACAGGAAGACATGTGTGCTTCTCTGTATGTTCCCGCTGCACATTCATCTGCGGAGTGGTACAAATCATCAATAAGATATCTTTATTGAAAGAGAATTGATAAGAAATAAATAGAGAAGCATATTGGGGATAAGAATCTTATCGTGGGTTTATCAACTTACCACATTCTGTCAAATCATCATTAGCTACAGTTCCAGCATTACAAGCAGTGCAAGAAGATGCTCCTGCAGTACTGACAGAGTTCTCATCACAACTATCACAGGAAGACATGTGTGCTTCTCTGTAAGTTCCCGCTGTGCATTCATCTGTGGAGTGGTACAAATCATGAATAAGATAATATATTTTTTGAAAGAGAATTGATAAGAAATAAATAAGAGAAGAATATTGGAGATAAGAATCTTATCGTGGGTTTATCAACTTACCACATTCTGTCGAATCATCATTAGCTACAGTTCCAGCATTACAAGCAGTACAAGAAGATGCTCCTGCATTACTGACAGAGATCTCATCACAACTAACACAGGAAGACATGTCTGTGTCTCTGTATGTTCCCGCAGCACATTCATCTGCGGATTGCATTGGTATAAATCAGGAATAAGATATCTTTATTGAAAGAGAATTGATAAGAAATAAATAAGAGAAGAATATTGGAGATAAGAATCTTATCGTGGGTTTATCAACTTACCACATTCTGTCGAATCATCGTTAGCTACCCTTCCAGCATTACAAGCAGTGCAAGAAGATGCTCCTGAAGTACTGACAGAGTTCTCATCACAACTATCACAGGAAGACATGTCTGCATCTCTGTATGTTCCCGCTGCACATTCATCTGCGAAGTGGTACCAATCATGAATAAGATAATATCTTTATTGAAAGATAATTGAAAAGAAATTGATAAGATAAGAATATTGCAGATAAGAATCATATCGTGGGTTTATCCACTTACCACATTCTGTCAAATCATCATTAGCTACAGTTCCCGCTGAGCATTCTCCCAAAACTGTAAAATTTACATTGCATTGTAGGGCCTGTCGTGATATCATGGATCGCTTAGGTTCCACCAGGATCTGGTAGTCTTCATAATTCTGCGGCCTCTATGTGTCGTCATCTCGCACAACTCCGAAAAACCGTTGTGAGTTTGGCATGTGAAAATTTGCAGCCTTCCAGACATCGATTGGGTTAACGAGTTGTCGTACGTCACCTCAAGATCGGGTGACAGGGGGCTGAACAGGCCAGAACCCAATTGATTGGGTCTGAGGTCACGTGGTTATGAGCCTGAGGTCACGTGACTATGACGTCACCAGAGCTCGTTCTCCGTTTCCCGCTCTTTGGACCAGGTGAGCTTGCATGCTTGTGAAAGTGGGTGTAAGTACAGCTGTACTGTAGTTACATCCAATTACCCCTAATAGAACGAAGATTTATTTTCTGACAGAAAGCTAGAAATTTACCAAAATATCGACGTTGTTCAAAATTTATTTTGATGACCACTCCTGACCTAAAATTGCACGAGAAATCGATTAAACTTGGTTTCAGAACTCAACAATGCTTCCTTATGCCTTAAAATCCATTTTTATCGATACAATAAACATTTTGATCCTGTGGATTAATTAGTAACAGGTAACAAATGAACAGAAAAAACCACCGCACTACCATTGCATTCTTAACGGGTCGATTTCGAGTGACCAATAATCGTCGTGATGATATTTATACGTCATGCGTTCCTGATCATCATCAGCAATCAAGAGACAGGAGCGGCGATTGCTTTAAATCAACGGTTTACGTTATTTTTGTGAATTCGACCCCTGTTTTAACGGTTATGACACTTTGTAATTGAATGTATTGAGGATAGCTTTACAAATAAGAGGACCAGTAAACAAAATTGCCACAAGTGTTTCTCTCACTCACTTTCGATAAGACACAATGAAAATTCTTACTTAACCATAAGATTCGGAATTTTTCAACCGTTGAAGAATATCGGAATTTTATAAAATCTAATCACACTTATCAACCTTTGAACGAATAATCGAAAAATTGTGAATGATACCGCTGCAATTGTCTTATCAGTTATATGTATAAATTATAAAAAAATTCCGAATCTTATGGTTATGATTTATTAGTTTCATTGAAAAAAGTAAAGCTATCCTCAATACATTCAATTACAAAGTGTGATAACCGTTAAAACAGGGGTCGAAATCACAAAAATAACGTAAACCGTTGATTTAAAGCAATCGCCGTTCCTGTCTCTTGATTGCTGATGAAAAAAAAACCGTTAAGACTGCAATGTAAGTGCGGTGGTTTTTTTTGTGCATTTGTTACCTGTTACTAATTAATCCACAGGATCAAAATGTTTATTGTATCGATAAAAATGGATTTTAAGGCATAAGGAAGCATTGTTGAGTTCTGAAACCAAGTTTAATCGATTTCTCGTGCAATTTTAGGTCAGGAGTGGTCATCAAAATAAATTTTGAACAACGTCGATATTTTGGTAAATTTCTAGCTTTCTGTCAGAAAATAAATCTTCGTTCTATTAGGGGTAATTGGATGTAACTACAGTACAGCTGTACTTACACCCACTTTCACAAGCATGCAAGCTCACCTGGTCCAAAGAGCGGGAAACGGAGAACGAGCTCTGGTGACGTCATAGTCACGTGACCTCAGGCTCATAACCACGTGACCTCAGACCCAATCAATTGGGTTCTGGCCTGTTCAGCCCCCTGTCACCCGATCCTGAGGTGACGTACGACAACTCGTTAACCCAATCGATGTCTGGAAGGCTGCAAATTTTCACATGCCAAACTCACAACGGTTTTTCGGAGTTGTGCGAGATGACGACACATAGAGGCCGCAGAATTATGAGGACTACCAGATCCTGGTGGAACCTAAGCGATCCATGATATCACGACAGGCCCTAATTGCATTGTTACTGATAATTTTATCTCTGCATAGTTTACATGCAATCAAAGAGGAACATATTTATTCACTTGCCATGCATTCTTTTGAAAGGATGCCTGGCAAGTGAATATTACAGTTAGGGATCTTTTCGTGGGTTAATCAACTTACAACATTCTGTCGAATCATTATTAGCTACAGTTCCTGCATCACAAGCAGTGCAAGAAGATGCTCCTGCAATACTGACAGAGTTCTCATCACAGCTATCACAGGAAGACATGTGTGCGTCTCTGTATGTTCCCGCTGCGCATTCATCTGCGGATTGCATTGGTATAAATCATAAATATGATATTTTTATTGAAAGAGAATTGATAAGAATTAAATAAGATACGAATAGTGTGGATAAGATCACCTGCTACACTGACGGGTCACTCACAGACTCAGGATGCGGGGCTGGCTATATCATCACAACTGACAACAATAACACCACCCTTGAAGAAAGATCATTCAAGCTCCCTGATTATTGCACTGTTTACCAAACAGAGCTCACCGCTATCATTGAAGCTTGCAAATATCTATCTACATATACCAACACACACATCATCATATGGTCTGACAGTCTATCATCTATTCAAGCTCTCTCCGCACTTTCAACGCGGAGTAGAACTACAAGAGACTGTTACGACTCTCTTAATTCACTCGGATCCAACAACACGCTAGATATACGATGGATTGCAGCACACATCGGATTGTGGGGGAACGAAAAAGCAGATGAGCTGGCCAAGCTTGGCACTATCAGTGAATCCACTTTGAAGTGTCCAATTCCACAATCCTACATCAAACGTCAAATCGACAACAAAGTCAACAGACTGAATCAGGAAACTTGGGTAACTGACGGTCCCAGACACACCAAACTGACACTCGGCCACAAGCATGCCAAAATCATCAAAAACCTCAACACTACACTCAGCAACAACAGACAGGATTACAGAACTGCAGTTCACCTCATCACGGGTCACTGCGGCCTAAATAAACACCTTCACACCATTTGCAAATCAAACACCAGTGCTTGTCCTATGTGCGGGGACGGAGAGGAAACTGTCTCACACTTCCTTGGACAGTGTCCGGCTATTGCCCAAATTAGAGGTCAATATTTCCAAGACTACTACCTCTCTGTCAATGACATATTCGACAACCAACACATCACCACAATTGTCAATTTCGCAAACCGCACCAAACGCTTAATTGTGCCGGAAGAGCTGGATCAGACCGGGGTGACTTAAAGTATTATCTCATATGCTGTCTCATCTCGTTTTACTTTTCCAAACCCAGCTGGCATTTAAGCGTATCATTTTGACTCATATAACATCTTACACCATCCTCCACCAATCACTCTGATCTCACCGGTAACCTTCCCCAAGGTTGCCACACCCCAGAGGTAGGCAGAGCATCTCAATGCTATCCTCTCGTGGGCTATCTTGGCCCAGCCTCTCTAAAAAAAAAAAAAAAAAAAAAAGTGTGGATAAGAATATCTTCGTGGGTTTATCAACTTACCACATTCTGTCGAATCATCATTAGCTACAGTTCCAGCATTACAAGCAGTGCAAGAAGATGCTCCTGCAGTACTGACAGAGTTCTCATCACAACTATCACAGGAAGACATGTGTGCGTCTCTGTATGTTCCCGCAGCACATTCATCTGCGGAGTGGTACAAATCATCAATAAGACATCTTTATTCAGTTAAACAAAAATTTCAGTTAAACAAAAATTTCAATTTTATGCCATTTATTACAGAGTAAACAAGTTTACAATAAATCAATTTGATATTCAAAGGAATCCTAATTCAATGTGTAGTATGGTTGTCACTCTTTAAATAGATTAGATATATGTTGACGGGGCAAAGGAGTGTGCGTGCTGTTTGCTATTGCTCACACCAAACGGCAGCCTAGTTAATGTTTTGTATGGACACCAGTCTCCATCACGATACAAAATAAGGATTGTAGAATTTATTGTATAACTTTTAGTGCAGTGGAGGTAGCGGTGTGGTGCATTAAAAGAATGACAGACTACTGATTTAGAGTTGTTTGTTTTTGTAATGGGTATATTTTTGGGCCTAAAGGTTTTAGTATGGCAACTTTAAAATTGGTTCCTTTAATCATTTATTAAATATCAGTTTAAAAATATATAAATTTGGAATCTGTTCACACTGTGGACCAGTCCTATAAAAATTTCAAAATTGAAAGGGAATTGATAAGAAATAAATGAGAGAAGAATATCGGGGATAAGAATTTTATCGTGGGTTTATCTACTTACCACATTCTGTCGAATCATCATTAGCTACAGTTCCAGCATTACAAGCAGTGCAAGAAGATGCTCCTGCAGTACTGACAGAGTTCTCATCACAATGAACACAGGAAGACATGTGTGCTTTTCTGTATGTTCCCGCTGCACATTCATCTGCGGAGTGGTACAAATCATCAATAAGATATCTTTATTGAAAGAGAATTGATAAGAAATAAATAGAGAAGCATATTGGGGATAAGAATCTTATCGTGGGTTTATCAACTTACCACATTCTGTCGAATCATCATTAGCAACAGTTCCAGCATTACAAGCAGTGCAAGAAGATGCTCCTGCAGTACTGAAAGAGTTCTCATCACAATTAACACAGGAAGACATGTCTGCTTCTCTGTATGTTCCTGCTGCACATTCATCTGCGGAGTGGTACAAATCATCAATAAGATATCTTTATTGAAAGAGAATTGATTAGAAATTAATAAAAGAACAATATTGGGGATAAGAATCTTATCGTGGGTTTATCAACTTACCACATTCTGTCGAATCATCATTAGCTACAGTTCCAGCATTACAAGCAGTACAAGAGGATGCTCCTGCAATACTGACAGAGTTCTCATCACAATTAACACAGGAAGACATGTCTGCTTCTCTGTATGTTCCCGCTGCACATTCATCTGCGGAGTGGTACAAATCATGAATAAGATATCTTCATTGAAAGATAATTGATAAGAAATTAATAAGATAAGATAAGAATATTGCAGAAAAGAATCATATCGTGGGTTTATCAACTTAAAATTTACATTGCATTGTTACTGATAATTTTATCTCTGCATAGTTTACATTCAAAGAGGAATCTATTTATTCACTTGCCACGCATTCTTTTGAAAGGATGCCTGGCAAGTGAATATTACAGATAGGGATCTTTTCGTGGGTTTATTAACTTACCACATTCTGTCGAATCATCGTTAGCTACAGTTCCAGCATTACAAGCAGTACAAGAAGATGCTCCTGCAGTACTGACAGAGTTCTCATCACAACTATCACAGGAAGACATGTGTGCGTCTCTGTATGTTCCTGCTGCACATTCATCTGTGGAGTGGTACCAATCATAAATAAGATAATATGTCTTTTGAAAGAGAATTGATAAGAAATTAATAAGATAAGATAAGAATAGTGGGGATAAGAATCTCATCGTGGGTTTATCAACTTACCACATTCTGTCGAATCATCATTAGCTACCCTTCCAGCATTACAAGCAGTGCAAGAAGATGCTCCTGCAGTACTGACAGAGTTCTCAACACAATTAACACAGGAAGACATGTCTACTTCTCTGTATGTTCCCGCTGCACATTCATCTGCGGAGTGGTACAAATCATGAATAAGATATCTTTATTGAAAAAGAATTGATAAGAAATAAATAAGAGAAGAATATTGGAGATAAGAATCTCATCGTGGGTTTGTCCTCTTACCGCATTCTGTCAAATCATCATTAGCTACCATTCCAGCATTACAAGCAGTGCAAGAAGATGCTCCTGCATTACTGACAGAGTTCTCATCACAATTATCACAGGAAGACATGTCTGCTTCTCTGTATGTTCCCTCTGCACATTCATCTGCGGAGTGGTAAAAATCATGAATATGATATCTTTATTGAAAGAGAATTGATAAGAAATAAGTAAGATAAGATAAGAATAGTGGCGATAAGAATTTTTTCGTGGGTTCATCAACTTACCACATTCTGTCGAATCATCATTAGCTACAGTTCCAGCATCACAAGCAGTGCAAGAAGATGCTCCTGCAGTACTGACAGAGTTCTCATCACAACTATCACAGGAAGACATGTGTGTGTCTCTGTATGTTCCCTCTGCACATTCATCTGCGGAGTGGTACAAATCATGAATAAGATATCTTTATTGAAAGAGAATTGATAAGAAATAAATAAGATAAGATAAGAATAGTGGCGATAAGAATTTTTTCGTCTCTTTATCAACTTACCACATTCTGTCGAATCATCATTAGCTACAGTTCCAGCATTACAAGCAGTGCAAGAAGATGCTCCTGCAGTACTGACAGAGTTCTCATCACAATTATCACAGGAAGACATGTCTGCTTCTCTGTATGTTCCCGCTGCACATTCATCTGCGGAGTGGTACAAATCATGAATAAGATATCTTTATTGATAGAGAATTGATGAGAAATAAATAAGAGAAGAATATTTGAGATAAGATTCTCATCGTGGGTTTATCGTCTTACCACATTCTGTCGAATCATCATTAGCTACAGTTCCAGCATCACAAGCAGTACAAGAAGATGCTCCTGCAGTACTGACAGAGTTCTCATCACAACTATCACAGGAAGACATGTCTGCATCTCTGTATGTTCCTGCTAAGCATTCATCTGCGGAGTGGTACAATTCATAAATAAGATATCTTTATTGAAAGATAATTGATAAGAAATTAAAAAGATAAGAATATTGCAGATAAGAATCATATCGTGGGTTTATCCACTTACCACATTCTGTCAAATCATCATTAGCTACAGTTCCTGCTGAGCATTCTCCTAAAACTGCAAAATTTCCATTGCATTGTTACTGATAATTTTATCTCTGCATAGTTTACATGCAATCAAAGAAGTGTCTATTTATTCACTTGCCACGCATTCTTTTGAAAGGATGCCTGGCAAGTGAATATTGCTGATAATGATCTTTTCGTGGGTTTATCAACTTACAACATTTTGTCGAATCATCATTAGCAACAGTTCCAGCATCACAAGCAGTGCAAGAAGATGCTCCTGCAGTACTGACAGAGTTCTCATCACAACTATCACAGGAAGACATGTGTGCGTCTCTGTATGTTCCCGCTGCACATTCATCTGTTGGGTGGTACCAATCATAAATAAGATAATTTTTTTTGAAAGAGAATTAATAAGAAATAAATAAGATAAGATAAGAAAAGTGGGGATAAGAATTTTATCGTGGGTTTATCAACTTACCACATTCTGTCGAATCATCATTAGCTACAGTTCCAGCATTACAAGCAGTGCAAGAAGATGCTCCTGCAGTACTGACAGAGTTCTTATCACAACTAAGACAGGAAGACATGTGTGCGTCTCTGTATGTTCCCGCTGCGCATTCATCTGTGGAGTGGTACTAATCATGAATAAGATAATATCTTTTTTGAAAGAAAATTGATAAGAAATAAATAATATAAGAATAGTGGGGATAAGAATCTCATCGTGGGTTTGTCAACTTACCACATTCTGTCGAATCATCATTAGCTACCCTTCCAGCATTACAAGCAGTGCAAGAAGATGCTCCTGCAGTACTGACAGTATTCTCATCACAAGTAACACAGGAAGACATGTCTGCTTCTCTGTATGTTCCCGCTGCACATTCATCTGCGGAGTGGTACAAATCATGAATAAGATATCTTTACAGTGAAAGCAGTATTAATGACATTCTCACTTTTCAGAACTAAGTGCCTAATATAATTAAGATAGAACATCTAAACAGTTTTATTCCTGTTCCATATGATCGAGGATAGTCAGGGCTACAAAACCTGACCAAGTTTAGCTCAATCCAGTACTGCGCGTTCAAGATATGAGGTTAAATATACCAAAAATAGAGGTTTTCTGGTGTGACATCATTGTAAATTATTTGGAGTATAACCTCAATATCTCACAAACTATACATTTGTGGTCTTTCTGAGTTACACTATCTGTTTCCTTTGGCAATTTCGGTTCAGAGTCAATTAAGTTTGAAACAAAATCTCAGTATATGTGAAAGGACTGAGGATATCAAGTTTGTAAAAGCGCGCGCGCGCGCACACACATATAATGACCTCATATCTTCCACATTTAACGATTTTTTATAGAAATTCTTTCACCATCCTGTAGCACTCATGTGCTGAGTAGGATAGCATTCAAATCATGTCTTTAAAAGATTTAGATAGATACTGAGGGAGAAAATTCATGTTTGTAAAAGCGCGCGCGCGCGCGCATGGCCCAGACTATATCAATGGACGGCCACGGGAGGATAAAAGTACTTTCATACACACCAGCATGCTCATTGATGGCTTAAAATGAAGCTAAGACATACTCCTATCAGATCCACCATAAGTTAGATACCATAATAATCATTAAATGTGTCTAAAATGAGGAAGCTTTGACAAGTGCGAGTGGTTTTGGCAAATTTTGGTATAAAATGGGCCCTGTGATCATATTTTTCTCATTAAAATCACATATATCACGAATATTTATGTGTGTTGGGTGTATCCTCATTGGTATCAACCATTTCAATCATCTAGAGCAGCTTTCCTGATTCTTTATCTCATGAAAATGGGCAAAAAAGCTCATAAATAGTCCAAAATCGGTCATTTTCGCCGCTTTAATAACCTCATTCCTGGCACCCAGAACACTTTGGGTACTCAAAACATGATTTTTCGGATACCTCAGACCCCTAACTAGCACATGGAGCCAGAAAGAACAGCATGTAGGGACTTCTAAATTTCCATGGTTGAGAACCCAATGTCACACTATTTGTTCATTAATCCTGCTTTCACTGTTTATTGAAAGAGAATTGATAAGAAATAAATAAGAGAAGAATATTGGAGATTTAAATAATCTCATCGTGGGTTTATCCTCTTACCACATTCTGTCGAATCATCATTAGCTACAGTTCCAGCATTACAAGCAGTGCAAGAAGATGCTCCTGCAGTACTGACAAAGTTCTCAACACAACTAACACAGGAAGACATGTCTGCTTCTCTGTATGTTCCCGCTGCACATTCATCTGTGGAGTGGTACCAATCATTAATAAGATAATATCTTTATTGAAAGAGAATTGATAAGAAATTAATAAGATAAGATAAGAATAGTGGGGATAAGAATGTCATCATGGGTTTATCAACTTACCACATTCTGTCGAATCATCATTAGCTACTCTTCCAGCATTACAAGCAGTGCAAGAAGATGCTCCTGCAGTACTGACAGAGTTCTCATCACAACTAACACAGGAAGACATGTGTGCTTCTCTGTATGTTCCCGCTGCGCATTCATCTGTGGAGTGGTACCAATCATAAATAAGATATCTTTATTGAAAGAGAATTGATAAGAAATTAATAAGATAAGAATGTTGCAGATAAGAATCTTATCGTGGGTTTATCCAGTATCCACTTACCACATTCTGTCAAATCATCATTAGGTACAGTTCCCGCTGAACATTCTTTAAAAACTGCAAAAGATCTATTGTTAAAGAATAAAGAATATACTGAGTATTTCAAGACTTTAAGATAAATAAGTTATATATGGCCATTGATCTTTTTATTTTTAAGCACATGTTTTTTTTATACGTGTTCACAGAATGTTCTATCTGAAACAGAATTAGCGATCAGATTTGGTATTGAGATCAAAAAGTGTGGTTTTGCTTGTTTACTTGTGATATTGTTTCCTTTGTAAAACTGAGAGGCCCCGTTAGTAGTCTCTTTAAACTGAACTGCTTTTATCTCATTAGGGACACACTCATCGTATATGTCAAACATGTAGAAATACTCTCCATTGAATCGAACTGTCATACTCGTACTGTTCAGCTGAAGAGACCAGATTCCACTTTCAATTATTCCGTCTTGATATTGATCATCTAATTTTTTACCATCTCCAGAACAGATAATCTCAAATTTCAGACCCGCTGGTCCGATTGTCATGCTGCCAAGCATTTCTAGATCACTGGACAGAAAATCAACAGCTATCATGTCAGAGGCATCAAGATGCTGTTTTGTTTTTATTTCAAATTGGGTTGTGTTTGACAACATGTCGTTTAGTACGACAGTTGTTGTTCCATCCTCTTCCACTGGTGCCCAACCTGTTAAATCTTCTGTAAGTACCGAAGAGAAATAACAGTTAGAAATGTAAGATCTGTGAAAAATAATTAATTTCCACAAATAATTTTTAGAAATTTCCTGAGATCATTTATATTACTATTAGCGACAAGAGAAACGCCATTGTTATCATCACAATACAATTTCGTTGGTAGCTTTGATGGGCTCATTGATCATCGTGCAGAAATGCATAAATATCTTCCTCCTTGCTGACACTTGTGTGAGCTTGGAGAAGCATCATGAGCGGGCTATCCCGTGAATGGAAGCTTGTATAAAAATTAAATTTTTAAAAACTAAAAAAATACTTTTACCGCAACTTATAGTTTTCACAAGGAACATAAATTCGCTAAGTGGAGATATGATCTGTGAATAATTATCAATTTTAGATGTTCATTGTATAGTTTTAATTTGTGAGGACTGTCACGAAAATGTTCGTTAAAAGCTTAAATGTCAAAAATATTCAAAAACTGAAAGCAAAATAAGGAGCAAGTAAAAACAGTTTCAATTAAGTTCTCATTTAATTTATTCGTTTTATTGTCATCACATTTGAGAGAGCGACGGTTAAGCATCATAGGGACATCAATTACACAAAGTCAATTTGAATTTATATTTGTGAGAACGGCATTATAAGACGTATTAATCTTAAATTTCCAAGAGACAGTTAGATGAGAAAAAATATTATGGTAAAATTCCAAGATTTATTATATCAACAATTTTGTTCAATTAAATCACTTTTAATAAAGGGTCTTTCACATATTACCCAATCACTGAGGGGAGGCAGGGGGTTTCTTAATGATTACGCTAGTACGTCATTTTAAGATACTACTGTTGAGAGAAACTGATAACAGAAGGGGGGGTTAAACGCCATTAAAGTGAATTGCAGGAACCCGTATAACCCCAAAATGGTGTCAAGACTCAAGAGACTAAATAAATTATTCCTTATTTAATTCGCGTTTTTGACACTACTTGGGGGTCCAAATTTTGGGCTCTAAAACTCCTATTTCTTATTCTTTTATGCTGATTTGGAGGCCATTAAAGCATTTGACCCAGTCAAAAAAGTTTCAGTTTTAATACTTTCAACACTACTATATAACAAACAATTTGAGTTTAGGGAATGTGCTAAGTAACACCCCGTATGGGGAGTATGTACTGATAACCTCTCATCTCTGGGGCGAGACATGATGTACCTGCTCAGTGGGTCTGGGAGTTGGATGGAATGCATCCGGCACTTCTTGCGAAGTGTCGGCCCAAACCTTTGGGACTAGGTAAGAGTGTGTCTGTCTGTATTGAGCCCTAATGGTAGTCTTTCGGATGTTGTTATTATTGAAATTGTTTTCCAAATGACTCAATTACATCGTGGGTCTTCTTAATTGCAATGATTTATTTAAAACTAAACTTTTCAATATCTCATTACCATTCCTTTTCTGCCGTTTATTCTCGTTTCAGATAGGCACATCATGCCGCTGTGTGTACCGTCTGACCCCTTGGGCTGCTGTGCTTGTGCTGACTGTCGACCCCTGGAGATGTTCTCCTTCTACAATGGAACTTGATAAACTGAAAGACCTTATAGTTCCCCAACTGGGAAATCTCGCTAACGAAGAACTTAGAAAGGTGCAGAATACATTGGAGAACCTTCTCCAATATACCAACACGCTACTTGATTCTGCACCCTCTCCAGTACCCAAAATACAGGAATCATCGAGTCCATCATCCTCTTCCCCACCTTCTCCATCTCCGCTGCTCCTTCACTATAATCTTCGACATGACCCCCTTAGTGAGCCTCTGGTTGAGGAAGTCCTTGACCACGTCAAGAAGATCAATTACAGCAGGTCTGGAACAAATTTAAGCCCAGATACCTTCCTGTACGGCAGCCAACGATACGCATACAATCGAAGATCTGCTGCCCTCTCACCAGTCTCTATCCAACCCAACACCATCATGGATAAACTGCTGAAGACTGTTAACTTAACACTAGGAACAGAGTATAACTCTATGTTAGTTAACAAGTACAGCTCATATGTGTGTTGCCTTCCTCCCCACAAGGATGATGAATCAGGCCTCGATCCAGGTGCACCAATATCAACACTCTCGATTGGTGCAACTCGGAAAATGAACATTTCCCTTGACAAAAAGAAATCCGTCAAGTACCTTACTCTTACTCCCGGGAGCATATTCACGATGTTGCCTGGTTTCCAGCAATCTTTTTACCATGAAATACTTGCTGGAGACAAAGATGTACAGAAAGAAAGGGGAGTCCGTTACAGTGTCACCTTCCGACGTCTGCTCCCACCTAAAGAAGCCCCTCCTGCTATCCATTCTCCTCCCCCATCCTCCTCCCCCATCCTCCTCCCCTCCTCTGCAGAACCGAATACCTCCCCTGCAACCAGCACCTCCAAAGATGCCACATACCCTGATACCTTTGTGTTTGGCAGCTCCCTCCTCAAGAGCTTGAAAACTGAAACACTTTCCAGGCGTGGAAAAATTTTTAAAGTTATCTCCCGGTCTGGAGCACACGCCTGTGACATTTATAACGAAGTTGAAAAGTGTGCCAAGCAATTTAATACATCTAATGTTTCCACTGTGTTCCTTCAAGTCGGGGGAAATGATGTTGAAAATTTGATTGTAGACTCTGACATAACACGCATATTTGAAGACATTAATGACCTTATAATCCTAACAAAACAGGTATTTCCTGCAGCTAAGATTAATTTCTTTTCACTTGTCCCTAGGAAGGCAAGTTATCTTACACATATTAGAAATATGCATAAGTTTAATGACCTATTAAGTGAGATGTGTAAGAAAGAAAGTATAAGATTTGTTGACTTTTTCTCTTTTTTCCTAAAGAAGACACCTACTATGTGTAAGAAAGAAAGTATAAGATTTGTTGACTTTTTCTCTTTTTTCCTAAAGAAGACACCTACTATGTGGCTTTTAGATTTTAATATGTTTAACAGGGATGGTATCCATCTTAATCCTGTTGGAACCAGTGTGTTAGCCAAAGTTCTTATTGGCGTTGCTAACCAACCTAGGTAGTCATCTTGTAACATGTTCAACTTATAGAATTCAGAGAACTCTTTCATTTTTAACGAACATTATAGCTTAACAATGCTCTCATATTTGTTCCCATATTTATTAATTGACAATATTTTAATTCATTAACTTCTTGCTTCTTTAACAGAGTATAATTCAGTACATATTTTCCAGTCTCCATTTTAACTTTGAGTTTTAAACTAATTTATGGGAGTCACGTTTTTACAACACAGAACAGTGATTGGTCTATACTCTCCCAAAGTCAAATGCAATGCTAAATTAAATATAGATTCAATTACCACTATAGAGAAAAGTGCTATTTTAAAGATGATTTATGGAGTAGTGATTGTTGTATATGTGTATATGATCTGTCTGTTATTGGCGGGGGCCATTGAAACAGCAAGTGAATACTCAGACCAAATATTTCGTATGCATCGCTCGTACAAGATCGGACTACACCTGACCAATGACTGGGACTGCCTTATGAACAGTGCAAATCTTGTAGTCCTAATGATCATCTATTCAAAGAAACAAAATGGAATAGCCCTATGGATAGTGAAGTATGGTTGTCCCAGACGTTACTCTTCCGCTAAGTGTAGTGGACATCAGTTCCTAAGTAACATGTTCACCATCTGGACGACCATTCTGAACTTAGTTTTGCTTGTTATCTGCAATACAAGCATACTTAACCCAGGTCCAGTTGATAACAATAACCTCAGTCATCTAAAGGTAATGTACCAAAATTTGAGAGGGCTTGTCCCCTTTAGTGGCCTAGCATCTAAAAACATGCCGCTTGATGCTGGTAAACTACTAGAGCTCCAATCTAAGATCTATGAAGACAAGCCTGATGTTATTGTTCTGACTGAGACTTGGCTTTCAAAAGAGCACCTGGAAAATGAGATCCTCCCTGATAGCATCTACAAGATATATCGGAAGGATAGATCCAAAAGATCCCACCCCCCGGATCCTGATAACCCAAATAAGTTTCGAAGGAAGGGGGGCGGAGTCCTTATTGCAGTCAAGACTGGCATCAGTATTGAAAATGACAAGATTGATGTCAGCTCTAGGGCTGAAATGATCTCAGTCAGCCTAAAATCAAACAACTCATGCTACTGCATAACTGCCTGCTATAGAGTTGGCACCCTTGGTGAAAATAATTTTAATGAAATTGAGAAACACCTCAGAAATGTGGTAGGACGGAGAAAGTTTAAGGCCCACTTTGTAGTTGGGGACTTCAATCTACCTGAACGACGACATGTCAGAATGCGTAAGTGAAGGTACAAAGATAGCCCTATACGCTGATGACACCAAAATATGGCGTAAAATCACGGGCTGGAGAGACCATGAGATCCTACAAGCAGACATAGACGCCCTGCATTGCTGGGCAGTAAGAAACAAAATGAAGTTTCACCCAAATAAATGCAAGGTGCTCTCTATATCTAGCAAAATGAGTGAAAAGGGAATTTTGAGTTTTTTCCCCTTCCAGCTCTTTGTCTATACCCTAGATGGAACGGCACTAGACTTCGTCCAGAGTGAAAAAGACCTTGGGGTCTTTGTTAGAACTGACCTTAAGTGGGAGGAGAACATAGTCAACCTTTGTACGAAAGCTAGTTCTCGTCTAGGTCTAATGAAAAGAACTCTACGGTTTATTAACGACCGTAAACAAAAACGGGCATTCTATCTAGCGCTGGTTAGGAGCCTTTTCGAAAATTGCAGTGTTGTCTGGAGACCAACAAGTGTTGTCTTGAATAACAAAGTTGAAAACATTCAGCGCAGAGCAGTTAAGTGGATCCTTGGCGAACAGGATCATCACTATAATGACTTAGAATACTTGGCTCGATTAAGAGAGCTAGACATGTTGCCAATGGAGCTGAAGTTTGAATACACAGACTTACTATTATTCCATCAGATATACAATGGTCAATCTGTTCTGAAGCTCCCACCTTATTTAACCCCGATAACAACCAGTGAACAGGGTAGGTTGCGTTCAAACATAAGGCAACCCTCGAGATATAATGAAGTTGATACATCTCAAATGCCTGATATCAACCAGAGGCGACAGAACAGACACGACCACCTTTCCCTGAAGTGTACTGTGGAAGCAAAAGCCCACTCCTTTAAGAGAAGCTTCTTCTTCAGAACACACAGTGTCTGGAATGACCTACCAACTGACCTTAAAGAGATAAGTGATGCCGGAACTTTTAAGGCAAACCTGGCAAAACACTTTTGGGACAAATTGACAGACCCTGACTAAGTTAATGAGTGCAAATGATATTTATATGTGGGCCCCCGCCACTGATAGATCGGTCACGATACTGAATATAACAACTATAATATAAAAAGAAATCTATTAAATAATATTAAATAACATTTACGTTCTGTCACCATGATTTGACCCTGGTGCAGTCCTCAGTTAATATACTTAACTGGATTACGCGAACTTTATATCCGACTGTAATCTTGCTTTTAATCGCTGTGTGATGATACGCGCGCAATTTTTGGCGCATTATGAGTCAGGTCATGGATACATTATGTATTTATTTTGATAATTCTAAATTTGCGTGTTTTAGATACATTTTGTGTGTTTAGATGGAGGTGGTGTTAGTGAGTCTGGGAGTAGAACTATTACCTGTAATACGTATACCCCCAGAACTTGTACCACTTAACCATGCTTTTAGTATTTATACAATATGGACTACAACTTTTACCCTACAAATGCCTCATGATAATAATGTCGTATATTTTTAATTCTCTTTGCTGTATTGTATAATGTACTATTTGTAAAAGTTTCAAATCAAATCGTATATCTTTTACGGTTTTTTGCGTAAAGTCGCGTTTAAGTTGATGCCGTGGTGTCAGTAAAATGGTACGGATAAACACATACATCCATCCATATATTATTTCGTCTTGCTTTATATATAGTAAGATAAAACCGCTTGACCAGGAACCCCATATTGAGTTTTATTAATCTCACCTTCAGTTTGAACATTTTGCAATGTTACTTGGGCCAAAAGGAGAAATATATATGCAGATACCATCCCGTTCCTTACGAGATTAGTTATCTTCTTCATCAATAACACTATAACAGCTTGGTTAGTGTACTGTTATGCTGTTTTTGCCATCCTCATGAGTATAATTTAATCCTGTAAACAATAACATTAATAATCAATATATTTTATTCTAACACTGAACGTATCTCTTTGAATTCCCGAGTACAGCAAGCAACACTTTTACTGCACAATTGATTAAACAATTCTCATTAACGTGTAGTGTGTTGGTCTTGTTCGTTAAGGAATTTTATTTAGTTAAGTTATCAAATAAATAAAACATGCGATCTGGACAACTGAAAAAAGTTAAACAACATCAACAAAGTTAAGATCTCACCAATATTTGAAGCAATCATCCCAAAAGCATTGTACGACACTTGTCTTGTAGTGATTGTAGCCTTTTCATTAGGCAATTGACACCATCAATAAGTTAAACACAGAACAAAGACAGTTCTTGTATTAGCCCATTTTGAGAAAGCCGAACTCAACCCTGCACATAATAAATTCACAATGTCTTCCCTATATATTTAAATCATCGCAGATATCAATGTATTATTTGTATATCTGTAGTCACGGATCACACAATTCTATTTCTGGAACAGCATGATCTTGACGTGCACCATATGTCTGAAATGATAATATAAGTTGAATGAATAACAATATCTCATACTGTGTTATTGTTAATCCACAGAGAAAGCAGCTACTGCGTTACTTAGGATGGTTTTTGTGAAAATTATGCGCGCACGCGTTAGGTCCCTCGCCCTTATATTTGGTTTTTTGTAGTCCACTGCGTTAAAAGATGAAATTTCAAGAAATACTATGCGTTGGTAAATATATAGAACCGAACACACATTTGTTTGTGTTTATCACACTAGATTTGTGCATTGTGACTTTCGCACGGTATTTAAGGAATAATAAGGTCAGTTAATCTAGTCTCTATGAGCACAATGCACGTGCAATGCACGTACAATTTAGTTTATGAAAAGCATTAATATCTATATGACTAAATACCCCTTCTAATTTTGAAAACTGATTGAGTTGTTACAATTTTAATGAGATCAATTCCGCAAATATCGCGAACCAAGATACGGGCAAAAACATTTGGCGGCCAAATTCTGAATTTTTCTGAGAACATTTTGGAATTTGGCCGCCAAATTTTTTTGGAGGCCTAAATCAAAAATCCATTCTCCAAATAAGGTTGAAATGCAATTTCGAGTCGATTCAGAAAATTTCATGCAAAAATTTTGAAAACTGATTGAGTTGTTACAATTTTAATGAGATCAATTCCGCGAATATCGCGAACCAAGATACGGGCAATTTAGTTCATCTTTTGTGGTTTTTTCGCCTTAGTATCCACATTTAAACAGATATAAAGCTATAACTTACAGAGAATATGTAGTTTAAGCTTACCTTTCATAAAAAGTAAGTCTTATTCAAAATTATTGATATTTTACCAATTTATTGGACGAAATCTACCAAATTTGGTGCGTATGCCAAAATATGGGCATATGGTTTTTGGCTCATAACTCAGTCATTTTTTGTCCAATCTTGATGAAATTTCAAAAACCTGGGTTTTGGGCATGTTCAGGGTATTTGGCTAAATTGGGCCTAATTTGGACCAAATATGGGCATGGCTGCCCTGCGCGCACCGTTTGGCGGTTGGGGTTCGGGAACCCCTCAAAAGTTCGGTCACTGGTCCTAGTTTGTTGGTCAACTGCTATCTCGAAATCAAGTTTCACAAAAAAACACCCATTTTAGAAAGCGATTCGACAGAAAGGTCACGTGAAATAACTTTGCGAATGTTGCTATAGCAATGTCAGAAATGACGCGTGCACTTAGCACTAGCTATAATATTCGCTACCCTGGTATGACATACAATAATCTCGATTTCTAACCCTCGCGTCGTCAATGGCTTTTTTGAGAATTCGCATTAATGAGAAGAATGAGATGAGTTATAAACAACATATTATCTGGGCAGAAAGAATGAGATGAGTTATAAACAACATATTATCTGGGCAGGAAGAATGAGATGAGTTATAAACAACATATTATCTGGGCAGGAAGAATGAGATGAGTTATAAACAACATATTATCTGGGCAGGAAGAATGAGATGAGTTATAAATAACATATTATCTGGGCAGGAAGAATGAGATGAGTTATAAACAACGTATTATTTGGGCAGGAAGAATGAGATGAGTTATAAATACCATATTATCTGGGCAGGAAGAATGAGATGAGTTATAAATAACATATTATCTGGGCAGGAAGAATGAGATGAGTTATAAACAACATATTATCTGGGAAGGAAGAATGAGATGAGTTATAAACAACATATTATCTGGGCAGGAAGAATGAGATGAGTTATAAATAACATATTATCTGGGCAGGAAGAATGAGATGAGTTATAAATAACATATTATCTGGGCAGGAAGAATGATATGAGTTATAAATAACGTATTATCTGGGCAGGAAGAATGAGATGAGTTATAAATACCATATTATCTGGGCAGGAAGAATGAGATGAGTTATAAATAACTTATTATCTGGGCAGGAAGAATGAGATGAGTTATAAATAACGTATTATCTGGGCAGGAAGAATGAGATGAGTTATAAATACCATATTATCTGGGCAGGAAGAATGAGATGAGTTATAAATAACGTATTATCTGGGCAGGAAGAATGAGATGAGTTATAAATAACGTATTATCTGGGTAGGAAGAATGAGATGAGTTATAAATAACATATTATCTGGGCAGGAAGAATGAGATGAGTTATAAATAACATATTATCTGGGCAGGAAGAATGAGATGAGTTATAAATAACGTATTATCTGGGCAGGAAGAATGAGATGAGTTATAAATACCATATTATCTGGGCAGGAAGAATGAGATGAGTTATAAATAACTTATTATCTGGGCAGGAAGAATGAGATGAGTTATAAATAACGTATTATCTGGGCAGGAAGAATGAGATGAGTTATAAATACCATATTATCTGGGCAGGAAGAATGAGATGAGTTATAAATAACGTATTATCTGGGCAGGAAGAATGAGATGAGTTATAAATAACGTATTATCTGGGCAGGAAGAATGAGATGAGTTATAAATAACGTATTATCTGGGCAGGAAGAATGAGATGAGTTATAAATAACGTATTATCTGGGTAGGAAGAATGAGATGAGTTATAAATAACATATTATCTGGGCAGGAAGAATGAGATGAGTTATAAATAACATATTATCTGGGCAGGAAGAATGAGATGAGTTATAAATAACGTATTATCTGGGTAGGAAGAATGAGATGAGTTATGAATAACATATTATCTGGGCAGGAAGAATGAGATGAGTTATAAATAACATATTATCTGGGCAGGAAGAATGAGATGAGTTATAAATAACATATTATCTGGGCAGGAAGAATGAGATGAGTTATAAATAACGTATTATCTGGGCAGGAAGAAGACTGTTCAACACTGCAGATCCGAGCAGTGTAGTTGAAACTGACGGAACAACCTCCGGACAGCCCCTCAAAGAGTACGTGTTCTGTTCTACAGTGGAGTACATAGGTAATCCATTATAGCTATCATTACATAGGTAATCCATTATAACTATCATTACATAGGTAATCCATTATAGCTATCATTACATGCAATGCTCCTTCGGCGGTTCTCTATTTTGTGAGAAATTGTACCATCCCCAACTTCTCCTATAGCCTAGTGAATCATGTTTAAATTTGATTATGTTTCAACTAGTTACTGGCAATATTGCTAAGTTGTTACCGGCCAGATGTAGACGGGGTGGAACACAACGTAAAGTTGGACCCCCCCCGGCCCCCCCCAATATTGCTAAGTTGTTACCGGCCAGATGTAGACGGGGTGGAACACAACGTGAAGTTGGACCCCCCCCGGCCCCCCCCAATATTGCTAAGTTGTTACCGGCCAGATGTAGACGGGGTGGAACACAACGTGAAGTTGGACCCCCCCCCCCCCCCCCCAATATTGCTAAGTTGTTACCCGCCAGATGTAGACGGGGTGGAGCACAACGTGAAGTCTGTGATTCAGAAGAACGGTGGTAAGGTGTATAAGAAGTTTACTGCTAAATGTAACGCGCTGGTAACTGCGGACCTGGACACGGATAACAAGACTATTAAACGTGCTGCCGGTCTGGAGATCCCTATTGTAAACTGTGAGAAGTTAATTAAAGGTGAGAACGGGTGTTGAATTGTTTATAGAATTACACAAATGTGGGATCATGTTTACCTGACTATCAAACCACATTTTATGAGATGTTATTTTGCGCTGTATAGTCGGTATATTATTACTGAGTTTTAACATGCTTTTCCAGGCCTGTTATCTTGCTCCATTTCTGACATATCAACCCTGTGCTACTCTGGGTACGAAGGAGATGACTACGTTAAGAAGAGGAGATCAATAAGTGGTCTCAAGAGTGCTGCTAAGAGTGAACGTAATGAGGCAGATACAAGTGCTAAACGGGCCAAAATAACTGTACAGAATGGAGCAGAGGTGTTCCACGAAACCGGTTTCAGTGGTAATAAGGACGTTCAGGTGATTTATTAAGCTTAATGTAGCCAAGTTATACAGTAAAACTATAGAAGTGCTGGGATGTGACCACGTGGTTATATGTTTATTTACTTGAGGGCACATTCTAGAAAAGGAAAAGGTTTAAAGTTAGACAATTAGCTGTTAATGAAGAGATCATTCTTTGTTTTAACATTTGTCTGAATTTAAAACCTCGATATAAATATAAAGTTCCCTTTCTCAGGTTTACAAAGATGCTAAGGGTGTCGTGTACGCTGCTACGCTGGGTCAAGTGGATATTGCAAAAGGTTTATACTCAATGCTAAATAATGTCATGATATTTTTTTCTCGATCTCATACCTTTTTATCTATATTTATCTATATTTATATATCTTTATATATCTTTAAATGGAGCAGTCTTAGTATTATTTTAAATACTATTTTAAATATATACGTAGTTGTGTATAATTGATGTCAAAGTATTGAAGGGCTTTTTATTACTTACTGTCCGAGTTGATATCCGGACTTTATTTAATGTAAAGTAATTGAGTTTAATAAAATAAAGTAACCTGGTTGGTGATTCAGGTAAGAACTCGTACTACAAGCTGCAAGTGCTAAAGAGAGGAAACAACAAATATATAATGTTCAGAGCCTGGGGTAGGATAGGGACTGATATAGGGGGTACTTGCTTTGATGAGTTCTTCTCTCCTGATGGAGCTATTCAGCTCTTCAAGTGAGTCATTTCATGTGGCTTACCGCTCAACACAATATGCACGCAAATATAAGACAGGGTTATTGAAATTTTAAAAAAGTAAATTATTTTTTCTTAACTTTGAACAAATAAATAACCTCTGATAATACTCTCTTATTTGTCAATATTTACTGAGACTCCACGATAGGACACACTACACGGATAAGACAGGTAACGAGTGGGGAGTCAACTTCGAGAAGATAGCAGGAAGAATGTACCGGATAGATCTGGACTACGGGCCCACTGAGGACCTAGAGACCGTCATTAAACCAGGATCACTTACCAAACTTCATCCTGGTGAGTTGAATAGTAAGACATACCAGGATCTTTTACCAAACTTCATCCTGGTTAGTCGAATAGTAAGAACTAAGACATACCAGGATCATTTACCAAACTTCATCCTGGTTAGTCGAATAGTAAGACATACCAGGATCATTTACTAAACTTCATCCTGGTTAGTTGAATAGTAAGACATACCAGGATCATTTACCATACTTTACTCTGGTTAATTGAATAGTAAGATATACCAGGATCATTTACCTAACTTCATCATGGTTAGTTGAATAGTAAGGCATACCAGGATCATTTACCAAACTTCATCCTGGTTAGTCGAATAGAAAGACATACCAGGATCACTTACCAAACTTCATCCTGGTTAGTTGAATAGTAAGACATACCAGGATCACTTACCAAACTTCATCCTGGTTAATTGAATAGTAAGACATACCAGGATCACTTACCAAACTTCATCCTGGTTAGTTGAATAGTAAGACATACCAGGATCACTTACATTACCAAACTTCATCCTGGTTAGTTGAATAGTAAGACATACCAGGATCTTTTACCAAACTTCATCCTGGTTAGTCGAATAGTAAGAACTAAGACATACCAGGATCATTTACCAAACTTCATCCTGGTTAGTCGAATAGTAAGACATACCAGGATCATTTACTAAACTTCATCCTGGTTAGTTGAATAGTAAGACATACCAGGATCATTTACCATACTTTACTCTGGTTAATTGAATAGTAAGATATACCAGGATCATTTACCTAACTTCATCATGGTTAGTTGAATAGTAAGGCATACCAGGATCATTTACCAAACTTCATCCTGGTTAGTCGAATAGAAAGACATACCAGGATCACTTACCAAACTTCATCCTGGTTAGTTGAATAGTAAGACATACCAGGATCACTTACCAAACTTCATCCTGGTTAATTGAATAGTAAGACATACCAGGATCACTTACCAAACTTCATCCTGGTTAGTTGAATAGTAAGACATACCAGGATCACTTACCAAACTTCATCCTGGTTAGTTGAATAGTAAGACATACCAGGATCACTTACCAAACTTCATCCTGGTTAGTTGAATAGTAAGACATACCAGGATCATTTACCAAACTTCATCCTGGTTAGTTGAATAGTAAGACATACCAGGATCACTTACCAAACTTCATCCTGGTTAGTTGAATAGTAAGGCATACCAGGATCACTTACCAAACTTCATCCTGGTTAGTTGAATAGTAAGACATACCAGGATCACTTACCAAACTTCATCCTGGTTAGTTGAATAGTAAGACATACCAGGATCACTTACCAAACTTCATCCTGGTTTGTCGAATAGTAAGACATACCAGGATCACTTACCTAACTTCATCCTGGTTAGTTGAATAGTAAGGCATACCAGGATCACTTACCTAACTTCATCCTGGTTAGTTGAATAGTAAGACATACCAGGATCACTTACCAAACTTCATCCTGGTTAGTTGAATAGTAAGACATACCAGGATCACTTACCAAACTTCATCCTGGTTAGTTGAATAGTAAGGCATACCAGGATCACTTACCAAACTTCATCCTGGTTAGTTGAATAGTAAGACATACCAGGATCACTTACCAAACTTCATCCTGGTTAGTTGAATAGTAAGACATACCAGGATCACTTACCAAACTTCATCCTGGTTTGTCGAATAGTAAGACATACCAGGATCACTTACCTAACTTCATCCTGGTTAGTTGAATAGTAAGGCATACCAGGATCACTTACCTAACTTCATCCTGGTTAGTTGAATAGTAAGACATACCAGGATCACTTACTAAACTTGTAAACTTGAGCTGATGAAACTTAAATTCGACTCAATCTTAGGTATTCAAGCACTTGTAAAGCTGATATTTGACATCAACGTGATGAAGGAGATGCTCCTGGAGTTCGAGATAGATCTCAATAAAATGCCACTGGGAAAACTGTCAAGGTATGAGAATAGTGTCTTTTACTCATAAACCGGACACGTAACCACTGCAGTACCGGGGGGGGGGGGGGGGGGGGGCTCGAAATCTGCAAACTCTGTCCCCCTTACAGACCATTCAGAACCCCTCTACATTCCACCCTATTATCCCTCCACAGTCCACTCATAACCCCTCCCCATTCCACCCCCTTATCCCTCCACAGTCCACTTATAACCCCTCCCCATTCCACCCCCTTATCCCTCCACAGTCCACTTATAACCCCTCCCCATTCCACCCCCTACCCCTCCACAGTCCACCTTTTGATGGATTGACTTGTTAATTGTCAGTATCTTATTTATTACAGAAATCAGATAAGGGAAGCGTTTACAGTGCTGTCTTCAGCTCAGGAATATTTGGAGGACTTAGAGGAGAACAAGATCAAGATATTAGACGCCTCCACAAGGTACAACACCGGGGGGCGGGGGGGGTGTCAGCACAATTGCATATCTAATATCCAACCTTCGTTAATTTCTAGACAAGATCTTAACAAGGCTGAGAGGGCTGTATTGTTTACTATTCTTATGGGGACTGCAAACCAACAAAATTCAATCGCCATAGCTAAATCATGACTTCTTTTGGTCTAACAGAATTCCATTTCATTACAACTACATCATGTTCTTGTTTGCTCCTAAACTGCTGGCAACTTCGTAAACAGTTGGCAACTGCGCGTTCATATATCTAGGGTTCTAACATAACCCCTTTGGCATTTACATTACAGCTGAGACTTGAGAGGTCTGAGGAGACTCAAATATCCGCCACTATCGACAAAAACTTGATCCTAATCATTCCATTTTATTGTACCCCACCCCAATCTCTGTCTTCACAAAATAGATAACTATTTTTGTCCCTTCCACTTTAGGGCTAGATGGGTTCCTGCTATTAAAACTAACAGATATGATAAACCTTTCATTTGTCAGCCACAATTTGTAGAGTTAAATGGAAATGATTACAATGACATTGATAATTTGTGATGTGTAGGTTTTACACCCTTATTGTGTAGGTTTTACACCCTTATTGTGTAGGTTTTACACCCTGATCCCACATGACTTTGGTATGGCCTCTCCACCACTTCTCAACACACTGGACCTTATCTCCAATAAAACCAAGATGTTAGAGACCCTACTGGAACTGGAAATAGCCTACAGTATGACAAGGACAGGTTAGTTAGAGACCCTACTGGAACTGGAAATAGCCTACAGTATGCCTAGGACAGGTTAGTTAGAGACACTACTGGAACTGGAAATAGCCTACAGTATGACCAGGACAGGTTAGTTAGAGACACTACTGGAACTGGAAATAGCCTACAGTATGACAAGGACTGGTTAGTTAGAGACACTACTGGAACTGGAAATAGCCTACAGTATGCCCAGGACATGTTAGTTAGAGACACTACTGGAACTGGAAATAGCCTACAGTATGACCAGGACAGGTGAGTTAGAGACCCTACTGGAACTGGAAATAGCCTACAGTATGACCAGGACAGGTTAGTTAGAGACCCTACTGGAACTGGAAATAGTCTACAGTATGACCAGGACAGGTGAGTTAGAGACCCTACTGGAACTGGAAATAGCCTACAGTATGACCAGGACAGGTTAGTTAGAGACACTACTGGAACTGGAAATAGCCTACAGTATGACCAGGACAGGTGAGTTAGAGACCCTACTGGAACTGGAAATAGCCTACAGTATGACCAGGACAGGTTAGTTAGAGACACTACTGGAACTGGAAATAGCCTACAGTATGACCAGGACAGGTTAGTTAGAGACACTACTGGAACTGGAAATAGCCTACAGTATGACCAGGACAGGTGAGTTAGAGACCCTACTGGAACTGGAAATAGCCTACAGTATGACCAGGACAGGTTAGTTAGAGACCCTACTGGAACTGGAAATAGCCTACAGTATGACAAAGACAGGTTAGTTAGAGACCCTACTGGAACTGGAAATAGCCTACAGTATGACAAGGACAGGTTAGTTAGAGACACTACTGGAACTGGAAATAGCCTACAGTATGACCAGGACATGTTAGTTAGAGACACTACTGGAACTGGAAATAGCCTACAGTATGACCAGGACAGGTTAGTTAGAGACACTACTGGAACTGGAAATAGCCTACAGTATGACCAGGACAGGTTAGTTAGAGACACTACTGGAACTGGAAATAGCCTACAGTATGACCAGGACAGGTTAGTTAGAGACCCTACTGGAACTGGAAATAGTCTACAGTATGACCAGGACAGGTTAGTTAGAGACCCTACTGGAACTGGAAATAGCCTACAGTATGACCAGGACAGGTTAGTTAGAGACACTACTGGAACTGGAAATAGCCTACAGTATGACCAGGACAGGTTAGTTAGAGACCCTACTGGAACTGGAAATAGCCTACAGTATGACCAGGACAGGTTAGTTAGAGACCCTACTGGAACTTGAAATAGCCTACAGTATGACAAAGACAGGTTAGTTAGAGACCCTACTGGAACTGGAAATAGCCTACAATATGACAAGGACAGGTTAGTTAGAGACACTACTGGAACTGGAAATAGCCTACAGTATGACCAGGACAGGTTAGTTAGAAACCCTACTGGAACTGGAAATAGCCTACAGTATGACCAGGACAGGTTAGTTAGAGACACTACTGGAACTGGAAATAGCCTACAGTATGACCAGGACAGGTTAGTTAGAGACCCTACTGGAACTGGAAATAGCCTACAGTATGACCAGGACAGGTTAGTTAGAGACACTACTGGAACTGGAAATAGCCTACAGTATGACCAGGACAGGTTAGTTAGAGACACTACTGGAACTGGAAATAGCCTACAATATGACCAGGACAGGTTAGTTAGAGACACTACTGGAACTGGAAATAGCCTACAGTATGACAAGGACAGGTTAGTTAGAGACACTACTGGAACTGGAAATAGCCTACAGTATGACAAGGACAGGTTAGTTAGAGACACTACTGGAACTGGAAATAGCCTACAGTATGACCAGGACAGGTTAGTTAGAGACACTACTGGAACTGGAAATAGCCTACAGTATGACAAGGACAGGTTAGTTAGAGACCCTACTGGAACTGGAAATAGCCTACAGTATGACCAGGACAGGTTAGTTAGAGACACTACTGGAACTGGAAATAGCCTACAGTATGACCAGGACAGGTTAGTTAGAGACACTACTGGAACTGGAAATAGCCTACAGTATGACCAGGACAGGTTAGTTAGAGACCCTACTGGAACTGGAAATAGCCTACAGTATGACCAGGACAGGTTAGTTAGAGACACTACTGGAACTGGAAATAGCCTACAGTATGACCAGGACAGGTTAGTTAGAGACACTACTGGAACTGGAAATAGCCTACAGTATGACCAGGACAGGTTAGTTAGAGACACTACTGGAACTGGAAATAGCCTACAGTATGACCAGGACAGGTTAGTTAGAGACACTACTGGAACTGGAAATAGCCTACAGTATGACCAGGACAGGTTAGTTAGAGACACTACTGGAACTGGAAATAGCCTACAGTATGACCAGGACAGGTTAGTTAGAGACACTACTGGAACTGGAAATAGCCTACAGTATGACCAGGACAGGTTAGTTAGAGACACTACTGGAACTGGAAATAGCCTACAGTATGACCAGGACAGGTTAGTTAGAGACACTACTGGAACTGGAAATAGCCTACAGTATGACCAGGACAGGTTAGTTAGAGACACTACTGGAACTGGAAATAGCCTACAGTATGACCAGGACAGGTTAGTTAGAGACACTACTGGAACTGGAAATAGCCTACAGTATGACCAGGACAGGTTAGTTAGAGACACTACTGGAACTGGAAATAGCCTACAGTATGACCAGGACAGGTTAGTTAGAGACACTACTGGAACTGGAAATAGCCTACAGTATGACCAGGACAGGTTAGTTAGAGACACTACTGGAACTGGAAATAGCCTACAGTATGACCAGGACAGGTTAGTTAGAGACCCTACTGGAACTGGAAATAGCCTACAGTATGACCAGGACAGGTTAGTTAGAGACACTACTGGAACTGGAAATAGCCTACAGTATGACCAGGACAGGTTAGTTAGAGACACTACTGGAACTGGAAATAGCCTACAGTATGACCAGGACAGGTTAGTTAGAGACACTACTGGAACTGGAAATAGCCTACAGTATGACAAGGACAGGTTAGTTAGAGACCCTACTGGAACTGGAAATAGCCTACAGTATGACCAGGACAGGTTAGTTAGAGACACTACTGGAACTGGAAATAGCCTACAGTATGACCAGGACAGGTTAGTTAGAGACCCTACTGGAACTGGAAATAGCCTACAGTATGACCAGGACAGGTTAGTTAGAGACACTACTGGAACTGGAAATAGCCTACAGTATGACCAGGACAGGTTAGTTAGAGACCCTACTGGAACTGGAAATAGCCTACAGTATGACCAGGACAGGTTAGTTAGAGACCCTACTGGAACTGGAAATAGCCTACAGTATGACAAGGACAGGTTAGTTAGAGACACTACTGGAACTGGAAATAGCCTACAGTATGACCAGGACAGGTTAGTTAGAGACACTACTGGAACTGGAAATAGCCTACAGTATGACAAGGACAGGTTAGTTAGAGACACTACTGGAACTGGAAATAGCCTACAGTATGACCAGGACAGGTTAGTTAGAGACACTACTGGAACTGGAAATAGCCTACAGTATGACCAGGACAGGTTAGTTAGAGACCCTACTGGAACTGGAAATAGCCTACAGTATGACCAGGACAGGTTAGTTAGAGACACTACCGGAACTGGAAATAGCCTACAGTATGACCAGGACAGGTTAGTTAGAGACACTACCGGAACTGGAAATAGCCTACAGTATGACCAGGACAGGTTAGTTAGAGACCCTACTGGAACTGGAAATAGCCTACAGTATGACCAGGACAGGTTAGTTAGAGACCCTACTGGAACTGGAAATAGCCTACAGTATGACCAGGACAGGTTAGTTAGAGACCCTACTGGAACTGGAAATAGCCTACAGTATGACCAGGACAGGTTAGTTAGAGACACTACTGGAACTGGAAATAGCCTACAGTATGACCAGGACAGGTTAGTTAGAGACCCTACTGGAACTGGAAATAGCCTACAGTATGACAAGGACAGGTTAGTTAGAGACCCTACTGGAACTGTAAATAGCCTACAGTATGACCAGGACATGTTAGTTAGAGACACTACTGGAACTGGAAATAGCCTACAGTATGACCAGGACAGGTTAGTTAGAGACACTACTGGAACTGGAAATAGCCTACAGTATGACCAGGACAGGTTAGTTAGAGACACTACTGGAACTGGAAATAGCCTACAGTATGACCAGGACATGTTAGTTAGAGACACTACTGGAACTGGAAATAGCCTACAGTATGACAAGGTCAGGTTAGTTAGAGACACTACTGGAACTGGAAATAGCCTACAGTATGATTAGGACAGGTTAGTTAGAGACACTACTGGAACTGGAAATAGCCTACAGTATGACCAGGACAGGTTGGTATTTAAAGGGGATTAGTATTATAGTAGTCACATTGTACCCATTAACTAAAGCTCGTATTCGGGAAACTCATGTTAACCTTCCGTAGTCATGAAGTCAATGATTGAGCATAGTTCAATTGAAGATCAATTAGTTTATTTGATTATATTTTATTGAATAATTATATGTTATAATTATGAAGTTATGAGCATAATTTTATTGAATTTAATTATGATTATAATTTAGGTGCGGATGACAAGGATAAGGACCCAATTGACAGTCACTTCCTTAAGTTAAAGTCCGATATCAGTGTTCTTAAGAGAGACTCGCAGGTTAGTGGGGACATGTTTAATTGAAGAGATATGAAGTAATATATGACAAAACTCATAATCCATAAAATTTTTTCATATTGTCAAAGCTTCTAAATACCGGATATAATACATATTATTTAGGTAGATAAATCGATGCAAATCTGTATTCAAATATTTGACACTGACATGTTGTTGGAACTATTAGTATTAGTAGATGTGATATTATAAGTAAAGATAACATTCAGTAAGGGTCCTGGTTATGTACTGACTAAGCTAAGTAAGTTTTGTGGATTCCATCACTGTATCTCGACAGACACCCCTATATCGACATTCGATATACAATGTATGACGACATACAGTGTGATTTGCTACTGTATATCGACATGATCTTTATGATAAAAATCGGGGATGTTACCAAATAGCAGTCTTATACATCGTTTTGCAATTGCATTCAATAGCTAATACAACTACAAGCTAAGCATAAATACAAGGTGCTGTTCTCTAGTGCATTGTGCTGTTCTCCATGCGGTTCGGCTTTGTATTAGAAATACAAGGCAAAACTGATCGAGAATAGACGACTTCAAGTCTCCGTCGTACTCCGTTTTAGGAGCAAATTCGCAAATTGTATGTATGTATATATATATTTGTATGTATGTATATATATATTTGTATGTATGTATATATATATTTTGAGTATTTTCGGACCACATCGCACTGATATGAAGAATGATTTGGTATATCACTGTATTTTTGAGTGGACAATTTTTGAGAAAATGAGAAATCCATGCTGAATTTCTCAGATTCAAAAATAATTTTGAGAAAATGAGAAATCCATGCTGAATTTCTCAGATTCAAAAATAATTTTGAGAAAATGAGAAATCCATGCTGAATTTCTCAGATTCAAAAATAATTTTGAGAAAATGAGAAATCCATGCTGAATTTCTCAGATTCAAAAATAGTTTTTGAGACATTTTTGAGTATTCCCGGCGAAAATGGTCAAATTCTCAGATTCAAAAATTCTCATAACGAGTGTATGTCGAGATACAATGTACTATTTTGTGGATCACATGGCGATATAATATCGTGCGTGTCGAGACACAGTGTGATTACCGTGTTCAGTGTTACACTTACATTCTCTACTGTTCTCAGTGTTATGATATACATTATGAAGGAGCACTACCCAGAGGCATTACTCGGCACTAACGCCTTAAAATCTTTAATTACAATCAAAAATTAATGTATACACACATGCATAATTATGATAACGCTATCAGCAAATTAGCAAATTCGCAAATTAGCAAATTAGCAAATTAGCAAATTAGCAAATTAGCAAATTAGCAAATTAGCAAATTAGCAAATTAGCAAATACCCAATACTCTGCCAGGAGTTTGACTTGTTGGAGAAGTACGTTTCATCTACACACGCTGAAACACACAACCTCTACACACTGCAGATAGAGAACATCTTCAAAGTGGATAGACAGGTATTATTATTATTTATTATTATTATCAAACTTTACACAAATCTTATCTGAAGTTTTAAACAATAAACATCCTCAAAGAAGATCGGTAAAAGCTTACAATTATTGTTAGATGGCAATAAACTTAAAAACATAAAACGTGTTTAAACATATCTTTTAATGCAAAAACTTAAACTTCTAAACAGTCAAGTACTCACAGTATATGTTACCCTCCCGTTATTCAATTAATAAACCGTTATTATTAAATTATTAAATAAAAGTTCCAAACAAGGGATAGTTAAAAACAACGCCCAAGTCTTATCTTTCCCTAAAACAAATAACTAAATATCAAAACTTCATTGTAATTTTTGCCAATATCTCTTGTCATAAGCTAAATTACGGAGATAATACAGACCAAAAATATTATTCATAAAAAGATTTCTTTTACATAAATCATGTACCCTCCCATTATTCAATTAATAAACGTTAGTCCTTCAGTCGGAAAACAAACAAACAATTATTCATTAAATTTTTATTAAAATAAATTAGTATTTTACTGGTTATGATAGTTTAATTAAACATTGTGTTGACGATTAATGATTATATAAAAATAATTATCCCCAAGAAGTAAGCTTTAAAAATATAATCAATAATTCTCCTTGCTCTTTACAATCCTTCTTATCTTGACCGTTGCCTCTTTTAAGCTGGCGCACAACAAGATTAGATAATAATGGTATCAATGATTGCTGTGTAGTGGTAAAGGAAAATCAGGGTGACTAAAATTACTGTAGTTCATAAGAACGAAATCTGCTTGAAATATCTTGTAAATCCTGTCAATAAGTCCAGGATCCTGTTTAGATAACCATTCCTTGGCGCGAACAGCAGAGGACTGCTTCCTCGGATCATTAGAGTTATCATATGACCCGTACAGTTCGGTTGAGGTATGAATCTTCTCTACAATCACATTGTTAAGAAGGCTGGAGTACTCGAGGGGTATAATGTAGTCGTATGTAGCTGAGGGTATACAGAGTGTATGGTGTTGAGGGGTGAAGTGAGCATTTGATCTATTGTAATTGTCAGGAAACCACCGCAGAAACTGATCGAAAGTAGGGTGATTACTATTACTACTCATATTGTCCATCTCGTTCATTTCTCTAGCTACCGTTTTAGCTAGTTTAATAAATGGTGCCCCCCTGGTGCCTAGTTCAGGAGATAGCTTGTCCCTGTAACCAGATACCAGTCTAGTCCAGGGGTTCCTTACAACTGCAAAACTAAACACATCCTCTGCCTCCCCTGCTTTCTTAGAGTTATCATTGTAATTCAAACGAAATGTTTCGGAGTATTGGGTGTGTACCAGATTCACTAGTTCTGGTTTTATTGTCATATTGAGAGCACCCTCCGCTTTTAATAAGAACTCTATCCAATTAGAGGACCCTGATTTAGGGATACCAGTGAAAATAGTCTTGATGTTTGGGAAGTAGAAAGTGTGTTTATAGTGTCTACAGTTCCAGACATTAGGAGAGCTGCTAGGGGTGTAGCCTAGCATTGACAGTACTTTACTCATCTGGGATCGTATCCAATATTGTGAGGGCGCCTCTTTGTCAACATTATCTCTTTCATCATCCTTTGTCCCCCTTTCTTTTTCATGAATTGGACCGGATTTCTTGCCCTGACCCCTGTATTCACTCTCCATTTTTCTGGTCGTAATAATAAAACTTTCGTCGATAAGCTCCTGATTAGTCCAAGTAGGTGTGTTTGAACTAAGGAGGAGGACGAGAGCTGTAGCCAAAAGCACTATTAGAAATACATTTAGAATACTTCGCCTTTTGGCCATGTAACGAACCAGATTTAGAGACCTTTGATGTCCTGCTTGTTGAAAAGAAAGATTAAGGTCCGGTATTACTGATTACTATATTATTCACAGATTTATTTAATAAATATGAAGATTTTTAAATGTCACATTTAATTTACAAAACTCCTAGCAGCTATACAAGCAGATAGCAAGAATATCCTAGTTAAACAATACACAAGCAATATACAAGCAATACACAAGCAATATACAAGCAATACACAAGCAATATACAAGCAATACACAAGCAATACACAAGCAATACACAAGCAATATACAAGCAATACACAAGCAATACACAAGCAATATACAAACATCAGTGATTGAAACAATTGTTTGACTTAAGCGGTCGTTTCAATTTGTATCTAGCTCTCAGCTTGCCGATTAAGGTTAACTTAGAGTGGAGCTTCCTCATTGGAACGTGTCCCACATGTTGTCCAAGCGAGTTGAACGTTGTATACATATAATACTGCAGTAGTTCAGAGAGGAAACGTACTTCAGTACTTCAGTTGATGAATTTAGTTTTGAATAGAATCAGGAGCAATGTAAGACAGTATCTAGATACAAACCATTCAATGTTGGTAATTAGTTAGATTAAAATTTACGTGCGATGAAGTGAATCAACCGTGCTTGCGATGATGTAAACCCTGTTTTATCCATTGGTAATATTGGAAATTATAGATGTACTCATCTACTCACATACTCATATAAATATAAATTATAATAAGAATTTGAAGAATTATGTGTGTCTTGCAAAGACTGCTCCTAATTATTGGTTGTTTTAGGGTGAAATATCTAGATACTCGGACTACAGTACTCTACACAACAGAATGCTACTTTGGCACGGATCCAGGACAAGTAACTACGCCGGTATCCTCTCCCAGGTATAATTACTGTTTCTTTTCTACATTACTCTCCCAGGTATAATTACTGCTTCTTTTCTACATTACTCTCCCAGGTATAATTACTGTTTCTTTTCTACATTACTCTCCCAGGTATAATTACTGTTTCTTTTCTACATTACTCTCCCAGGTATAGTTACTGTTTCTTTTCTACATTACTCTCCCAGGTATAATTACTGTTTCTTTTCTACATTACTCTCCCAGGTATAGTTACTGTTTCTTTTCTACATTACTCTCCCAGGTATAATTACTGTTTCTTTTCTACATTACTCTCCCAGGTATAATTACTGTTTCTTTTCTACATTACTCTCCCAGGTATAATTACTGTTTCTTTTCTACATTACTCTCCCAGGTATAATTACTGTTTCTTTTCTACATTACTCTCCCAGGTATAATTACTGTTTCTTTTCTACATTACTCTCCCAGGTATAATTACTGTTTCTTTTCTACATTACTCTCCCAGGTATAATTACTGTTTCTTTTCTACATTACTCTCCCAGGTATAATTACTGTTTCTTTTCTACATTACTCTCCCAGGTATAATTACTGTTTCTTTTCTACATTACTCTCCCAGGTATAATTACTGTTTCTTTTCTACATTACTCTCCCAGGTATAATTACTGTTTCTTTTCTACATTACTCTCCCAGGTATAATTACTGTTTCTTTTCTACATTACTCTCCCAGGTATAATTACTGTTTCTTTTCTACATTACTCTCCCAGGTATAATTACTGTTTCTTTTCTACATTACTCTCCCAGGTATAATTACTGTTTCTTTTCTACATTACTCTCCCAGGTATAATTACTGTTTCTTTTCTACATTACTCTTTTCTACATTACTCTCCCAGGTATAGTTACTGTTTCTTTTCTACATTACTCTCCCAGGTATAATTACTGTTTCTTTCCTACATTACTCTCCCAGGTATAATTACTGTTTCTTTTCTACATTACTCTCCCAGGTATAATTACTGTTTCTTTTCTACATTACTCTCCCAGGTATAGTTACTGTTTCTTTTCTACATTACTCTCCCAGGTATAATTACTGTTTCTTTTCTACATTACTCTCCCAGGTATAATTACTGTTTCTTTTCTACATTACTCTCCCAGGTATAATTACTGTTTCTTTTCTACATTACTCTCCCAGGTATAGTTACTGTTTCTTTTCTACATTACTCTCCCAGGTATAATTACTGTTTCTTTTCTACATTACTCTCCTTTATCAGTACGGGATGTAAAGTATTTACGTTGATAATTATCAATTAGGGCACCAAACCAATTGGTACTGTTTATCTATATATCACGAAACGAATAGTTTACTCACTTATTTTGAATTGTTTCGATTGTAATTAAACTACTCTTGTATACACTTTTTAAAACAACAACAAGTTAGTTAATTAGTTATTAATTTAATTAATTAGTTATTAATTTAAAAATCACTGCAGGGTCTCCGTATAGCACCTCCAGAAGCACCAGTTACTGGTTACATGTTCGGGAAAGGACTCTACTTCGCTGATATGGTGAGTCATAGGGATTAGTGTGTCATGTGTATCTGTGTATCATGTGTATCTGTGTTCATTAACCAGGTAGTTTGTTCTCACCTAAGTATGGAGACTAGTGTACGTAACCCTATTGTTCAGGTGAGTAAGAGTGCGAACTATTGTTGTACAACACCTGCTAACCCTATTGTTCAGGTGAGTAAGAGTGCGAACTATTGTTGTACAACACCTGCTAACCCTACTGGTCTGTTACTGCTCTGTGAGGTTGCGTTGGGTGATATGTACTGTCTTAAGGACGCTAAATATATAAAGAAGCTTCCCAAAGGAAAACACAGCACCAAAGGTTCGTGCTCCTTATTTTCCTTTTAATAACACAGCACCAAAGGTTCGTGCTCCTTATTTTCCTCTTAATAACAAACGAATTACTGTTCCGCCTGGTTAGCTAGCCTGACAGCAAGAAAATGATTTAGTGAGAATGAGGCTACTAATCCTGAGGTACAATGTGGTTAGTCGCGCTATAAAATACACAGGCAATTAGATTTGGAGCTCCTGAGTGAGGATAACCGGACTATTGGTTCCAGTTATATTCTCATGAGCTGAAATAAAACATTTCCTTGTGTTTCAGGAATCGGTAAAACATCCCCCTCTACCTCCCAAACCCTCCCTAATGGCTGCGTAGTTCCTCTCGGCCCTGGAGTGGAACAGGAAGAATCCCAGGACAGTACCCTACTGTATAACGAGTATATTGTCTACGATTTGGCGCAGGTCAATGTTAAATATTTGTTCCAGCTCAAATTTGTTTACGAGAAACGACGGCGATGAGTCTGGGTTGACAGGGGATCACTATTTAATTGTATTACCTTCTTACAATTAGCTATGCTTATTAATCACTGCATCATAGTATAATCTCACAATTTTATAGAAATTTCGACGCTGTATCTTTATGCTCCTATTACTTGGGTCTAAATTGTAAAAGATACATTTTAACAATTAAATATAAATTATTATATATATTTCACACTGCTGACTGCAGGCCATATCGGATCTTGTTTGTTTGTGATAAAACATTATATAACAGAAATGTTCTATAACCTGGTTTTTTATTGTAATTTATAAATTTTACTTTTGACTAGATTATTCATTTAAATTATTAATCTTAATTCATGATTGGTAGTTTATGATTGTTTTTAATCCTAAGGTGAAAAAGCAATTTCATATAAGTTGGTACACTTATGTTTTTGTTATTCAGATTTTATTTCAACAAACTAAAATGATTACTGATTGTTTTATTATACAATAGTTTAGCAGTCGTTAAACTGTCGACTTTTCAGTTTGTTCCCTTATTGTGCTTATAGGATAATCTTTTTAATCTAATTTTTTCTTTGGTAGTTTACCCCTTGGCCTTCAACCTTATTATAGAAAGTGAATATCGATAAACTTAATATTGATAAACCGAACATCCAACCCTTTTTTTCTTGAAGCTATGACTGATGTAGTGAATGTTGAAGTATGCCAGAAACCCACTAGTTTGGAAGATAAGGAATCACTGAAATCCCATTGTGAGAAACACCTTGTTACATACCTGCCTCAGGTTAGTTAATAGATTGCTATAACTTAATTATTGGGGACGAAGTGAGAGTCTCAGCATTCCTTTTTCCTTTTTACTCTTTACATAGCTGTAACACAGAGTTGTTAAAATAAATTTACTCAAGTAAAATAACATGAAATAACGACTTTCAATTTAATTTTAACACTTTCAATTTAATTTTATCGATTCATAAGTATTTATTTTCATAAATTTGCAGATTTCAATCATTTTATGAATTACGATTATCTTCTTCAATATAGTATACTATATAGTTCCCTTTCATCAGATATGCAGTAGAGGGGTACCCGTGCCAGGGACTCATTTTCCAGATGATTATTTGCGCGCGCACGTTTTGCACGTGCAGGTTGACTCGACCGAGGAGATTTTGCAGTCATGCCCGTTGCGTTACCACGTATATCAGCTATACCATGAAGGTGACAACTTGTATACACGTCGTGTTGTGTTGATCTACTTACTTCTGAACATACTACTGTGTCTCCTAAATTATCTGTTTTATGTGCAAATGTTTTAATTAATATCTCCTCAAAATATATCCTTGTGTTTAAAGAGCCAGGAAGTGAAGAGATCGAACAGAGTGGGGAGAATATAACAACAGCTGTACACTGGTTACTACCCTCCGCTCAGTTTCAGGGTCTTTGGGACAATCTTATTTTTGACCAGGTTTCTAATTACCTCACGATCACATAATTTAACTTATTTTACATAATTATCACATAATTATCACATAATTATCACATAATTTATAATTATCACATAATTTACCTTAATTATCACATAATTTATAATTATCACATAATTTACCTCTGTTCTTTGTTGACTTCTATTTTGTTGAAATCACTTGACTGTGACCTGATTTCCGAGCGTGTAATTAATTACTGTACGTCTGTAGAGATAGTCCGGTAACCTATTCAGGTTCTTACATTAGACACTACGACATGGACAATGTTGCAATTTATATCAATATGAAATGGAAACCACATTCCCAGGATATTAAGGGTAATCTACTGAGTTACGCTAAAACAACCCTACTATTCTCTGACGCTGGAGTGGACCCTAATGTTATAACGTGGAACAAGGTGGTCTTATTACACGGTCCTCCCGGTACAGGTAAATAGTGACGTCATCATTAATTGTGACGTCATCAGTACAGCTCCACACCATTAATAGTGACGTCATCAGTACAGCTCCACATCATTAATAGTGACGTCATCAGTACAGCTCCACATCATTAATTGTGACGCCATCAGTACAGCTCCACGTAATTAATTGTGACGTCATCAGTACAGCTCCACATCATTAATTGTGACGTCATCAGTACAGATCCACATCATTAATTGTGACGTCATCAGGTACAGCTCCACATCATTAATTGTGACGTCATCAGGTACAGCTCCACATCATTAATTGTGACGTCATCAGTACAGCTCCACGTAATTAATTGTGACGTCATCAGTACAGCTCCACATCATTAATTGTGACGTCATCAGTACAGATCCACATCATTAATTGTGACGTCATCAGGTACAGCTCCACATCATTAATTGTGACGTCATCAGTACAGCTCCACATCATTAATTTTGACGTCATCAGGTTACAGGTACAGCTCCACATCATTAATTGTGACGTCATCAGTACAGCTCCACATCATTAATTGTGACGTCATCAGGTACAGCTCCACATCATTAATTGTGACGTCATCAGTACAACTCCACATCATTAATTGTGACGTCATCAGGTACAGCTCCACATCATTAATTGTGACGTCATCAGTACAGCTCCACATCATTAATTGTGATGTCATCAGGTACAGCTCCACATCATTAATTGTGACGTCATCAGTATATTTTGACTTTATTACTCTTATTAGTATCTCGTGACGTCATTAATGGGGGAGGGGCAACCCCATGCCCATTTATTCCCCAATTTCTGGTCAAATGGGCATCGGCAGTGATGAGTATTTTGTGTTATGATGAAAATAAGCATCACCATCGGGTTCCATTTCCTCCAATAAGTATAGCCATATTTCAGCTCAATAAAGTATTATAATATATCAGAGATATTTGTACAGGCAAGACGAGTTTGTGTAAGGCGCTAGCCCAGAAGTTGAGTATCCACCTGAGTGACCGTTACACGTACGGACAGCTACTAGAAATCAACTCTCACAGCCTCTTCTCGAAGTGGTTTAGCGAGAGTGGCAAACTTGTTCAGAAGATGTTTGATAAGATACAGGTACAGGTTTTAATGTAATGCTTATTTCTGTGTCTAATTGCAATGGCTGCTAGCTGATAAACACACCAATATACTCTCCGCTTTCTGTTAACTAAACAACTTGTTGATAAACAGACTTATGTTTGACTATTTGATCACTTATTATGATTTTAAAGTCGCGAAAGCGCTTAAAAAGGGCGTGTTCAATTGCACAAAACTGCACCATAGCTAAAATTTCTACCCAAGCAATTTGTTTCTGATGGGTCCCTGAGCTATTCCAAGTCTCAAACCCCGGGGTGGAAGTTATATAGACGGGAATAGTTTCAGATCCTCTATTATAATATTTGATTAATTGACCAGGAGCTGATAGACGACCCTCAAGCGCTGGTGTTTGTTCTGATAGACGAGGTGGAGAGTCTGACTGCAGCTAGACAGACCATGTCTGGGAGCGAGCCCTCTGACGCGGTGCGAGTAGTTAACGCGCTCCTCACCCAGCTGGACGTTATCAAACAATATCCTAACGTTCTTATCCTGACTACGTCCAACGTTTCTGGTAGTTCATGCTAAGTTAACATACTTGTTAACATACTTGTTAACTCAATCTTCTGCTCCTGTTTTGAATTGTATTTGAAAACTTTCCAACAAGCGTGCATAAGATAAATCAAAGTCAATTCTTACTTCTCCAATTTCATGTGCCATATTGATCCCAAATATCGAGAATGATATTTGGGATCAGTACAACACACTATGAACAATAACACTATGAACTATTTCAGGTAACGTAGACCTGGCGTTTGTAGACAGGGCTGATATAAAACAGTACATAGGCCCCCCCGGCCCCGCAGCTATATACACAATCCTACTCTCCTGCCTTACTGAGCTCTGCAGAGTAGCCCTTATCAACGGTAAGGGATACTTCACGGTTAGGGTTAGGGTTAGGGTTAGGGTTAGGGTTAGGGTTAGGGTTAGGGTTAGGGTTAGGGTTAGGGTTAGGGTTAGGGTTAGGGTTAGGGTTAACCCCAACAGTAACCCTAACCCTAACCTTAACCCTAACCCTAACCCTAACCCTGTTCGAAAACACATGTCGGGCTACTTGGATACTGCTGTTACTTTCACAACTTGTATGTTCCTTGTTAAGTGTGACTCTGATTTGTGATATTAATGCTTTTCAAACAAAGTTACAACGTATTCTTCATGTAGTGCATCCTGGGTTTGGACAGGATATGCCCGTTTAAAATATTTCCATCACGTTACATTACATAATTCTCAATAAATGTAATAGATTTGTAGTGTTGTAATTAGTTTAATCTTCGTTTTATCTTTGTTTTAGTAATATATTTTTTGGTGTTCAGTAATGTTTTAGAATGTTTAGTAAATTTAGTTTTCGTAACTATATTTATTCAGGAATTAATTTAATGTAGTTAGTGGAGTCCTCACTCTCCTTACGTCCGAAAATGGCGTTTCTCTTGCCGCTAATATGACTCCTCCTCCAGGAAGCACGGATGATATGATGAAGTACAGAGCGGTATCAGCCTTACAAACCACCAACGTAACCACCACCTCCTCCTCTAGTAACAGTCTCTACCACATAGCCTCTAAGTGTGGGGGGCTGAGTGGCAGGACCCTCCGCAAACTACCCTTCCTGGCTCATTCCATCGCTCACTTCAAGTTAGTTAATTAACAAGTTAATTAGTTAATTCAAGTTAGTTAATTAACAAGTTAATTAGTTAATTCAAGTTAGTGTTACAACACTCTGTTACATTAGTTACTTTTAGTTTGATAGTTGCTGACCAAGTGAGAGTCTCCACTCAGTGTTTCAAAACAATTAGTTGTCGACTATCAAACTATATAATCGACCCACTTATAAGACCGAAGAAAGATTACCATTACTCATTAGTTACTTTTACTGTAAACTCAGCAACTTTCTTAGTTCTTACATTGTCACTCTATTGAATTGCTTATCTAACAAGAATGTAGTTCCTGAACATTATCTGAAATAAAAATGCGTCTTCTCCCACAGAGCTGCCCCGAGTATGCCGGACTTTATGATAGCGCTGAATAATGCGGTAGATAAACAGTTGTTAGACAGAGACCACCTAGACAAGAACCATCTACACAAACAGACTGGTAGCTAGAATTATACGTTACTGAGACTGTACTGTAACACAGTACTGTACTGTAACACAGTACTGTACTGGTAGCTAGAATTGTAAGTTACTGAGACTGTACTGTAACACAGTACTGTACTGTAACACAGTACTGTACTGGTAGCTAGAATTGTAAGTTACTGAGTCTCGCTGAGTCTTTTATGACGGGTTGTTACACACTTTGTTCGTTACTTGGCGCTCGCAATCAACTGTGTAATAGTATTTTTGATGTTTTGATCAGTCACGTTTTTCTGAACAACGAATAATCGTTTTTTAAATGGTTGGTTGGAATTTGTATATTAAGATATAATGAGAATCCTTTTTTTGTAGAAAGAGGATATGTATTTTTATGTCCATTTTTATTAGTGACATGTGACTTTTATTTAATTCTGGGGCACCCTGTGGGAATTTCAAGTAACGAAATTGCTGAAAACTTTAGAAATAGGGTTACAAAACTGGATATTTTTAAAAACACTATAATAAAACTTTATTTATTTTCATTGACTTGCAGCCGTGCTTTTTTAATTTTTTGATTTGTTTTTAGTTGAGCTGTATTTGTTAAAATATTATATGTCAAATCTGGTTTTGGAACTAATATTTTCCATTATTTTATAATTTCTACCTGCTGTTTCTAATTGGTTTTGATTCTGATAAATGTCATCAGCATAAATATATCTTCCCAGTTACCGTATCAACACCAAAACACATTTCTATTAAAAGAAGGGGGGATCCGCGTGAGAAAAGGGAGATACTAAGCAACCAATTTTGGAATCTTACTTTTTCACCCCTCCCCTTTTCTCACTTTTCCCACTTAAACCGAAATTGAACTTATTTAATTTCCCCGGCCCCCAGAGCTATTTGCTAATTGTTAACCTACAGTACACTTTTAGCAATATGACTGGTAGCGTGATACAGGTGGAGTCAGATGACCACTACAGACAGGAGGTACAGAAGTACCAGGGCAAGGTAAGTACCTCACCAGTTACACTATACACTATACACTATACATTATACACTATACACTATACACTATACACTATACACTAATCACTATACACTATTATACTATACACTATTATATTATACACTGTACACTATACATTAAACACTACACTATACACTGTACACTTATCACTATACACTATACACTAATCACTATACACTATACACTAATCACTATACACTATACACTAATCACTATACACTATACACTATTATATAATAGCATGAGCAGTCCCAAGTAATTCTCAATTATTAGACTCTTATATTTAAAAACACTTTATGCAAACTAAAACGTGACTCTTAATCCGAGCACTTTTTCAAATACCTTCTTTCTGGCATAACTTATCTTAAAATGTGATTGACTGTATTGTAACACAGTACTGTACTGTAACACAGTTATACTGTATTGTAACACAGTACTGTACTGTAACACAGTACTTTACTATAACACAGTACTGTACTGTAACACAGTACTGTATTGTAACACAGTACTGTACTGTAACACAGTACTGTATTGTAACACAGTACTGTACTGTAACACAGTACTGTACTGTAACACAGTACTGTACTGTAACACAGTACCGCACTGTAACACAGTACTGTACTGTAACACACTACTGTAACACAGTACTGTACTGTAACACACTACTGTACTGTAACACACTACTGTAACACAGTACTGTACTATAACACAGTACTGTACTGTAACACACTACTGTAACACAGTACTGTACTATAACACAGTACTGTACTGTAACACAGTACTGTACCGTAACACAGTGCTGTACTGTAACACAGTACTGTACTGTAACACACTACTGTAACACAGTACTGTACTATAACACAGTACTGTACTGTAACACAGTACTGTACTGTAACACAGTACTGTACTGTAACACTGTACTATAACACAGTACTGTACTGTAACACACTACTGTAACACAGTACTGTACTATAACACAGTACTGTACTGTAACACAGTACTGTACCGTAACACAGTGCTGTACTGTAACACAGTACTGTACTGTAACACACTACTGTAACACAGTACTGTACTATAACACAGTACTGTACTGTAACACAGTACTGTACTGTAACACAGTACTGTACTGTAACACTGTACTGTAACACAGTACTGTACTGTAACACAGTACTGTACAGGTGATAGTGGTAGACTATTTTGCCACGTGGTGCGGACCTTGTGTCAGGATCGCTCCTACTTTCTCACAGCTAGCTGCCAAGTTCAAGGAGAGTGTATTCCTTAAAGTGGACGTGGATAAGTGCAAGGTAACTGTTTGTTTGTTTGTTTGTTTGTTTGTTTGTTTGTTTGTTTGTTTGTTTGTTGTTTGTTTGTTTGTTTGTTTGTTTGTTTGTTTGTTTGTTTGTTTGTTTGTTTGCTTGCTTGCTTGTTGCTTGCTTGCTTGTTTGTTTGTTTGTTTGTTTCACTATTACCTCTCAGGACACTGCAGAACTGCAAGCTATCAGTGCTATGCCCACATTCCATGTTTACAAATCCTCTGCTAAACTGGAGGAGCTTCGAGGAGCAGGTAGCTTTACTAGTATACTAATACTTATACACTTTACAGTAGTTATACTTATACTATATAATACTTCCCATAGCTTATAATACTTCCCATAGTTTAGAGTTACAGGATAGAGGGATTGATTCTTATTGTTGCAGCAAATTACTAAATTAATTACGTATAATAACAAATTAGTAATTTGTACATCAATAACAAATAACTGTTCAGATCCAGTAGCACTGGAGAAGATGGTTGAAAAACACTGTACCGGAGCAAGTGGTGGGGCGGACCAGGTGACCACTAATATATTCAGTACTCTTGACTCTTTACAAAACACGGGTCATACTCATAGACCTCTTGACTCTTTAGCAGGTCGATGACCTGCTGAAAGTTGATTAAACCTCATTTTTATTTTGTGTTACCAACTAGTCAGTAGTCACTAGTCAGTACAGTTATAATGCTATTTAACTAACTAAACCTAAACTAACACTAACAAATTAACTAACTAACTAACTAACTAATTAAACCTAAACTAACACTAACTAATTAACTAATTAAACATTTAAACTAACACTAAATAAGTACTAACTAACTAACTAACACTAACTAACACTAACTAACACTAACTAACACTAACTAAAACTAACTAAACCTAAACTAACACTAACTAATTAACTAATTAAACCTAAACTAACACTAACTAACTAATAACCTAAACCTAAACTAACACTAGCTAAGTACTAACTAACTAACTAAACTAACACTAACTAATTAACTAACTAACTAAACCACAGAGCGGAGCACCAGGCGGGTTTATGGATTTGAACACTTTCCTGGACATGAGTAAGAGCGAGTGTTTGAATGAGAGTGATGATCACACTTTCCTGGTTTGTTGTAATTCCTTTTTGAAATCTTAAAGTGCGAATTGTTTCGGAAATGGAGCATACTACCACAGTCCACACTTTAAGCAAGAACCTTATAGCGCTTATAATTGGGATCCAAAAAAGGTTTATAGTCCCATAGCGATCTTCAGCGAGAAACAATGTTATAAAATAAATAATTATGTAATATAACAATATAATCATTACTCTCCTTGTATTCTCTCTTTGTTAACCAGGGAGCTCTAAAAGAGGAGGAGGGATTTCTTGAGTCTGACTGCGACGAACAACTTCTCATAACTCTAGCGTTTAATCAACCAGTCAGGTTAAGATTTTTTATTAGAAATTATAGATACAAGTTTTTGTCTCTGTTGTAACTCAGTCTGTAATGTTTGTAATTAGTGACTTGTGCAGTCTCACATCACGTGTATTGTGCACTATGTAAATTATGTTCACGTGTATTGTGCACTATGTTCACGTGTACTGTGCACTATGTTCACGTGTATTGTGCACTATGTTCACGTGTATTGTGCACTGTGTTCACGTGTATTGTGCACTGTGTTCACGTGTATTGTGCACTATGTTCACGTGTATTGTGCACTATTTTCACGTGTATTGTGCACTATGTTCACGTGTTTTGTGCACTATGTTCACGTGTATTGTGCACTATTTTCACGTGTATTGTGCACTATGTTCACGTGTATTGTGCACTATGTTCACGTGTATTGTGCACTGTGTTCACGTGTATTGTGCACTGTGTTCACGTGTACTGTGCACTATGTTCACGTGTATTGTGCACTATTTTCACGTGTATTGTGCACTATGTTCACGTGTATTGTGCACTGTGTTCACGTGTATTGTGCACTATGTTCACGTGTATTGTGCACTATTTTCACGTTTATTGTGCACTATGTTCACGTGTATTGTGCACTGTGTTCACGTGTATTGTGCACTGTGTTCACGTGTACTGTGCACTATGTTCACGTGTATTGTGCACTATTTTCACGTGTATTGTGCACTATGTTCACGTGTATTGTGCACTGTGTTCACGTGTATTGTGCACTATGTTCACGTGTATTGTGCACTATTTTCACGTGTATTGTGCACTATGTTCACGTGTTTTGTGCACTATGTTCACGTGTATTGTGCACTATTTTCACGTGTATTGTGCACTATGTTCACGTGTATTGTGCACTATGTTCACGTGTATTGTGCACTATTTTCACGTGTATTGTGCACTATGTTCACGTGTATTGTGCACTGTGTTCACGTGTATTGTGCACTGTGTTCACGTGTACTGTGCACTATGTTCACGTGTATTGTGCACTGTGTTCACGTGTATTGTGCACTATGTTCACGTGTATTGTGCACTATTTTCACGTGTATTGTGCACTATGTTCACGTGTATTGTGCACTATGTTCACGTGTATTGTGCACTATATTCACGTGTATTGTGCACTATGTTCATGTGTATTGCGCACTATGTTCACGTGTATTGTGCACTATATTCACGTGTATTGTGCACTATGTTCACGTGTATTGTGCACTATTTTCACGTGTATTGTGCACTATGTTCACGTGTATTGTGCACTATGTTCACGTGTTTTGTGTTTCAGGATACACAGTTTAGCTCTCAGAGGTCCCAGTGACGGACGAGCTCCTAAAACCGTTAAACTCTTCATCAACCAGACCGCCATAGACTTCGACAGCGCTGAAAGAGGTTAGTAAGACGAGTAGTTGGTTGGTTAGTGTTCTCGTTATAGTACATTATTGTTTCATTTGTCCTTGTCTCTTCCAACCGGATATTATCCAGATATCAGTATTTCAATCATGAGACTAATAAACAGCGAACTACTCCGTTATTTGAATGATAATAACACTCAGTGTTCTGAAAGCTTTAAATTACAGGTGTAGGGGTTCAGGAGTTAAGTTTAACTAAAGATGACAACGCTGAGGGAGCACTTATTCCTCTGAAATACGTCAAATTCCAGAACGTGGTGTCCCTGACAGTGTACATTCACGACAATCACGGTGAGCGTTTAGAATCAGTGGAAACTAATAAATAGTTATTCGTTAAATTTGCCATTTTATCTTGATGTACATCGTTTTAACTAAAAAACTAAATTCTGATTTTTAAATTTATCATTATTCGTTGAATGTTGATTACCGATCATGGTCAATTTAATCATTGAAGATTAATTATCTTATTGAAGGATGATTATCTATTTGTTAGATAATCATTTATAAATTGCAGCTGGAGACGAAGTGACAGTTGTAAACTACATCAGTGCAGTGGGGCAACCTCGCGATAAGACGGAAATGAAGGATTTCAAACGAGTATCCGGTCAGAAGGGGGAGGTTCACGGCTAAATGCTGTGGAAACATGTGACACCCTCATGTGGGAACACGTGACACCCTCATGTGGGAACACGTGACACCTCCTGTGGAAACACGTGACACCCTCCTGTGGGAACACGTGACACCTCCTGTGGGAACACGTGACACCCTCCTGTGGGAACACGTGACACCCTCCTGTGGGAACACGTGACACCCTCCTGTGGGAGCACGTGACACCCTCCTGTGGGAGCACGTGACACCCTCCTGTGGGAACACGTGACACCCTCCTGTGGAAACACGTGACACCCTCCTGTGGGAGCACGTGACACCCTCCTGTGGGAGCACGTGACACCCTCCTGTGGGAACACGTGACACCCTCCTGTGGGAGCACGTGACACCTCCTGTGGAAACACGTGACACCCTCCTGTGGGAGCACGTGACACCCTCCTGTGGGAACACGTGACACCCTCCTGTGGAAACACGTGACACCCTCCTGTGGGAGCACGTGACACCCTCCTGTGGGAACACGTGACACCCTCCTGTGGGAGCACGTGACACCTCCTGTGGGAACACGTGACACCCTCCTGTGGGAACACGTGACACCCTCCTGTGGGAGCACGTGACACCCTCCTGTGGGAACACGTGACACCCTCCTGTGGGAGCACGTGACACCTCCTGTAAGAACACGTGACACCCTCCTGTGGGAACACGTGACACCCTCCTGTGGGAACACGTGACACCCTCCTGTGGGAACACGTGACACCCTCCTGTGGGAGCACGTGACACACTAAGAGTCACGGGACACTGCGAGTCCAGTCTGTTTGTCGCATCTGATGAAAGTAAACAGTGAAACTCTGGCTTGAAGTCTTTATTCGCTGGCTCGAATCTTTAAATGGATCTTTAGGTTGTTTATTTTGCATCATGTGGAAGGGAATTAAAATAAATTCTTTATTTCATAGAAATTGTGAGCAGTTTTCACTGAATGCTATGGAAAATCTGAATATTTCATACTGTATTAATTTTGGGGAGTTTCTTTAGAACGTCTGTTATTCAACGTAGTATTGGTAAACTGTTGTAAATTGATTTATTTGTAAATTTTATAGTTACAGTTAAATTTATTAAACTCCTAGATTCTGCTATTCACTCTAATAACTTAAACTATGGTAACTAGTAGTGTAACTATGGTAACGTGGACCTATAATATTATATTTTATTCTAACTAACATATCTAATATCTACCATGCTAAATGTTCTTGTTGACTGAAAGTAAATGTTAAACTATTTGAATATTTGATAGTTCCTCTCATTAACCTGTAACATACTATAGCAGGATGGCAGGGTCTGCTTTAAGACGGTTAATGACGGAGTACAGGGAGCTGTTCCACAATGCGCCTCACGGTGTGGTAGCTGGACCTGCTGCAGAGGACAACTTCTTCGAGTGGGATGTTCTCATCCAGGTTAGCTGTTAGTATGATGACGTCATATAATCACTTGGCTACGTCACGTGATAGTTTGATGACGTCACGTTTTAGTGTTATGGAAGGAATAACCTCCCTTTTTATGGTTGTTTCAAAGCCCTCAAGTTGATTTAAACTGACGCCCCACAGGGACCGGAGGGCTCGCCGTACGAGTTTGGAGTATTTCCAGCTAGACTCAGCTTCCCCACTGATTACCCCCTCAGCCCGCCAAAAATGAGGTAAACAATCTTATTGCTCCTTACTCAGACTTACTCAGATCATTTTATCTGGACTTCTGTTAATTTAATTTCTTGACTAGCTGCCAACTCTGATATCTTCCTCCATGACGTCCAATTGTCCGGCAGGTTCTCGGTGCCACTATTCCACCCTAACGTGTACAATTGTCCGGCAGGTTCTCAGTGCCACTATTCCACCCTAACGTGTACAATTGTCCGGCAGGTTCTCGGTGCCACTATTCCACCCTAACGTGTACAATTGTCCGGCAGGTTCTCAGTGCCACTATTCCACCCTAACGTGTACAATTGTCCGGCAGGTTCTCAGTGCCACTATTCCACCCTAACGTGTACAATTGTCCGGCAGGTTCTCAGTGCCACTATTCCACCCTAACGTGTACAATTGTCCGGCAGGTTCTCAGTGCCACTATTCCACCCTAACGTGTACAATTGTCCGGCAGGTTCTCAGTGCCACTATTCCACCCTAACGTGTACAATTGTCCGGCAGGTTCTCAGTGCCACTATTCCACCCTAACCTGTACAATTGTCCGGCAGGTTCTCAGTGCCACTATTCCACCCTAACCTGTACAATTGTCCGGCAGGTTCTCAGTGCCACTATTCCACCCTAACGTGTACAATTGTCCGGCAGGTTCTCAGTGCCACTATTCCACCCTAACGTGTACTATTGTTCGGCAGGTTCTCAGTGCCACTATTCCACCCTAACGTGTACAATTGTCCGGCAGGTTCTCAGTGCCACTATTCCACCCTAACGTGTACAATTGTCCGGCAGGTTCTCAGTGCCACTATTCCACCCTAACGTGTACTATTGTTCGGCAGGTTCTCAGTGCCACTATTCCACCCTAACGTGTACAATTGTCCGGCAGGTTCTCAGTGCCACTATTCCACCCTAACGTGTACAATTGTCCGGCAGGTTCTCAGTGCCACTATTCCACCCTAACGTGTACAATTGTCCGGCAGGTTCTCAGTGCCACTATTCCACCCTAACGTGTACAATTGTCCGGCAGGTTCTCAGTGCCACTATTCCACCCTAACGTGTACAATTGTCCGGCAGGTTCTCAGTGCCACTATTCCACCCTAACGTGTACAATTGTCCGGCAGGTTCTCAGTGCCACTATTCCACCCTAACGTGTACTATTGTCCGGCAGGTTCTCAGTGCCACTATTCCACCCTAACGTGTACAATTGTCCGGCAGGTTCTCAGTGCCACTATTCCACCCTAACGTGTACAATTGTCCGGCAGGTTCTCAGTGCCACTATTCCACCCTAACGTGTACAATTGTCCGGCAGGTTCTCAGTGCCACTATTCCACCCTAACGTGTACAATTGTCCGGCAGGTTCTCAGTGCCACTATTCCACCCTAACGTGTACAATTGTCCGGCAGGTTCTCAGTGCCACTATTCCACCCTAACGTGTACAATTGTCCGGCAGGTTCTCAGTGCCACTATTCCACCCTAACGTGTACAATTGTCCGGCAGGTTCTCAGTGCCACTATTCCACCCTAACGTGTACAATTGTCCGGCAGGTTCTCAGTGCCACTATTCCACCCTAACGTGTACAATTGTCCGGCAGGTTCTCAGTGCCACTATTCCACCCTAACGTGTACAATTGTCCGGCAGGTTCTCAGTGCCACTATTCCACCCTAACGTGTACAATTGTCCGGCAGGTTCTCAGTGCCACTATTCCACCCTAACGTGTACAATTGTCCGGCAGGTTCTCAGTGCCACTATTCCACCCTAACGTGTACAATTGTCCGGCAGGTTCTCAGTGCCACTATTCCACCCTAACGTGTACAATTGTCCGGCAGGTTCTCAGTGCCACTATTCCACCCTAACGTGTACAATTGTCCGGCAGGTTCTCAGTGCCACTATTCCACCCTAACGTGTACAATTGTCCGGCAGGTTCTCAGTGCCACTATTCCACCCTAACGTGTACAATTGTCCGGCAGGTTCTCAGTGCCACTATTCCACCCTAACGTGTACAATTGTCCGGCAGGTTCTCAGTGCCACTATTCCACCCTAACGTGTACACTTGTCCGGCAGGTTCTCAGTGCCACTATTCCACCCTAACGTGTACAATTGTCCGGCAGGTTCTCAGTGCCACTATTCCACCCTAACGTGTACAATTGTCCGGCAGGTTCTCGGTGCCACTATTCCACCCTAACGTGTACAATTGTCCGGCAGGTTCTCAGTGCCACTATTCCACCCTAACGTGTACAATTGTCCGGCAGGTTCTCAGTGCCACTATTCCACCCTAACGTGTACAATTGTCCGGCAGGTTCTCAGTGCCACTATTCCACCCTAACGTGTACAATTGTCCGGCAGGTTCTCAGTGCCACTATTCCACCCTAACGTGTACAATTGTCCGGCAGGTTCTCAGTGCCACTATTCCACCCTAACGTGTACAATTGTCCGGCAGGTTCTCAGTGCCACTATTCCACCCTAACGTGTACAATTGTCCGGCAGGTTCTCAGTGCCACTATTCCACCCTAACGTGTACAATTGTCCGGCAGGTTCTCAGTGCCACTATTCCACCCTAACGTGTACAATTGTCCGGCAGGTTCTCAGTGCCACTATTCCACCCTAACGTGTACAATTGTCCGGCAGGTTCTCAGTGCCACTATTCCACCCTAACGTGTACAATTGTCCGGCAGGTTCTCAGTGCCACTATTCCACCCTAACGTGTACAATTGTCCGGCAGGTTCTCAGTGCCACTATTCCACCCTAACGTGTACAATTGTCCGGCAGGTTCTCAGTGCCACTATTCCACCCTAACGTGTACAATTGTCCGGCAGGTTCTCAGTGCCACTATTCCACCCTAACGTGTACAATTGTCCGGCAGGTTCTCAGTGCCACTATTCCACCCTAACGTGTACAATTGTCCGGCAGGTTCTCAGTGCCACTATTCCACCCTAACGTGTACAATTGTCCGGCAGGTTCTCAGTGCCACTATTCCACCCTAACGTGTACAATTGTCCGGCAGGTTCTCAGTGCCACTATTCCACCCTAACGTGTACAATTGTCCGGCAGGTTCTCAGTGCCACTATTCCACCCTAACGTGTACAATTGTCCGGCAGGTTCTCAGTGCCACTATTCCACCCTAACGTGTACAATTGTCCGGCAGGTTCTCAGTGCCACTATTCCACCCTAACGTGTACAATTGTCCGGCAGGTTCTCAGTGCCACTATTCCACCCTAACGTGTACAATTGTCCGGCAGGTTCTCAGTGCCACTATTTCACCCTAACGTGTACAATTGTCCGGCAGGTTCTCAGTGCCACTATTCCACCCTAACGTGTACAATTGTCCGGCAGGTTCTCAGTGCCACTATTCCACCCTAACGTGTACAATTGTCCGGCAGGTTCTCAGTGCCACTATTCCACCCTAACGTGTACAATTGTCCGGCAGGTTCTCAGTGCCACTATTCCACCCTAACGTGTACAATTGTCCGGCAGGTTCTCAGTGCCACTATTCCACCCTAACGTGTACAATTGTCCGGCAGGTTCTCAGTGCCACTATTCCACCCTAACGTGTACAATTGTCCGGCAGGTTCTCAGTGCCACTATTCCACCCTAACGTGTACTCGTGCGGTAAGGTGTGTATCAGTATCCTACACCCACCTGGAGACGACCCCCTGGGCTACGAGCACTCTTCAGAGAGGTGGTCTCCTGTACAGAGTGTGGAGAAGATACTCCTCTCTGTTATCAGCATGTTGGGTTAGTACTTAGTTCCCTCAATATGATTTTAAATGTACTGTTCAATGCACTGTTCAATGTACTGTTCAATGTACTGTTCAATGTACTGTTAAATATATGCTATTTAATGTACTATTCAATGTACTGTTCAATGTACTAGAGTCAATGGATCCTGTAATGTGAACTGAATACAAGTTCTGATTTGTTCTGCTTTTTATGGATTGTAGTATTTGAGGTGTTACTGTTTAGGATTCACTGTAAGTAACCCGATTGTACTAAATCTCCCACACTCTGATAATACCTCCCTATTTTCAGCTGAGCCGAACCCGGAAAGTGGGGCTAATGTTGACGCTTGTAAGATGTGGCGAGACAACAGGGACGGGTTCCTGAGGGAAGCTGATAAAGCTGTCAGACGTACTCTGGGACTCTGAAGTTAGAAGTAGTACACGTGCAAACTGCGCCGCGCACAGACGTACTCTTGGACTCTGAAGTTAGAAGTAGTACACGTGCAAACTGCGCCGCGCACAATGTCGCGTGTATTGTATGATTTCGTGCCAGTTTTGAGGAGGAGAAGAATTCAAGAAAGATCGGATATGTGAGAAAACATCCCTCTTATCTGTGAACTACAAACATGATTATTAAATCACTGACATCGATTGGGCTTCATTTAAATGACTTCGTTTAAGATACCTATTAAATTGTACAATTATATTGATTCGATAAGTAGCCATTACTATAAGATAAGCTGTAGAATTACGGAAATTATGTAGTTTTAAGCCACTAATTATCTTGTATGCGCTGGTTACTCATTTACTGATGTATTAGTGTAAAGTGTTGATTTAATGAATTACTGTGCTGTAGTCCGAATTTTCTTTGCTGCTAATTGAGTTTTCCTTAAATCTTATAATTTTCAAGTTGTGGTGCAAATTTATAATTCAAATCGGACTTGGTGTGTCATTAACTTTAGTCCAAATATTATTGCGTGTTTTTGGTTCAGTTGTGGTTATCAAACTTTAGAACTCTGAATTTGAGTTCTCCAATCTCCATGTAAGTAATGTTAGTTATTGTCCGCGCTAACCTTCTTACCAACCCTAGGTATGGTTATATGATGAAGCCTCACTTATCAGGCGTTATTCACTGGAACTTCACACTGCTCAACTGAGAAACATTCCAACTTTAAAGAATCGCTCCACCATTTCAGTGTCACTTGTATTTCAACTGAGAAATTCTCATTTTAGAAACTGAATAAAGACTATAACTTTGAATCAAATTGGTGTGGTCATTGGTGGTAAAGCATCTGTTTTGAGCGGAAGTTGTATACTAAAAAGAGAGGCTCGCCCAACATTTCATGTAAAAGATATCAGGCAGGGAAGTTGTCCAGTAACGTGTAAGAGATGGGCCTGATAAGTACAACACGGACTATAATGTACTGTATGGCAGCTGTTGTAACTACGGGGTGTGTCGGATTCACTGTTAACGCTTATATCCTCTACTTACTCAGGGTAACATAATAAGGACCAGTTAATTAAGTTAAGTGCTCCATATTCCGAACATGTATTTCTCAGTGTTCATAATGTATGCGATGAACAAGCAGAAAAAGAACCGGATGATAAAATCCGTTTGAGGTTAACCTGTAATTGCTAGTAAAACTTTAAACGGGTTTAACTTCCTTTCGGTTCCTTATATTAGTGTAAATTTAGCAACTTTTTTACACTTTTTGGAAAGGTTGACCTGATGATTCCAAGGAACCACTGTACCAAACCTCAAGATCAGGAAGTGGCTGGTTTTCTCAACTAAGAAACCGAAAAATTTAACAATTTAGACCTGTTCCAGCTTTGTTAGTACTGACAGGTAAACCTCAAACTTTGGCGAGGACCATCTCAGGAACGCAAGGCCAGATTTGAACCGGTTCTACTTGTTCGACTCCAGCAGCTGTTTCATATATAATATATGAAAACTGAAAATTTACGTTTTTGGTCTAGATAAGATAATAGTCTGGATAAAATCATTTTTATTATCAGAGACTCAAATTAAAAACCTCTCCTCCACCTCATCAACACCCCTTCAGGAGAATGTGAAACGACTAGAATTGGAGATAACCGCACTGAGACGTGAACTCACGCAGGTTGATGGTGACGTCACACGGTCATCACGTGACGTCACACGGTCATCACGTGACGTCACACGTGACAGAGCCTCTGATAGTGAGAGTGAGGATGAATTTCAGCTAGCTCTCGAGAGCATACCTTCACAAAGGTACCCAGCTTTGTTCATAGGTCCTGATATCTAAATTCCGCGATACATTCTATGATTTTAGCGTGTTTCTTTAATAAAACTATAATGTAAATAGTTTTCAGTTATTTTACTGCATCCAATTTTCAGTATTATAGCCCAAGGAACGGACAGCCTGTGTACAGACAGACAGTGCGAGAGTGGCTTGTTAACACTGTGTCAGAGTATTGATAAGGATCACGATACTCTCAAGTTAACGGAGCAAGGCTGTGAGCAAGGTCTTACTACACTCACACAACTTAATGATCAGGTAGGATACAGTGTTCCTTACACTCACACAACTAAATAACCAGGTAGGATACAGTGTTCCCTACACTCACACAACTAAATAACCAGGTAGGATACAGTATTCCCTATACACTCACACAACTTAATAACCAGGTAGGATACAGTGTTCCTTACACTCACACAACTAAATAACCAGGTAGGATACAGTGTTCCCTACACTCACACAACTAAATAACCAGGTAGAATACAGTGTTCCCTACACTCACACAACTTAATGATCAGGTAGGATACAGTGTTCCTTACACTCACACAACTAAATAACCAGGTAGAATACAGTGTTCCCTACACTCACACAACTTAATGATCAGGTAGGATACAGTGTTCCCTACACTCACACAACTAAATAACCAGGTAGAATACAGTGTTCCCTACACTCACACAACTTAATGATCAGGTAGGATACAGTGTTCCCTACACTCACACAACTTAATGACCAGGTAGGATACAGTGTTCCTTACACTCACTCAACTTAATGACCAGGTAGGATACAGTGTTCCTTACACTCACTCAACTAAATAACCAGGTAGGATACAGTGTTCCTTACACTCACACAACTAAATAACCAGGTAGGATACAGTGTTCCTTACACTCACACAACTTAATGATCAGGTAGGATACAGTGTTCCCTACACTCACACAACTTAATAACCAGGTAGGATACAGTGTTCCCTACACTCACACAACTAAATAACCAGGTAGGATACAGTGTTCCTTACACTCACACAACTAAATAACCAGGTAGGATACAGTGTTCCTTACACTCACACAACTTAATGATCAGGTAGGATACAGTGTTCCCTACACTCACACAACTTAATGATCAGGTAAGATACAGTGTTCCTTACACTCACTCAACTTAATGATCAGGTAGGATACAGTGTTCCCTACACTCACACAACTTAATGATCAGGTAGGATACAGTGTTCCTTACACTCACACAACTTAATGATCAGGTAGGATACAGTGTTCCCTACACTCACACAACTTAATGATCAGGTAGGATACAGTGTTCCCTACACTCACACAACTTAATAACCAGGTAGGATACAGTGTTCCTTACACTCACTCAACTTAATGATCAGGTAGGATACAGTGTTCCTTACACTCACTCAACTTGATGACCAGGTAAGATACAGTGTTCCTTACACTCACTCAACTTAATGACCAGGTAAGATACAGTGTTCCTTACACTCACACAACTAAATAACCAGGTAGGATACAGTGTTCCTTACACTCACACAACTTAATGATCAGGTAGGATACAGTGTTCCCTACACTCACACAACTAAATAACCAGGTAGGATACAGTGTTCCCTACACTCACACAACTAAATAACCAGGTAGGATACAGTGTTCCCTACACTCACACAACTAAATAACCAGGTAGGATACAGTGTTCCTTACACTCACACAACTTAATGATCAGGTAGGATACAGTGTTCCCTACACTCACACAACTAAATAACCAGGTAGGATACAGTGTTCCTTACACTCACACAACTAAATAACCAGGTAGGATACAGTGTTCCCTACACTCACACAACTTAATAACCAGGTAGGATACAGTGTTCCCTACACTCACACAACTTAATGACCAGGTAGGATACAGTGTTCCCATATTATTTATTAAGGAAATGTTTGAAGTTTTATTACTAAACTAATTAATTTGAATCAGTAACCAGTAGTCACTTATTAACCAGGAGTCACAAAGTAAGCATGAATCACTAAGTAACCAGGAGTCACTAAGTAACCAGTAGCTCAGGTCACTAAGTAACCAGTGGGGGGGGTACCAATGGCATAAATGGCATAATGGAGAATTGGCCAAGCAAAATTTCCATTTATGCCATGAAATTTCTATGCCATTTGACGATTTTTATGCCATTTGACGATTTTTATGCCATTTGTCTCCATTTTATGCCATTCGAAATATGAAATTTTAAAACTTTGAACTGAGAATTTAATAACGAATAGTCTGCACTACACTAGTACTGTCCACCTTTATCTCTATTTATTGTACTAGTACAACATTTATTTTCACCCATTAAATTCCTCAAAATATCCCTAGCAATGGGCATTATTGATTATAATGACGTTCAATTATGTATATCAATATGATATGAGAATTTGGTTGATAGTGGACAAGTGACCGGGCAGTATGGCATAGTACACGCTACACACCATATAACAGAGAGGACAGTCGACTGAATGCTCCGAGTCAATCGAATATCCAAATTAACAGTGGAAAACTGTAACAGAGAGGCTGGGCCTGGTTGGCCCACGAGAGGATAGCATATGGATGCTTTGCCTACCTCTGGGGTATGACAGTCCTGTGGGAGTTTGCCAGTGGAATCAAGATGTTTAATCAAGGATGATGGTAAGTGTTGTGGGGTGTGTCATAGATAAACGCTTAAGTGGTGGTTGAGTGTGGAAGAGAGAGGCGGAATAAGACGGCGTTAAAGTAGTCGCTATGTTACACCTGTCTGGTCCAACTCCTCCGGCACCACTAAGCGTTTAGTGTGGTTTGTAAAGTTGACAATGGTGGAGATGTGTTGGTTGTCGAATATGTCATTGACAGAGAGGTAGTAGTCCCGGAAATATTGACCTCTTATTTGTGCAATAGCCGGGCACTGTCCGAGAAAGTGTGAGACAGTCTCCTCTCCGTCGCCGCATTAAGGACAAGCACTTGTGTCTGATTTGCGAATGGTGTGTAGGTGTTTGTTGAGGCCACAATGTCCCGTGATGAGGTGCACTGCAGTTCTGTAATTTTGTCTGTTGTTACCGAGTGTAGTGTTGAGATTTTTGATGATGTTGATGTTTTTATGTCCAAGTGTCAGTTTAGTGTGTCTGGGACCATCAGTAATCCATGATTCTTGATTAAGTTTTGTGACTTTGTCGTTGATCAGGCGTTTGATGTAAGATTGTGGTATTGGGCAATTCAAAGTGGATTCACTGGTTGTGCCTTTTTTGGCCAGCTCGTCTGCTTTTTCATTACCCCACAATCCGATGTGTGCTGCTATCCATCTGATTTCTAAGGTGTTAGTGGATCCGAGTGTATTGAGGGTGTCGTAACAGTCTCTAGTAGTTCTACTCCTCGTTGAAGGTGAGGATATAGCTTGAATAGAGGAGAGACTGTCCATATGATGATATGTGTGTTTTTGTAAGTTGATAGATATTTACAAGCTTCGATGATGGCAGTGAGTTCTGTTTGATAAACGGTGCAATAATCGGGAAGCTTGAATGATCTTTCATCTAGTGTAGTGTTGTTGTTGTCTGTGGTGATAATATAACCAGCCCCGCTACCTGAGTCTGTGCTTGACCCGTCTGTGTAGCAGGTGATGGTTTCACTGGGGATGTTGTCGATGGTGTTTTGGAGTGAGCCTCTATATTCGATGTTGTCAGCTCCAGGAGTGGTGACCGTGAAGCGTCGTTCAAGCATCTTGGTTGGTATAGATAGGTCTCTCTCTGCTTTGGGTGGTATGTTGAGGTCTACCATGAATTGTTTGTTGATAGTGGTGTGAGTTGTGATGGTACCTTTTCTGGGGGCGATAGTTTCGAGGGTTAGGCTTTCGTAGGCTTGAAGCCTGGCTGTGCCCTTGCTGCCTCACCTCTCAGGAAAAGTATGATATCTGGAGTGTTAGTGAGGTGGTTCAGTGCGATGAAGGGAGTACTAGGCATGGCACCAGACATCATTCTCAATGCCAATGCCTGAACTCGTTTGAACTTCCTCGCGTTGGTGTCTGTTTGGGTTGCCCTAATCCATATACTACAGCAGTATGATAGAATAGGTCTGATGACAGCGGTGTACATCCATTTGCATGTTTTAGGGCTCATACCCCAAGTGGGGCCGACAGCTCTTCTACATTGCATAAGGGATGCCGTAGCTTTTTTGGTGGTATTGGTGATATGTTCATTGAAATTGAGCTTGCTGTCGAGGGTCACTCCTAGGAATTTGGCAGATCTGGATAGACCTATAGTGGTGTTACCCACCACCACAGGTCTAAGTGTCCATTTCTTATTCCAGGTAAACATGACTATTTGTGTTTTGAGTGCGCTTATGGATAGATCTTTGGTTTGGCACCATTTTTCTATTGTGTTGATGGTTTTGCGTGTTCTGTTCCAGATGATATCTAAATCATTCCCCTCCGCTAGAGAAAGCAGATCATCTGCAAAAGCTTGCAGATAACCTGGTATGTCTCTTGCGGTGTAGGCCAGGAGATCATCGACTACCAGGTTCCAAAGGAAAGGGGAAAGGATGCCACCTTGGGGGCACCCGCTCCGGATCCGAACCCTTTTCGACTTATCCTTATGATTTAATGTGATGAATCTGTTAGTTACCATGTTGATAATCCATTTTGCTGTGGCCGGATCCACTTTCGTGGTCTTGATAGCGTCAGAAATAGCCTTGAAAGAGACATTATCAAAAGCTCCCTCTATATCTAGAAAGACTCCTAAGACATATCCCTTCTTAGCTATCCTGCGCTCGATGGTGTGAGTAACTTTATGAAGGGCTGCTTCGGGTGAACATCCCTTCTTAAAGCCAAATTGTCGTTTGTTGATGTCTTTAGCGTGTTGCATATGCCACAGTATCGCCTTCTCCTGTAGTTTTAATATCACAGGAGAAAGGGTGATAGTGCGAAATGATTTCGGTTGGTTGTAGTCAGTTTTTCCAGGCTTTGGGAGAAAGATTCCAAGGGATTCTTTCCACAAAGTTGGAATGTGTCGGGTTTCATGATTTTTTGTCATAATGGTTCTGGTGATGTCTTTGATGTGTGTCCAAGCTTTCTGTATGATGATAGGTTTGAGGGTGTCGGGTCCAGCAGCTTTCAACGGATCAAAGGATTTAAGAGCCTCCTCGATTCTGTCTGGGCTGTAGATGGTATTGAGTAAGGTGGTGGTGATTGGTAGAGGTCCAGGTGGAGGCACTGGCGGGTCAGTGACACTATTCTTGAAGTGGGTTTGTGTCATGACCTCCAGTGTCTCCTCTGCATTTTTGGTGATGTCTCCGTTTGGTTTGTAAACGGCTTCTAGTGTGTGCTTGTTGTCGTTGCAGGATTTCAGAATCTTGTTCATCCTTCCGGAACCGTGTCGGGACCGTGTTCATGTTGAAGCTTTTAAAATTTAAACATTTTCATAAGATTGATAATGATCTGTAAACATGTTTCGAATGGGTAGCCTCTTAAAAATAATATTCATTGATATCTCGATGAACCTGTATATAAGTATTACATAACAGTTCACCAAATGACCTGAAATACTTGCTTCCTATTATACAAAATGATGATGACATAATATATTGCTTAAATAACGCTGGACAGGGCGTCGAGGGACTGCATTTGAGAAGGGAAAAGAAATAATTTCCCTGTGTTCGCCGCAGTCGCAGATCCCGAAGAACAGAGTGGGAAGCCAATCGTCCATGGCCAAGTACTTTCTTGGGAAGCTGTAGATGATGAAGCTGGATGCCTCGAGGATGAGGACGACTTAGCTTATGAGGTAGAACCTGGAGTTGATGATTGTGATGTTGGAGAAACGATATCAACAGATAAATATGGAACACTTTCCTTCCGGTCTTTTGAGACACTCACGCTCAATGGAGGAAGAAGCACTTTATCAACAAAATCTCGTCTTTCAAGATTCAAGGGGAACGCGTTTGGAGTGTCTTCTGATGTTCGCATATACAATCAACCTGAATGCGGATGTTCAACAGTTTTGAAAGCTGGCAGTACAGAAACTCTTAAAGTCTTCAAATCTCAGCAGGACTTTGCAACAGGAGTGGTTAGATTTATTTCTTATAAGTCATGCCCGATGAAGTACTACTGCCAGGAACATAGCCTAATCAATGGATCTCCTAATGTTTGGCTACTCGTCGAAGACAAATACATCAGATGCATTGTTCCTTGATGACATTCAAAATCGTTGTGTTGTCAATGTTTGTATTCTGTACATTTTGAACATCTCACAATTTGCTTTTCTTGAATAGTGAAATGTTTGGTATATATTTGATATAATACATTTCTATTTTCTTTATTTAGTTATTTGTCATATGAATCTTTGACTTTAACGATCATTCCAAGCGTTATAAAGCATGAAACATGTCTCTTATTCAAGTACTAATAATATTTGCGAATCTAAAGTCATCCTAAAGGTCAAATATGAAGACCTAAATTCATGGCATAAATTGGCATAAATGGAGAATTGGCCAAGCTAAATTTCCATTTATGCCATGAAATTTCTATGCCATTTGACGATTTTTATGCCATTTGTCTCCATTTTATGCCATTGGTACCCCCCCTAACCAGTGCAGGAGTCACTAAGTAACCAGGAGTCGCTAAGTAACCAGGAGTCACTAAGTAACCAGGAGTCACTTAGTAACCAGTAGTTCAGGTCACTAAGTAACCAGGAGTCACTAAGTAACCAGAGGTCACTAAGTAACCATGAGTCACAAAGACGTAACCATGAGTCACTAAGTAACCATGAGTCACTAAGTAACCATGAGTCACTAAGTAACCATGAGTCACTAAGTAACCAGGAGTCACTAAGTAACCAGGAGTCACTAAGTAACCAGAGGTCACTAAGTAACCACGAGTCACTAAGTAACCATGAGTCACTAAGTAACCATGAGTCACTAAGTAACCGTATCTCCCCCAGACACCAGACACCCCACAACTAATGTGGAGGCTCGCTAGAATAATGTACGAGAAAGCAAAACACAACACTAAAGCGGGAGTAAACGCCCAGAAAGGACTGTTAGAGGCACTCGCTATTGCAAAGAAAGTAAATCATATTAATTTGCTTTTTTGCTCATCCTGATTTTCTTATTTGATTTTTGTTTGGGTCTGTGATCTTGAACTGAATATGTACCAGTAGCAAACGACACAAATGTTGGTAGTTTCAACTTATAACAATATACAATTTGTATTTACTGTTAAATGTAATATTATGTTGAGCAATGGCAGGGTGAAGAGTTGAGTGAAGGGAACTCTAAGAGCCACCTGTGGTACGCTATCCTACTGGGTGACACGTGTAAATATGACGATACGCGCGTTAAACTGACCAAGGGTTTAGAATTTGAGAAGCAGGTGAAACTCTCGCTGGATATTGATCCCTACAATTCTACTGCGCTGCATCTGATCGGGAGATACTGTTTCGAGGTGACATTCTGTAATTTCTTTTCTTTCTTCTTTTCAATAAAGCATTTTTAAATTATTATAATTTGCGCACTCATGTTATTGTACCTAATACAATAATACATTCGTTTCTTCGGGCTACGCGTGATAATTCCTGACAGCTTGCTGGAGGGAATTTTCGGTCTGAAGTAATACCTTCGGTTCCGGTTCCTTGCGGGAAAAATCTGCAAATTATCAGCTCTCAGTGTTGACGAGTTTTAGTGCATATAATTCCCGGAAATAGTTATAACCCTTTACTGTCAGGTATCAGGTATAAAACCCTTTACTGTCAGGTATCAGGTATAAAACCCTTTACTTTCAGGTATCAGGTATAAAACCCTTTACTGTCAGGTATCAGGTATAAAACCCTTTACTGTCAGGTATCAGGTATAAAACCCTTTACTGTCAAGTATCAGGTATAAAACCCTTTACTGTCAGGTATCAGGTATAAAACCCTTTACTGTCAGGTATCAGGTATAAAACCCTTTACTGTCAGGTATCAGGTATAAAACCCTTTACTGTCAGGTATCAGGTATAAAACCCTTTACTGTCAAGTATCAGGTATAAAACCCTTTACTGTCAAGTATCAGGTATAAAACCCTTTACTGTCAGGTATCAGGTATAAAACCCTTTACTGTCAGGTATCAGGTATAAAACCCTTTACTGTCAGGTATCAGGTATAAAACCCTTTACTGTCAGGTATCAGGTATAAAACCCTTTACTGTCAGGTTTCAGGTATAAAACCCTTTACTGTCAGGTATCAGGTATAAAACCCTTTACTGTCAAGTATCAGGTATAAAACCCTTTACTGTCAGGTATCAGGTATAAAACCCTTTACTGTCAGGTATCAGGTATAAAACCCTTTACTGTCAGGTATCAGGTATAAAACCCTTTACTGTCAGGTATCAGGTATAAAACCCTTTACTGTCAGGTATCAGGTATAAAACCCTTTACTGTCAGGTATCAGGTATAAAACCCTTTACTGTCAGGTATCAGGTATAAAGTGGTGGGAAGCTAAGATAGCAGCTACTTTGTTCGGGTGTGTACCTCAGTCTACCTATGATGAGGCCCTGCAATACTTCCTCCGTGCTGATGAGATTAATAGTGAGTGGATGGAGAACTCTCTCTTCATTGCTAAGGTAACTTATATTGGGTTAATTATTTATTTAGTTGATTGGTTACTTAATTCAGTAACTGAATACTCAGTTAATTGTTTAGTAGGGTAATTGTCATTGAAACTTCTCCATTCTACTTTAAAACCATTTAAATTTCTGTGAGGAATTTATTTCGTAATTTTTGTTCAAGAAAATTTGTTCCGCGAAATTGATTGCTCGTGACTTGATTCTTCGTTGAATCATTTAAATTTTGAATTTGCGAAAATTTAAACCGCGAGGAAGATAAAATGTCCGCGGTAAAATTGGTTTTACAGTATCATGTACTTCTTTCTTGATATATTGATAGTAATATACGACATACGTGACATCTTGAGAAAAATACGTATCTCCTACGTTGATAGAAGATTACGTTTTACGTGAAACATTTCAATTTCCAGTGTTTGATTGCCCTGAAAAGGAATGAAGAAGCTAAATCTTGGTTGGATAGAGTTGATTTGAAACAGGTAATTTTAAGCAAAATCAATTGTCATCAGTTGTACTGAATCTACAATATTGGAATCTAAGATATCAGATATTTAAAGCTCGAACAGTTGTTTTAACTTTACAGTGATAATTAAATCGTTGTCAGGGGGCAGAACACGAACTTCAAGCTCAAATAACAGACTTGAAAAAGAAGTTGTAACTGAAGAAGCAATCTTGAAAATAGTGTGTACTGACTGTAAAAACAGTGGATATCAGACTGGCGAAGATAATTGGATAAAGCATAGGGAATGTTTTACTTAATTCTTTATCTAGCAAAAAGATGGTTTATATCACTATTTATGTGTAAAGAAACAGCGAAGTTGAGTTCCCCATGTAATATTTTTAATTATGTACTAGCTATAATAGTGATCGTTTGTAATTTATCTGCAGATATGGACAAAGTTAGTCTCTTAATAGCCGATATTTATTCGTATTACACTGAAGTTATTTATAGCATATTGAATAAATTAAACCAAGTAATGTTTGTATATTACTCTCCAAATATTATAATAAACAACTTTGCAATTCATGCTTCGGAATCCAAAAAATACCTGGGCAAAACTCAGGAACCCGTTCATTCAGCATGCCTATTTTCAGACTTCCTTCATCATAAGAATACATGATACATATGGAGCTGCTGTAGAACTAGAGTCCATGTAACCCATCAACTGCCCCACTTGGCCCCTTGTAGGTTTATAACCTACCAAGACGTGCGCCGATTTAAACTCGTTGACGGATGATACCGAACGTGCTAAATCACTTTACAGTCGATAGATTGGAGATTTTTCTAAAACATGAAAGTTGAAACATCTCTGACATCTGAACTTCTGAATCGATGTATTTTCGAATGCTGATTATCGGTATCCAATCAATCATGATCAGGTTGTCATCTCCTCAGTAGCGCCTTACTTGATGAGATTGAGTGGCCGGATCACTGATTAAGTGCAGAGATCACGTATCCGATGGATTTTGAAATGGTCATAACTCCGCCAAATTTTGAACAATGAACTTGAAACTTTGGAAAAGGTTTTAAATTATCAAGCCAAATGTGTGCAACATTTTGAGTTCCTAGCTTAAAGCGTTCTCATTTTATGAAGACAATAATGAAAAAAAGGGAGTGTTACCAGGTTCTGTACACTGTGATATATAATTGCCGGGTGTTTAAAAGAAAAGTGATAATTGTAAACAGTGCCTGATGGTAAACTTTCATCTCTGTTGAAGAAATGTTTCAATGAACTGATTACTTTCTTTCCAATACCTGGAGAATCGGTAATCTCCTTATCTGCATTTAGGATAACATTCTCATGATAACTAGAAAGCTGATTGTTATTGATTATTTCATTTAACACTGAAATAAGCTCAAATCTCTGCGATAAAGGAGAGTAGTTTAAGGTATGTATCATCATATCCACGTACTGCTTTGGGACCTTTTGGATGTGTTTGTCTCTGCAGCTTGTTTCCAAGATTTTAATAAATGTTTCTGTTTCTTCCGTGGTTGGAGGATTTTGGTAGAAAACTCCAACCAGCGTATCAACAACTTTAAACATGGATGTGATGATGTTCCTTGCAATCAAATCTGTCAAACTGTTCATTGTTTCACACCTGTTCCACAAATCAATGTTTTTATCACTGTTGTACACCTGATCTGTAGTCCTTTCCTTTGTGTTCGTGCTACGGGAACTAGCTGATTTAATTGCCTCCGTAGTCAGTTTAAACGCATATTTCATATCCTCTGCTGAAATATTCAACAAATCTTGTATCTTCTCGCACATCTCTAAAAACTGATCTTTATTTTGCTTCCAGCAAAGTGTGAGATCCATTCGGCTTAGAAGATACTTACTGTTTTTATCCAGGATTTTACTGTTTTCCAAGTTCATTAAAACTATTCGAAGGAAAAGTTTAGTATTACATCCTCCAAGAACCAACATGAGATCAATCTGAACAACGTCTAATTTACCCAACTCTGTCATGTACTGCAACACGAATGAATTGTTGTCCCTACCAGAAAACCTGCACATAAAACCGTTCATTAAATCATGCTGCTCCCACTTGTTCCTTATATAGAGGGACTCCTCAAAAGCAAATAACTTCTCCTCATCCGTCACAGCTTTCTCCATCCTGCATTCCAGCCATTCCTTTAGTTCCTTCACCAGCCACACCACCTCGAACACGTGACCTAACTTGTGTTGCTCCCTGAACTGAGCGGTCTCCAAATCTCCCACACTCTTATCGTCCAATAATGTAACAAATAATGTTACACTCACAGGGTTGAAGTCTTCCAGGTCTAGCTCATCGTAATTCAGTTCCTCTATCAGGTAGCGGAACATTCGGCTGTCTTCCGTTAATCTCTGTTTGGAGACATTCAGCGGGTCTCCGTCCTTCAGCTTTATGATTATTGTTTCTTCGTTCATTTTAATGTTGATCTAAAAGAAAATGTAATATCATGTTTAAATTGGCTTTATCATGTTCATTGTTATGTTCACTCTAGCATATACAATATACCCTGGTAATACCAACGTACCAACGATATAAAACATTCGTGCGGTATGTAAATGTAATATAGAAGGCTTGTTGGAGATACTGTAAGTGTATTATTCAATTGCAGTTCAATTTCACATATATTAAAATTGGAAAAAATCGTTTAGAAACTTTTACCCGGAACAGTACTACGTCTTGAAGCGAGCCAAGAGCCTAGAATTAAGTATCAGGTAACAGCACAAATTGTAAGATCAACGCGGAGAGAAACAAAGGTATGTGAAGATAAACCAACTGAAACTCAAAGCTCTGAGTCTGTGCGATGATCTCACAGAATGTAACGGTGGGTTAGTCACATTGGTTGGTCACTGGTCACGTGCGTGTTATATGATACTGTACCATCGCTCTACCTTCAGCTATTCACGGATAAGATCCAAATAAGATTTGTTTTATCTGCGGCGCGGCTCCCTTTTTCGTCCTGTTAGATAACTTTTAAATGAAATCATCGTTAAACCTAATTTATTATCTCTGTTCGCGTGGTAAGAATAATTTACAATTTTATCAGAGTATGCAGTATGGCGCTGGCATACACTTTTGAAGGCATACTATACTGGCTGGCAGCCCCCTTTGAAATTCCAATCTTACATCGAAATCGAAACAATATAATAGGAATGACTTGAAAACTATTGGAGATGAAGATTCCGAATATATAATGAACAGTTGAACAGAGATGACCGACGACATCTGCAATATGTACTCCACCGCCATAAGGGGTGCTATTGCCAACAGTGATACCTTCACCAACGTTAAGGCCGATTGTGGGGATTTCAACGGGGCTTCTGGATTCGGCTTCAGTGCTCTTCTGGTGACGATCATGTGCATCTTGTACTAAGCTCTAAGAAGGAACATTCGAAATGCTTAGGCCGACACTAATTAATTATGCTATTAAGGGAATAAGGAGTATAAGTATAACTCCACTTTTGACCTATTCGACGGGGCTCTTACTAATTCGCTCGCCCAAAAATTTCACGTGACTTTGGTTTTTATGGTTTTGCAGCCGTACAAAACGGTTTTACATAAACCCTAATCCTAACCATAACCCCGAAGCTAACCATAACCCTTACCACAACCCTAACCCTAACCCGGGCCCTAAACAATCGAATTCGTATTTTACTAGCCTGTCACGTGACCAAAACGGTTTTTTGCCCATAACTCTCCAGGGAAGCATTTTAACCCTACGTCATGGGGGGTGATTCGGAATCAGCGTCCAAAAATACACCGATCCAGATCACTTTCATGCCCAAAGGGCCTTTTCACAAGAATTTTCTTAAAATTTGGGCGAGCGATTTAGTAGGAGCGATTCGACGGCCACTTATTACATATTAATACTGCATGTTTTACAATTTTTTTTGCTAGCCTTAGTAGATTTCCATACTGATGCCGTTTGAGGTTCTGATGACCACGCCCTTCGGTGACCACGCCCAACTCAAGATTGGTAAATCGTAGAAAATTCGAAGAACCATATTTATGTGTTTGGGGGACTTCGCCGCTTCGACTCGTCGCGCAAACTAGCATTCTTGCTTCGCAGAGCAACGATCCCGATGGGTTGACACCGTCAAATTCAATCAATTATGTGTTTGATGATCTTAGATTTGATCTATTTGTAACCATTTATTAATTTTAACATGTAAGATGATTAAAGTTGCTGAATTTATTGAATAAGATTGAAAATGTATAGCTATAACATCAAACAACATGGATCACATAATACCTCCAATAAATACACCTACAACTCTGTAAAGAAGAAATATTGCCCATCACAATTAAGCGCGCAGTGTGTTTTGTATATTTTAGTTGTCATATTGTTGTATATAGTAGTATACACTTTGTATGTAGTTCAACTTCAAGCAACTTCCTCGACTGATGCCCTTTACAAAATAATAAATATACTCATTTTATCATAAAAATAGTATTAAAATCAGCTAAGCAACTAATAGGAGATTGAAAGGCTGTAAGTCAGTTAGAAGACGATATTTGGTGACTACAAGTTGTGGATTCTCTGTTTATTATATTAATTAATACCACTATTATACACTATTATACAATTACTCAGGAATGAGGAAGTAAACCTACACGTAGCTAGAGAAAATATCATTTTATAGTATCGACTATAAATAATCGAACGTCTTCTAACTGACTTTTCAACTAAAATTTCAATCGACCGATGAAGACACAATACGTACCACGTAACATGTATAAATGTATTCCTGTCACCAAGATGTAATCAGATCGAACGCATAAATTAGATCGAACCGGTTTGATCTAGGAATTAGATCGAACGCTGGCGCGAGATACATATACAAATACATTGAAAGCCGCGCCGCGCGTTCGATCTAATTACTAGATCGAACCGGTTCGATCTAATTTCTGCGTTCGATCTAATTACATCTTGGTGACAGGAACTGACACCAAGATATTATAAACATAATGTACAATGTATATGAAGCACTGAAGCAGCATGGCAAATGTGGAGGACTGTCTGTTAACATGAAATAAGTTTCATCTGGGGAGCCTATCTGTAATCTGTAGGTTTAAATTGTTATAAGTTAAATAACTCTGGGATATGTCTATAAGGTTTCATACAATAATTCATAAAAAAGGGTCGCTACTAAAATCTGTATCCAATCATTAACAGTTTCTTAATTGGAAATCTGCAGTGGGGTCACAGGACTTTAGATTTCCATACTGATGCCTCGCAAAACTGTCATACTATCAACTAAACGCACTATTATTTAACTAGTTCAGCCTTATAACTATACCTAAAATCATAACCTAGTATTTAACGGAACTTAAAGCAGTAACACAAAGTACAAATAAATATATTTCAGTGGATTACTGACACGACTATTGACTATCATTGACATCAGAGATAGGAATTTCAAGTATCTTCCGGGAAGAATCCTCGGGGACTGTTTGAAGTAAGCCAGCGTCGTTCAGCATGGAGTAGAATATCCCCTGGTTTTTCTTAAGCTCTGCTGCTGTTCCGAACTCAGCAATCTCGCCTTTATCAAGCACCAAGATCCGATCATAATCTATAATCGTGTTCAGCCTAATAAGAAGGAATTACTTTTTACAATTACATTAGTAAGTACATAATAAGACAGATAAAGATATCGTTTCTAAATATCACATTCAGTATCGCATCAGACTCCCAACTCAATAAAAAGATGTAGCCACCTGTGAGCTATAGTTAAAATAGTCCTGCCAGAGAAGGTCTGTCTAATAGCATCCTGTATAATAGAGTCGGTCTCAATATCCACTGCAGCTGTAGCCTCGTCCATTACAATAATGTTGTTATCGGACAACAGCGCTCTAGCGAGACAAACCAACTGTCTCTGTCCAACACTGAGAATTAATTGTGTCATGTGACGATGAGTCATGTGATAATGTGTCATGTGACATAATAACCTAGATTAGATCCACCCTCTTGTATCACATTCCTACTTACCTGAGATTAGATCCACCCTCTTGTATCACATTCCTACTTACCTGAGATTAGATCCACCCTCTTGTATCCGACATCCTGAGCTACTTGCCAGTGATTTAGTCTTATGGGAACCTACGCACGGTAGAGCACAGCAAGGCCGACCAAGACAAAGCTACTTGTCTATGTTACTGAAGGAAGTTGGGACAAACTCTAAAGAGGAACTGCGAACCCTGATGCGGGACAGGGATATATGGAGGGTTTTTCTGGCGTAGATCGGACTTAGCTCCGACATAGTAGTAGTAGTCTTGTATCACATTGCCATTTACCTGAGATTAGATCCACCCTCTTGTATCACATTCTCACTTACCTGAGATTAGATCCACCCTCTTGTATCACATTCCCACTTACCTGAGATTAGATCCACCCTCTTGTATCACATTGCCACTTACCTGAGATTAGATCCACTCTCTTGTACCACATTCCCACTTACCTGAGATTAGATCCACCCTCTTGTACCACATTGCCACTTACCTGAGATTAGATCCACCCTCTTGTACCACATTCCCACTTACCTGAGATTAGATCCACCCTCTTGTATCACATTCTCACTTACCTGAGATTAGATCCACCCTCTTGTACCACATTCCCACTTACCTGAGATTAGATCCACCCTCTTGTACCACATTGCCACTTACCTGAGATTAGATCCACCCTCTTGTACCACATTCCCACTTACCTGAGATTAGATCCACCCTCTTGTACCACATTGCCACTTACCTGAGATTAGATCCACCCTCTTGTACCACATTCCCACTTACCTGAGATTAGATCCACCCTCTTGTATCACATTCCTACTTACCTGAGATTAGATCCACCCTCTTGTATCACATTCCCACTTACCTGAGATTAGATCCACCCTCTTGTATCACATTCCCACTTACCTGAGATTAGATCCACCCTCTTGTACCACATTCTCACTTACCTGAGATTAGATCCACCCTCTTGTATCACATTCCTACTTACCTGAGATTAGATCCACCCTCTTGTATCACATTCCCACTTACCTGAGATTAGATCCACCCTCTTGTATCACATTCTCACTTACCTGAGATTAGATCCACCCTCTTGTATCACATTCTCACTTACCTGAGATTAGATCCACCCTCTTGTATCACATTCCTACTTACCTGAGATTAGATCCACCCTCTTGTATCACATTCCCACTTACCTGAGATTAGATCCACCCTCTTGTATCACATTCTCACTTACCTGAGATTAGATCCACCCTCTTGTACCACATTCCCACTTACCTGAGATTAGATCCACCCTCTTGTATCACATTCTCACTTACCTGAGATTAGATCCACCCTCTTGTATCACATTCCCACTTACCTGAGATTAGATCCACCCTCTTGTACCACATTCTCACTTACCTGAGATTAGATCCACCCTCTTGTACCACATTCCCACTTACCTGAGATTAGATCCACCCTCTTGTACCACATTGCCACTTACCTGAGATTAGATCCACCCTCTTGTACCACATTCCCACTTACCTGAGATTAGATCCACCCTCTTGTACCACATTCCCACTTACCTGAGATTAGATCCACCCTCTTGTATCACATTCTCACTTACCTGAGATTAGATCCACCCTCTTGTACCACATTGCCACTTACCTGAGATTAGATCCACCCTCTTGTATCACATTCCCACTTACCTGAGATTAGATCCACCCTCTTGTATCACATTCCTACTTACCTGAGATTAGATCCACCCTCTTGTATCACATTCTCACTTACCTGAGATTAGATCCACCCTCTTGTATCACATTCCTACTTACCTGAGATTAGATCCACCCTCTTGTATCACATTCCCACTTACCTGAGATTAGATCCACCCTCTTGTATCACATTCTCACTTACCTGAGATTAGATCCACCCTCTTGTACCACATTCCCACTTACCTGAGATTAGATCCACCCTCTTGTATCACATTCTCACTTACCTGAGATTAGATCCACCCTCTTGTATCACATTCCCACTTACCTGAGATTAGATCCACCCTCTTGTACCACATTCTCACTTACCTGAGATTAGATCCACCCTCTTGTACCACATTCCCACTTACCTGAGATTAGATCCACCCTCTTGTACCACATTGCCACTTACCTGAGATTAGATCCACCCTCTTGTACCACATTCCCACTTACCTGAGATTAGATCCACCCTCTTGTACCACATTCCCACTTACCTGAGATTAGATCCACCCTCTTGTATCACATTCTCACTTACCTGAGATTAGATCCACCCTCTTGTACCACATTGCCACTTACCTGAGATTAGATCCACCCTCTTGTATCACATTCCCACTTACCTGAGATTAGATCCACCCTCTTGTATCACATTCCTACTTACCTGAGATTAGATCCACCCTCTTGTATCACATTCCTACTTACCTGAGATTAGATCCACCCTCTTGTATCACATTCCCACTTACCTGAGATTAGATCCACCCTCTTGTATCACATTCTCACTTACCTGAGATTAGATCCACCCTCTTGTACCACATTCCCACTTACCTGAGATTAGATCCACCCTCTTGTATCACATTCTCACTTACCTGAGATTAGATCCACCCTCTTGTATCACATTCCTACTTACCTGAGATTAGATCCACCCTCTTGTATCACATTCCCACTTACCTGAGATTAGATCCACCCTCTTGTATCACATTCTCACTTACCTGAGATTAGATCCACCCTCTTGTACCACATTCCCACTTACCTGAGATTAGATCCACCCTCTTGTATCACATTCTCACTTACCTGAGATTAGATCCACCCTCTTGTATCACATTCCCACTTACCTGAGATTAGATCCACCCTCTTGTACCACATTCTCACTTACCTGAGATTAGATCCACCCTCTTGTACCACATTCCCACTTACCTGAGATTAGATCCACCCTCTTGTACCACATTGCCACTTACCTGAGATTAGATCCACCCTCTTGTACCACATTCCCACTTACCTGAGATTAGATCCACCCTCTTGTACCACATTCCCACTTACCTGAGATTAGATCCACCCTCTTGTATCACATTCTCACTTACCTGAGATTAGATCCACCCTCTTGTACCACATTGCCACTTACCTGAGATTAGATCCACCCTCTTGTATCACATTCCCACTTACCTGAGATTAGATCCACCCTCTTGTATCACATTCCTACTTACCTGAGATTAGATCCACCCTCTTGTATCCGACATCCTGAGCTACTTGCCAGTGATTTAGTCTTATGGGAACCTACGCACGGTAGAGCACAGCAAGGCCGACCAAGACAAAGCTACTTGTCTATGTTACTGAAGGAAGTTGGGACAAACTCTAAAGAGGAACTGCGAACCCTGATGCGGGACAGGGATATATGGAGGGTTTTTCTGGCGTAGATCGGACTTAGCTCCGACATAGTAGTAGTAGTCTTGTATCACATTGCCATTTACCTGAGATTAGATCCACCCTCTTGTATCACATTCTCACTTACCTGAGATTAGATCCACCCTCTTGTATCACATTCTCACTTACCTGAGATTAGATCCACCCTCTTGTATCACATTCTCACTTACCTGAGATTAGATCCACCCTCTTGTATCACATTCCCACTTACCTGAGATTAGATCCACCCTCTTGTACCACATTGCCACTTACCTGAGATTAGATCCACCCTCTTGTATCACATTCTCACTTACCTGAGATTAGATCCACCCTCTTGTATCACATTCCTACTTACCTGAGATTAGATCCACCCTCTTGTATCACATTCCCACTTACCTGAGATTAGATCCACCCTCTTGTATCACATTCTCACTTACCTGAGATTAGATCCACCCTCTTGTACCACATTCCCACTTACCTGAGATTAGATCCACCCTCTTGTATCACATTCTCACTTACCTGAGATTAGATCCACCCTCTTGTATCACATTCCCACTTACCTGAGATTAGATCCACCCTCTTGTACCACATTCTCACTTACCTGAGATTAGATCCACCCTCTTGTACCACATTCCCACTTACCTGAGATTAGATCCACCCTCTTGTACCACATTGCCACTTACCTGAGATTAGATCCACCCTCTTGTACCACATTCCCACTTACCTGAGATTAGATCCACCCTCTTGTACCACATTCCCACTTACCTGAGATTAGATCCACCCTCTTGTATCACATTCTCACTTACCTGAGATTAGATCCACCCTCTTGTACCACATTGCCACTTACCTGAGATTAGATCCACCCTCTTGTATCACATTCCCACTTACCTGAGATTAGATCCACCCTCTTGTATCACATTCCTACTTACCTGAGATTAGATCCACCCTCTTGTATCCGACATCCTGAGCTACTTGCCAGTGATTTAGTCTTATGGGAACCTACGCACGGTAGAGCACAGCAAGGCCGACCAAGACAAAGCTACTTGTCTATGTTACTGAAGGAAGTTGGGACAAACTCTAAAGAGGAACTGCGAACCCTGATGCGGGACAGGGATATATGGAGGGTTTTTCTGGCGTAGATCGGACTTAGCTCCGACATAGTAGTAGTAGTCTTGTATCACATTGCCATTTACCTGAGATTAGATCCACCCTCTTGTATCACATTCTCACTTACCTGAGATTAGATCCACCCTCTTGTATCACATTCTCACTTACCTGAGATTAGATCCACCCTCTTGTATCACATTCTCACTTACCTGAGATTAGATCCACCCTCTTGTATCACATTCCCACTTACCTGAGATTAGATCCACCCTCTTGTATCACATTGCCACTTACCTGAGATTAGATCCACTCTCTTGTACCACATTCCCACTTACCTGAGATTAGATCCACCCTCTTGTACCACATTCCCACTTACCTGAGATTAGATCCACCCTCTTGTATCACATTCCCACTTACCTGAGATTAGATCCACCCTCTTGTACCACATTCCCACTTACCTGAGATTAGATCCACCCTCTTGTATCACATTCTCACTTACCTGAGATTAGATCCACCCTCTTGTACCACATTCCCACTTACCTGAGATTAGATCCACCCTCTTGTACCACATTGCCACTTACCTGAGATTAGATCCACCCTCTTGTATCACATTCCCACTTACCTGAGATTAGATCCACCCTCTTGTACCACATTCCCACTTACCTGAGATTAGATCCACCCTCTTGTATCACATTGCCACTTACCTGAGATTAGATCCACCCTCTTGTATCACATTCTCACTTACCTGAGATTAGATCCACCCTCTTGTACCACATTCCCACTTACCTGAGATTAGATCCACCCTCTTGTACCACATTCCCACTTACCTGAGATTAGATCCACCCTCTTGTACCACATTCCCACTTACCTGAGATTAGATCCACCCTCTTGTACCACATTCCCACTTACCTGAGATTAGATCCACCCTCTTGTACCACATTCCCACTTACCTGAGATTAGATCCACCCTCTTGTACCACATTCCCACTTACCTGAGATTAGATCCACCCTCTTGTATCACATTCTCACTTACCTGAGATTAGATCCACCCTCTTGTACCACATTGCCACTTACCTGAGATTAGATCCACCCTCTTGTATCACATTCCTACTTACCTGAGATTAGATCCACCCTCTTGTACCACATTCCCACTTACCTGAGATTAGATCCACCCTCTTGTACCACATTGCCACTTACCTGAGATTAGATCCACCCTCTTGTACCACATTCCCACTTACCTGAGATTAGATCCACCCTCTTGTACCACATTCCCACTTACCTGAGATTAGATCCACCCTCTTGTATCACATTCTCACTTACCTGAGATTAGATCCACCCTCTTGTATCACATTCTCACTTACCTGAGATTAGATCCACCCTCTTGTACCACATTGCCACTTACCTGAGATTAGATCCACCCTCTTGTATCACATTCCCACTTACCTGAGATTAGATCCACCCTCTTGTACCACATTCCCACTTACCTGAGATTAGATCCACCCTCTTGTACCACATTGCCACTTACCTGAGATTAGATCCACCCTCTTGTACCACATTCCCACTTACCTGAGATTAGATCCACCCTCTTGTACCACATTCCCACTTACCTGAGATTAGATCCACCCTCTTGTATCACATTCTCACTTACCTGAGATTAGATCCACCCTCTTGTACCACATTGCCACTTACCTGAGATTAGATCCACCCTCTTGTATCACATTCCTACTTACCTGAGATTAGATCCACCCTCTTGTATCACATTCCCACTTACCTGAGATTAGATCCACCCTCTTGTATCACATTCCTACTTACCTGAGATTAGATCCACCCTCTTGTATCACATTCCCACTTACCTGAGATTAGATCCACCCTCTTGTATCACATTCCCACTTACCTGAGATTAGATCCACCCTCTTGTATCACATTCCCACTTACCTGAGATTAGATCCACCCTCTTGTATCACATTCCCACTTACCTGAGATTAGATCCACCCTCTTGTATCACATTCCCACTTACCTGAGATTAGATCCACCCTCTTGTATCACATTCCCACTTACCTGAGATTAGATCCACCCTCTTGTATCACATTCCTACTTACCTGAGATTAGATCCACCCTCTTGTATCACATTCCCACTTACCTGAGATTAGATCCACCCTCTTGTATCACATTCCCACTTACCTGAGATTAGATCCACCCTCTTGTACCACATTGCCACTTACCTGAGATTAGATCCACCCTCTTGTATCACATTCCCACTTACCTGAGATTAGATCCACCCTCTTGTACCACATTCCCACTTACCTGAGATTAGATCCACCCTCTTGTACCACATTCTCACTTACCTGAGATTAGATCCACCCTCTTGTACCACATTCTCACTTACCTGAGATTAGATCCACCCTCTTGTATCACATTCCCACTTACCTGAGATTAGATCCACCCTCTTGTACCACATTGCCACTTACCTGAGATTAGATCCACCCTCTTGTACCACATTGCCACTTACCTGAGATTAGATCCACCCTCTTGTACCACATTCCCACTTACCTGAGATTAGATCCACCCTCTTGTACCACATTCCCACTTACCTGAGATTAGATCCACCCTCTTGTATCACATTCTCACTTACCTGAGATTAGATCCACCCTCTTGTACCACATTGCCACTTACCTGAGATTAGATCCACCCTCTTGTATCACATTCCCACTTACCTGAGATTAGATCCACCCTCTTGTACCACATTCCCACTTACCTGAGATTAGATCCACCCTCTTGTACCACATTGCCACTTACCTGAGATTAGATCCACCCTCTTGTACCACATTCCCACTTACCTGAGATTAGATCCACCCTCTTGTACCACATTCCCACTTACCTGAGATTAGATCCACCCTCTTGTATCACATTCTCACTTACCTGAGATTAGATCCACCCTCTTGTACCACATTGCCACTTACCTGAGATTAGATCCACCCTCTTGTATCACATTCCTACTTACCTGAGATTAGATCCACCCTCTTGTATCACATTCCCACTTACCTGAGATTAGATCCACCCTCTTGTATCACATTCCTACTTACCTGAGATTAGATCCACCCTCTTGTATCACATTCCCACTTACCTGAGATTAGATCCACCCTCTTGTATCACATTCTTACTTACCTGAGATTAGATCCACCCTCTTGTATCACATTCCCACTTACCTGAGATTAGATCCACCCTCTTGTATCACATTCCCACTTACCTGAGATTAGATCCACCCCCTTGTACCACATTCCTACTTACCTGAGATTAGATCCACCCTCTTGTATCACATTCCCACTTACCTGAGATTAGATCCACCCTCTTGTACCACATTCCCACTTACCTGAGATTAGATCCACCCTCTTGTATCACATTCCCACTTACCTGAGATTAGATCCACCCTCTTGTATCACATTCCCACTTACCTGAGATTAGATCCACCCTCTTGTATCACATTCCCACTTACCTGAGATTAGATCCACCCTCTTGTATCACATTCCCACTTACCTGAGATTAGATCCACCCTCTTGTATCACATTCTACTTACCTGAGATTAGATCCACCCTCTTGTATCACATTCCCACTTACCTGAGATTAGATCCACCCTCTTGTACCACATTCTCACTTACCTGAGATTAGATCCACCCTCTTGTATCACATTCTTACTTACCTGAGATTAGATCCACCCTCTTGTATCACATTCTTACTTACCTGAGATTAGATCCACCCTCTTGTATCACATTCCCACTTACCTGAGATTAGATCCACCCTCTTGTATCACATTCCCACTTACCTGAGATTAGATCCACCCTCTTGTATCACATTCTTACTTACCTGAGATTAGATCCACCCTCTTGTATCACATTCCCACTTACCTGAGATTAGATCCACCCTCTTGTACCACATTCCCACTTACCTGAGATTAGATCCACCCTCTTGTATCACATTCCCACTTACCTGAGATTAGATCCACCCTCTTGTATCACATTCCCACTTACCTGAGATTAGATCCACCCTCTTGTACCACATTCCTACTTACCTGAGATTAGATCCACCCTCTTGTACCACATTCCCACTTACCTGAGATTAGATCCACCCTCTTGTACCACATTCCCACTTACCTGAGATTAGATCCACCCTCTTGTATCACATTCTCACTTACCTGAGATTAGATCCACCCTCTTGTACCACATTGCCACTTACCTGAGATTAGATCCACCCTCTTGTATCACATTCCCACTTACCTGAGATTAGATCCACCCTCTTGTATCACATTCCCACTTACCTGAGATTAGATCCACCCTCTTGTATCACATTGCCACTTACCTGAGATTAGATCCACCCTCTTGTACCACATTGCCACTTACCTGAGATTAGATCCACCCTCTTGTACCACATTGCCACTTACCTGAGATTAGATCCACCCTCTTGTACCACATTCCCACTTACCTGAGATTAGATCCACCCTCTTGTACCACATTCCCACTTACCTGAGATTAGATCCACCCTCTTGTACCACATTCCTACTTACCTGAGATTAGATCCACCCTCTTGTATCACATTCTCACTTACCTGAGATTAGATCCACCCTCTTGTATCACTTTCCCACTTACCTGAGATTAGATCCACCCTCTTGTATCACATTCCCACTTACCTGAGATTAGATCCACCCTCTTGTATCACATTCCCACTTACCTGAGATTAGATCCACCCTCGTGTGCCACATTCCCACTTACCTGAGATTAGATCCACCCTCTTGTATCACATTCCCACTTACCTGAGATTAGATCCACCCTCTTGTACCACATTCCCACTTACCTGAGATTAGATCCACCCTCTTGTACCACATTCTCACTTACCTGAGATTAGATCCACCCTCTTGTACCACATTCCCACTTACCTGAGATTAGATCCACCCTCTTGTACCACATTCCCACTTACCTGAGATTAGATCCACCCTCTTGTACCACATTCCCACTTACCTGAGATTAGATCCACCCTCTTGTACCACATTCCCACTTACCTGAGATTAGATCCACCCTCTTGTACCACATTCTCACTTACCTGAGATTAGATCCACCCTCTTGTACCACATTCCCACTTACCTGAGATTAGATCCACCCTCTTGTACCACATTCCCACTTACCTGAGATTAGATCCACCCTCTTGTACCACATTCTCACTTACCTGAGATTAGATCCACCCTCTTGTACCACATTCCCACTTACCTGAGATTAGATCCACCCTCTTGTATTACGAAGTCGAGGCCTGTTTCCTGCTGCTCAAAGTAGGTTTTAAGAGAGGCACTTTCAAGTGACAGCCAAATCAGATTATCGTCATACGTCCCAAAAGGATCGAGGTTTTTGCGGATTGTATCAGAGAAGAGAATTGGATCCTGAAATGAATTCACGTAGTATTTTGTTCCATAAAAGCAACTATATTCAGAATGACAATTACACAAAACAATGTTTAACTCCTACGATTCTCTCCCACGATTCCTCCATCGTTATATTACGAGAAAGGGTAAGGGTAAGGGTAAGGGTAAGGGTAAGGGTAAGGGTAAAGGTAAGGATACGTGGTAAGGGTAAAGGTAAGGGTAATGGTAAGGGTAAAGGTAAGGGTAAGGGTAAATGTAAGGGTAAGGGTAAGTGGTAAGGGTAAGGGTAAGGGCAAGTGGTAAGGGTAAAGGTAAGTAATAATAAGGGTAATAGTAAGGGTAAGGGTACCTGCGGTATGATAGAAATCTTCTTTCTCAGCTCGTGAAGACCTATTGCAGATATATCCACGTCATCTATAATAATAGCTCCCTCCGCCAGCTCCAGTATCCGGAAGAGAGTTAGGGTTATAGAGGATTTACCCGCACCTGTCCTGCCTACTATACCAATCTGGGGGGAAATGTGTTTAGCTGATGTTGTATTTGGAGGGCTTCGACGCGCCGCGCGAACTATTATTCTTGCTTCGCATCGTACTCGTAGATCTCGATGATCACAATGCTGGCAAGCATTACCGTTGCCCTTATATTCACAACACTATTTACCCCCTATACTATTATATCCCCTTTATTGTTTTCCAGGCATTAAGACTCATCGAAAGTAGTTCAGCAGGTATATTTAAGTAAAAAACATTCTAATTAAATGTAAAAGATGACAGGAATAAGAAATAGTTATGTGGAAGTTTTTAAGAAATTTGTGCAAAATACGCGCCAGCATGTTATACGAAATTAGGTAAAAAACCCAAAATCGCCATATTCAGGTGCCTTAAAAACCATGTTAAAATTGAGTTAGAGATCTGAAACTTTGCAGGGCGTCTAGACCTCGTCCAAATCGACTGTAAAAAATGTTTCCTGTTTCAGGAGTATCGGGAAGTGAGTTTTCTGGAACCCCTGTTTTACAACAGATTGTCGTGAAGGATATATATATATGTATGTATATGTATAAAAACAATACCAATCATCAGTGCACTGATGATTGGTATTGTTTTTATACATATCATGAAACGGATCGTTTGCCCGCCAATTTGATTTGTTTCAATTGTTCGAATTATAATGCTCCTGCTTAACTGCAGTCGAGCACTCTCTTTGGGAAACCAAACAACAACTATTTATTATGTATGTATATGTATAGACGCTTAGGCAGTCAATTGTAGCCTACATTTAAGTGTCCGTAGATTCGAAAGTATAAAAGATACAGTCATTTCGAACCACAGGTTTTATAGATAATTGTTTATACTTTAGTTTACATTATATCGAAAAATAATTTATCGTCATCATCATCACTTGATGACGTCATCAATTTAAGTGTTTCTAAAACTTGATTTTTGACAAAATAACAACTTTTCAAATCGATTTTACACCATTAAAAAGTAATTTTATTCAAAATCTGAGGACATTTTTATCTTAGATAATTGTTCAAGCATTCTAAAAATCTACCGGAAAAGTTTCCTACCTTACTCCTTCATAAAGATATTCGCTATTGAAGTTAGTGCTTTTTTGAAGAATAATTTTATAAAAACACAAAAGTTGTGAATTAGTATTCTCTGGTGTTGGACCATCCCTTGGGTTGTGGAGCTTAATTTTGCTTCTTAAAGGTCTAAATTGTGTTATAGAGTTATAGGCTAGTTTTAAAGTTGAAAATCGAAAATTTGCACACGTGGGGACACGCCCAAATTGATTTAAAATAGCTTATATCACTGAAAATTGTTATTTTCATGATTTTTATCAACTTTGGAGTCCCGTTGTGATTCAAGTTCTTTTTGAAATCTTCTGAAACTTTGCATGCTTATTAAACTATATATTAAATACCACTATGCAAAAATTTACGGTGATTCAGTATTGTATGCGCACGCAACGTCCGCTCAAAGTTTGCACGTGCGAAAGGTGAGAATTTTGCTCATTCGTGATTTCGAATATATTCTGCTTTCCCACGATATTTAAATGGCATTATATATGAATTAAATGCCAACTTGAATGAGTAAAAAGTGCCATATTCAGTCTGTTATCGACAGATATGCCTACCTAAACACAAGGAAATGTTTTCAAAGGTAAAATTTCGAAATCGTTGAAATTGCCTCCTTATTAATGAAGTTTCGACTGTGTAAATTATCCTGACAATGACATTATAATCAAAAAGAGATGATATTTGACCAAAACCCATAATCATGGGTAGAGTGAACCGCTGCCAGTGTCTCTCTTTTCCAAACAAAAGGAAATGATATTAATTTGAGGAACCGTCCGCAAATGCAAATTGATACCGAGAATGAAATCGGTCGCTCGCTTTTTCCATTCAATAAGCTTTATTATAATTCGTATAAAGCTGTGAATGAATGGGAAAAGCGAGCGACCGATTTCATTCTCGGTATCAATTTGCATTTGCGGACGGTTCCTCAAATTAATATCATTTCCTTTTGTTTGGAAAAGAGAGACACTGGCAGCGGTTCACTCTACCCATGATTATGGGTTTTGGTCAAATTATGACATCGTCTATCAAATATTTTATGAGATCATTTCAGTGGTGCTGTATGACTATGAGATCATGTCAGAGGGGTTGTATTAGATCATGTCAGTGGGGTTGTATTAGATCATGTCAGTGGAGATTTACAATTCTAAAATTTCTTAGATCTCGATGATTATGACATCGTCAATCAAATATTTTATGAGATTAAATATCTTTAATAAATTGATTAAAGATATTTATCCTAATTCATTGGAGATGGAGCGAGCTGGTTCCAATAATAAAATCATTAACTACCTTGATTTAAATATTAATATTTCCACAGAAGGACTAGAAATATCAGTGTATAACAAAACTGATGATTTTAATTTTCATGTTGTATCCCTTACATTTCCTCACAGTAACATCCCAACCGAGGGTGGCTACAACGTTTTTTCAAGTCAAGTTCTTAGATATGGTAATGTTTGCACTAGATTGGATATCTTTACCTCCCATCTTCACAAAATATTCAAAATTCTAATTGATAGAGGATATAGCCGTGATAGACTGATTAAAGGCATTAAACGTTGTCTGAGGAAATATGATAACGTTTTCAGGAAGTTCGGTATTCTAGATGACCGTAACATTATTAAAGAACTCCCCTGATATCTTTTGATTTATTGAAACACGGGTACTAACTCTGCTAAACTGAACAAATTCTGAAACTTAGGTGAATAAGTGTACAACGTGCTAAACCGAAGTTCAGACTGACCAGTGAAAATGGGCGAGCGTACCAAGTGTCATTTTAATTAGAAGTTTTAGTCAGTGATTTATTATTGAAGCTTGTAATTACAATATCTAATGCTCCTATAAATACTTTAATTAATTGTATGTCCCGTTTTTCTTTTTCCTTCCTCTTTTCCTTGTCATCCCCTTTAGTTTTAAGATTCTTGCTATAAATGGCTACAGCTAACACTATTAATGCTAAGTAGTAAGTACCAAACAACAAGTGGGAGGTGGATCGTTGGTATACCATTAAATCGATTTAACACCGCAATTCCAGTCGCAAGCCTGGGACCACTACTACACGATTAGAAAAATTTATTTGTTATACTGGAATAATAACAATTTTAAAATATAAAATAAATCACTTCCCTCTGCTAGCACTTCCCTCTACTAGCATAGTCACAACATCTACAAAGCTGCCATATAGCCTGACTGACAATTTTCTCGACTGACTGACAATGTTTCTTCTTTTTCCCCATTTAGAATACAAAGATTAGTACATTTTAGCTTATGATTAATATTATATTTTTACCTATAGTTTACCTAGATTCAGTGGTGCTGTATGACTATGAGATCATGTCAGTGGGGTTGTATTAGATCATGTCAGTGGGGTTGTATTAGATCATGTCAGTGGAGATTTACAATTCTAAAATTTCTGCACAATGTACTGGAATTTGCTCTAACCAGAGCCCTCTCGCGCTTGTGAAACAAGCGCAAAGCGCGTCACGCAGTATGAGTACGCTTATCGGTATACACATGGCTATGTGATTGTGAATACTGGAATGGTTTAAAAGAGGAGAAGAAAAAGAAAATTCGGGGAAACATAGTATGTAACGTCGATACCAAACCAAACGATGGTGACTGACTCTCAACTCTGAATAGTTGATTCCTGGGTTGCAGAGTCCTCCTGTTTCCTAATTCTAACTCTAAAGCTCTTAGTTAACGATAAACTGGAACAGAAATCAAAAGTCCGAACACGGAGTCTAGGTAATAGCTGTGAACCAAATAAAGAGGAATCTTTCAATCTAATCTAATAGACGATCATCAAAATCTTGAGATTATAATATATAAGTGTTCTTTGAATATGTAACGGTTGGAAAGAATTTTGAAATCTGAGATTCAGTTTGAGTTTTCGACCGAATCACGATCCTTTGGCATACTGGGTTACAGCTGTTACCAAACCGGAGTAAACCGGTCACCTATGACCTAGGGACATCAGAATCCACAGTTAGGTAAAAGATAGTTTAGATGTAAAGTTTAGACTAACCTTTTGTATAAAGTTAGTTTCATTCAAGAAGTATTGATATTTGACCAATTTATGGGCCAAAAAACCCCTAAAATAACTCTGTTTTCATTAATATAATTTTGCATTAAATCAAGCCGCGCACGCGCACATCTTATTACAGTAAACTCTGAGCACTATGCATAACAAACAAATTATCCGTTTGGCGTTCGCGCTTTCCGTTTCATAATAGATAACTTCATGCCAAGTCGGGGTCACGTACAGACTGTCGATCTATAACATGCAGTGATAAAATATGCTCTTTCTTACTATTAAATTAATCGAGATAAATTCGTTATCCAAAGACCTCATGAATTTAAACTGGTTTCTCTGAGGATTTCATAGTTAAATTTTATCAAAAAACTTAGCAATTCCTTATTTCGCAAAACCTGAAATGACTAAGAAAAAATGTTAATTATTATTGCTATATTATAAACTAACCCGTTCACCAGCTAAAACGGTAAAGTTGAGGTTTTTTAGGACGAGATCCAGACCTTCTCTGTAACGAACTGACACACCTTTATACTCGATACTTCCTGTAAAGTGTTTACACTTTATTAGCACACTTATGTATATGTATTTGTTTATTAACTGACATCTCTCTATTTAAGCCCATTGTAATGAGACGCAAATTAAGAATTACATTTAAAAGCCAGGATTACATCTCTAACATGTTTAAAAGACAAAAGTAAGTACTAGCAAAAGTGACCAAAACACTGACATGCATTTCATTACATCATGTTTATTGACACTGTGACCAATAGGTAGGTACTGTGTTTCACATCAACATTAATGAACCAGTGTACAATATACTCTAGTAGCAGAGTGTAGTTACTAGAGCAATATCTCGTGTTACAGAACAGAAGATATGTTTAAATCTCATATTAAAAGATAAGGGACTTGAACAGTAACAGGGGGAACCAGAGAAGCTAGATATGGTGAACAATTACCAAATCATGATTGAATGGTGTCTTATTTCAAGGTACCCTAGTAACAGTGTACTATAAAACCTGCTGACTAGCAGTAAAGTTACTAGTAACAGTAGACTATAGAACCTGCTGACTAGCAGTAAAGTGACTAAAACAAACTGGATTACACAGGATCACACAGGATTACACAGGATTACACAGGATTACACAGGATTACACAGGATTAAAATTAAATTATAGGTCCAGTGGCGGTCCACTATCGTGAACCGTCATGATTGTTTACAGAATTGGGTAGAAAATAAATTATTTAATAAATTCCCAGCTTTGTTTGAACTCAGGGCCAGTGTTAGCCTTAAGACCTTGATTATTAATTAATTAATTAATTAATTAATTAATTAATTAATTGATTAATTAATTAATTAATTAATTAATTAATGAGTGACTCACCACTCTGAGGCCAGGTTTGGTGAGGAGGTGAGGTAGAGACGAGTGTGCGCTCGGTGGTGAGTGCCGAGTACTCGTTCACCCGCTCCACACTCACAACATTCACTTCCAGCTCACTGTACATTCTCACTACCCAGGATAGGGACTGGGTCACCTAATTAATTAATGTAATTATTTAATGATATTATAATATATTATAAGGTTCATTTAACTGATTAATTAACAATTTTATTCATACAATTTTATTCATATAAATTTATTCATTGGGTGGTGTCTACGAGGAGCATTTGATACAAAAAGCTGAGCAAGACGCGAAGTCAAATATGTCTGCAACTTTAAGAATGAAAGTGAAAGTATAGATAAAGTGAAAGTGAAAGTGAAAGTGAAAGTGAAAGTGAAAGTATAGATGATACTAGATGCTAGTACGATAGTAAAGAATACTGACCCCCATAGCAGAACTTATAGCAAGACCAGCCTGCGCTGCGTCCATGTGGTCAGCGCGCAGTACGGAGGTTAGCGCTGTTAAGAAGATAACAAAGTGACCAGTTACTTCCAGCCTGGTAGATAACCATCTGTTACTCATCATGTTGAGGTAGAAGGAGCGCACATTGTCATCTACTAATCCCTCGTTATACTTTATGAAAGTATCGGTCTTTCTGTACGCTCGTATACTGGGCAACCCTGTAATTTAAAACACTCTAATACTTTCAACACTACTATATTATAACAAATAATTTGAGATCATAAATACGATGTTGTCACATGAAACGTTGAATAATTCCTTTCCTGATAAGAGCCCTTTCCTTGTCGCATCAAACGGGATCAATAGAAATTTACCCAAGAAAAGACTGTAGAGAAGTTAACAATATAAACTATATGAGTAGTTAGTGTTTACAGTGTCTTACAATAATTTACCTGTTAATTTAAATAACATACCTATTAATGTTTAGTTAGTGTTTACAGTGTCTTACAATTTACCAGTTAATTTAAATAACATACCTATTAATGTTTAGTTAGTGTTAACAGTGTCTTACAATTTACTTGTTAATTTAAATAACATACCTATTAATGTTTAGTTAGTGTTTACACTTACAATTTACTTGTTAATTTAAATAACATACCTATTAATGTTTAGTTAGTGTTAACAGTGTCTTACAATTTACTTGTTAATTTAAATAACATACCTATTAATGTTTAGTTAGTGTTAACAGTGTCTTACAATTTACTTGTTAATTTAAATAACATACCTATTAATGTTTAGTTAGTGTTTACACTTACAATTTACTTGTTAATTTAAATAACATACCTATTAATGTTTAGTTAGTGTTTACAGTGTCTTACAATTTACTTGTTAATTTAAATAACATACCTATTAATGTTTAGTTAGTGTTTACAGTGTCTTACAATTTACTTGTTAATTTAAATAACATACCTATTATTGTTTAGTTAGTGTTTACAGTGTCTTACAATTTACCAGTTAATTTAAATAACATACCTATTAATGTTTAGTTAGTGTTAACAGTGTCTTACAATTTACCTGTTAATTTAAATAACATACCTATTAATGTTTAGTTAGTGTTTACACTTACAATTTACTTGTTAATTTAAATAACATACCTATTAATGCTTACAGTGTCTTACAATTTACTTGTTAATTTAAATAACATACCTATTAATGTTTAGTTAGTGTTTACAGTGTCTTACAATTTACTTGTTAATTTAAATAACATACCTATTAATGCTTACAGTGTCTTACAATTTACTTGTTAATTTAAATAACATACCTATTAATGTTTAGTTAGTGTTTACAGTGTCTTACAATTTACTTGTTAATTTAAATAACATACCTATTAATGTTTAGTTAGTGTTTACAGTGTCTTACAATTTACTTGTTAATTTAAATAACATACCTATTAATGTTTAGTTAGTGTTTACAGTGTCTTACAATTTACTTGTTAATTTAAATAACATACCTATTAATTTTTTTTTTTTATTAAATACTTTTCAAATTTTACAGAGTACAGCAATAGATGAATATAAAATAGAATCGTTCAAAATATCGCCCCCATCTGTAAAATATGATGGGCACCCAAACACGGTAAACACATAGTGAACTATGTCCGCAGTAACTTGGACCCATTACATCGAATTAATCTAAATCCAAAAATTTATGAAAAACTATTTAATAACAAACAAATCCATGGTGAATAACTGTGGATATATAGTCAAAATTGGTATTTCAATACGTCAAATTCCAGATACATTAGATACAGGTCTGATATGGTCATTAATGTGTGAGGTGTGCGGGTGAAGTGTGATATGATGTTGAAAGTATAGGAAGGTAGATAAAAAAATTAATAAAACAAAAATAATAATAATATGGGGAGCAAAGAGACTAGGCTAGACTGTTGTTTCACTATCCAATAAACATTTCCATAGATGCTTAGTGACCTCAGCTTTGAAAAGACTAGTAGACACAATCTGTCTTACCTGTAAAGGGAGTCCATTCCACAGTATATGGGTTCTGTAGAAAAATGATTTTGCCAGTGGGCTATTTGAGGTAAATGTGGTGTGTGAATTCTGACTTAACTTAGGTAAAATTGATGACACAATAGACAGACTGTCGAGGTGGCAACGTCTTAGTCGAGAAGTGCCCTGATATAAAGAGAGATAGTGAGGCAGCGATACAGGAATTAAATTGTTAAGAACTTTGTGGAAAAAAATAAGATCATTCAAGTCAAACTTTTGAGACAAAGGGAGAATGTCGACAAGCTTGCACTTTTTGACATATTGCTCAGGTGGATAACTGCGGCCCTCTTCAGACAGAATCCATTTAATAGCTCTCTTTTGGAGACTTTCTAATTTATCACTAAGTGATTTATTACAAGGGCGCCAGATTATGGAACAATTTTCGAATTGGCTACGAACCAGGGAGAGGTAAAGCGCCCGGCGACGTTTCTGATCAATGACAATATGGCCATCTCTTCTGACCATACCAAGTTGTTGGCAGGCCTTAGTATAAATTCTGTCGCACTGACTATTCCAACTGAGCTTAGGAGTAACATCGACTCCAAGATCTTTTTCTAACTCTACATACACAAGAGGAGAGCCATCAAGATTATATGCGAATGGAGGAGATAAAGATGGTTTTCCTGAAACAATAAGCACTTTACATTTTGCTGGATGGAATCGCATTTTGTTTCTAAGTGCCCAGTCAGAGAGATAGTCTATATCCATTTGTAAATTGGTATTATCAGAAGATGAATGTATTTTACGCCAGATTTTTGTATCATCGGCATACAAAACAATATCAGTATTATCCGAAAGGCCAAGAGGAATATCATTGATAAACAATACAAAAAGTAAGGGACCAAGGATAGAGCCCTGGGGGACACCAGAATTAACTGAGAGGGTAGATGACATCTCATTACCAATAACCACTCTTTGGTAACGGCCTTGAAGGTAATTGGTAAGAAATTTGAGAAGTGTACCATCAATGTTATATAAGGTCTTTAGCTTATGAAGAAGGATATCATGATTTACAGAATCAAATGCCTTAGCAAAATCAAAATACACAACATGATTGATAATGTTTTCGTTAAGAGACAATGCCAGGCTATCACAAAAATCAACCATATTGGTTGTGCATGACTTGTGCTCTAGAAAACCATGCTGCCTGGGATCAAGAAGGGTACTTGTCAAAGAAAGCAGTTTACGTTTAACAATGCGCTCAAAAACTTTCATGACTAAACAAGTAAGGGATATTGGTCTATAGTTTTCAACCTCACTTTTCTTACCTTTCTTAAATATTGGGACAACATTTGCAAGTTTCCATTCTTGTGGAATGTAGCCGCTGTTGTAGGATCCACGAAAAATGCATGTTAGAGGGTAAGCTAAACCTACGGAACAATTTTTTAGAATTTTACCGTGTATGCCATCTGGTCCCTGGGCTTTATTTGAATTAATATTTGAAAGAAGCTTACGAACATCCCGATGATCGAAGTCAATATCAAAATCAACATCATTGACATAGGAGATGTCAGTGTCATAAAGTGAAGGATCCGAAAACTGGTTATAAAAGAAAGAATTGAAAAGTTCAGCTTGATCTTTGGGATTGAACCGAAGCTGTCCAGAATAACTAACACAATTAGGAATACGGCAGGAGTTAGATTTATACTTAACATGTGACCAAAACTTCTTAGTTATAAGCGCTGGATCATCACTATTAAAAAGATTATCTCTTATTTTGGCTGATGAGAGCCTCTTAAAATCTTTACGGCTAGTAACAAACTTTAACTCATCAGAAATAGAACCAGAAATTTTAAATTTAGCTCTGAGTCTATCTTTTTTACGGCATGAAGAAAAAAGTTCACTATCGAACCACGGGGGTTGGAACTCTGATTTAATAATTACTTTAGGAATATGTATATCAACTAAATTCATAATGCAGTCTTTAACTAACTTCCAAGACGAATCAGGATCTAGGCATTCTAGGACTTGCCAATTAATCGAGCATAATTCACGATTAATCATGTCCCAGTTTGCTTTCTTAAAATTATAGATTTTACGTTTAGGAGTTTTCTTACGGGAAAAGGAGCTTTTAATTGAAAAAGTGACAGGAAAATGATCAGATTTGCACACGGAATGAGGATCACAGACATTCAAGTTATCGATTGTGTTATCATAATTACTGAGAAGAATGTCTAATGTATTACCACTTTTATGGGTGGGTGATGTGATCAACTGGGAGAGAGAAAGATCACTGAAAGAATCTATGAAGGATTGCTCAATAGGTACGGTACTGGATGAAGATAGCCAGTCTGTATGGGGGAGATTAAAATCACCAATAACATAGATTTTAGGGGGATTCTTTTTGGAAACTAGCTTGCGAATATAACTAACTATGACATCATGATTAGGTAACCCAAGAGTTCCTACTCTATAACAAGTACAGATTACAATACTCTCTTTGTTAGGAAAAGAAATTTTAACGGCAAGCATTTCTGCACCTAGGCTAACTGGTAGTCGGGTTGTAGTGGCGTCGAGATCAGACCGAACAGCCAAAAGAACACCACCTCCATTTTCCCTAAACTTTTTAGGGTTATTAGGATCTTGAGGATGAGTCTTTCTCGTGCGGTCATTGCGGAAGATTTCATATTGAGAAGAAGGAAAGATTTCGTTGCTAGAAATAGATTTTTTGAGCCAAGTCTCATTTAGGGCAATTATGTCAGGCTGCTCTATGTTAGCAAAGGATTGAAGTTCGGAAATCTTATTACCATCAAGAAGGGGATGGGAGGAGCTTAGGTTACTGAAAGGAATGAGACCTTGGACATTTTGGTAGAGTACAGATAGGGAGTTGGGACCTGGATTAAGCATAGAAGGATTAACAAGAGTTATCAAAAGAAAGTTAAGAGAGAAAACCCAAAGAATAAATAAAGAGACTAGACGCCTAAGGCGGCTGGAATACTTGACTCTATTCATCTTACCAGGGAGAAGAACATTTCTTATAAACCATGAGGAGATAATTACAAAGAAAAGTTTGATGTGGGAGCAAGCAAGAAATGGTATAAGATAACGTGGGCTGTCAAGGAGTAGAGAGGAATGAATATTAGAATCTAGGGGGGATACGGTGTTCATGGACCTAACCGTGGAGAGAAGAATTGGGAGAAAGTAAGTCATGATGAGAGAATAGAAGAGAAACATATGATTATGATAATTGTAGTTGATGTGTGGGGTGTATGGAGACTTAAATGTGTAAATTTTGTTAGGTATAAACGTGTTGATATGTATAACTAAATGTTTAGTTAGTGTTTACAGTGTCTTACAATTTACTTGTTAATTTAAATAACATACCTATTAATGTTTAGTTAGTGTTTACAGTGTCTTACAATTTACTTGTTAATTTAAATAACATACCTATTAATGTTTAGTTAGTGTTTACAGTGTCTTACAATTTACTTGTTAATTTAAATAACATACCTATTAATGCTTACAGTGTCTTACAATTTACTTGTTAATTTAAATAACATACCTATTAATGTTTAGTTAGTGTTTACAGTGTCTTACAATTTACTTGTTAATTTAAATAACATACCTATTAATGTTTAGTTAGTGTTTACAGTGTCTTACAATTTACTTGTTAATTTAAATAACATACCTATTAATGTTTAGTTAGTGTTTACAGTGTCTTACAATTTACTTGTTAATTTAAATAACATACCTATTAATGTTTAGTTAGTGTTTACAGTGTCTTACAATTTACTTGTTAATTTAAATAACATACCTATTAATGTTTAGTTAGTGTTTACAGTGTCTTACAATCTACTTGTTAATTTAAATAACATACCTATTAATGTTTAGTTAGTGTTTACAGTGTCTTACAATTTACTTGTTAATTTAAATAACATACCTATTAATGTTTAGTTAGTGTTTACAGTGTCTTACAATTTACTTGTTAATTTAAATAACATACCTATTAATGTTTAGTTAGTGTTTACAGTGTCTTACAATTTACCTGTTAATTTAAATAACATACCTATTAATGTTTAGTTAGTGTTTACAGTGTCTTACAATTTACTTGTTAATTTAAATAACATACCTATTAATGTTTAGTTAGTGTTAACAGTGTCTTACAATTTACCTGTTAATTTAAATAACATACCTATTAATGCTTACAGTGTCTTACAATTTACTTGTTAATTTAAATAACATACCTATTAATGTTTAGTTAGTGTTTACAGTGTCTTACAATTTACTTGTTAATTTAAATAACATACCTATTAATGTTTAGTTAGTGTTTACAGTGTCTTACAATTTACTTGTTAATTTAAATAACATACCTATTAATGTTTAGTTAGTGTTAACAGTGTCTTACAATAATTTACCTGTTAATTTAAATAACATACCTATTAATGCTTACAGTGTCTTACAATTTACCTGTTAATTTAAATAACATACCTATTAATGTTTAGTTAGTGTTTACAGTGTCTTACAATTTACCTGTTAATTTAAATAACATACCTATCAATGTTTCTCCGAACTGGTTGTAGATGGGGGATCTGCTTACACTCTCAAGTCTCTTTAGTTGTCTTGATGTTGGAACGTACAGTTTCTACAAAATATTCTTATAGTTGGAACGTACAGTTTCTACAAAATATAGTTTATAGTAATATAGTACAGTTTCTACAAAATATTCTTATAGTTTCACCATGTTAACTACGCTTGATGTTGGAACGTACAGTTTCTACAAAATATTCACAAAAATAGTTTCACCATGTTAACTACACTCATCAGTAATATAGGTCCAGCTTCACACGTGTTTTCATATTCACATAAACAGTATAATTGACAAATGAGTTCTAATCATGACTATTTGTCAAAGTAACCTTTGTCAATTTTAATCTAGCTACCTATCACAGATAACATTTTAACGAGCAATTCACATTATAAAATATAACATTAGAAGTTTAGAACTAACCTGTACTCCAATGTAAAGAATAGCAAGAGGGATGAACAGTGCAATCATTATGGGTACCATAAGAGCTATCGTTATAAGAGTCACTACAACTGTCCCCAACACGTTTACAAAGGAGCGCATAGAGTTGGGGAGGCGCTCATCTATAGTGTTCATGTCCTGAAACAGAGTATTATAAGATAGGTACCATGTCCTCAAACAGAGTATTTTAAGATAGGTACCATGTCCTGAAACAGAGTATTTTAAGATAGGTACCATGTCCTCAAACAGAGTATTTTAAGATAGGTACCATGTCCTGAAACAGAGTATTTTAAGATAGGTACCATGTCCTGAAACAGAGTATTTTAAGATAGGTACCATGTCCTCAAACAGAGTATTTTAAGATAGGTACCATGTCCTGAAACAGAGTATTTTAAGATAGGTACCATGTCCTGAAACAGAGTATTTTAAGATAGGTACCATGTCCTGAAACAGAGTATTTTAAGATAGGTACCATGTCCTGAAACAGAGTATTTTAAGATAGGTACCATGTCCTGAAACAGAGTATTTTAAGATAGGTACCATTTTATACTGTTGTAGTCCCGATACGGTAATTGTAGTGACAGTTTTCTCATTGTTTTGTCCTATTTTAAAAGGAGACTGTTAATTTCGACTTCGAGCTCGGGTTTTCTTTATTGGGCGGCGCTCAGCCTATCATTCCGCCGAATTCATATTGTTTATGAAGTATGACTATGAACATTATAGCCTGGGGTCTACGGTTTTTTAATAGTATTTTGCGTTTAGTGCTGCTAATGAGCTAACTTATCAGCTGGCGTATTTGTCCGACGAGATTCCTGAGAGTGAGAGTAGACATCACCACTAAAGACAAAGCTGAGACCCAGCTTTGTGCATGATGGCAGCAGCCTGATGGATACTGTGATTCATGCGTTCTTTAAGTTTACCTACTTGAGCTAGAGCTTATTTACTGGGCGGCGCTCAGCTAATCAGCTTGTCATTCTGCCATTTCTTTTATGAACACCAAATCCTGAGGTCCCCAGGTAAAAGGTTATTTAACCTTTATAACACAGATAGAGTGGGTGACTCTGATATTCCTTTGCTTTTACTTTGCTCTCTAGAACGACAATATAACATGTAACAGTTTCTACATACGGCCTTAGTCCTTAACCGGGCGAGTAGACAGTGAGCTACCAGCTAACTAATGGTATTGGGGACAGCAGCAACGAAACGATATACTGGTCTTTCTGAATAGAGAGTTATTAGTTAACTAATGGTATTGGGACCAGAACAGAGAGAGAGAGAGACAGGTATTGGGAGAGCACAGTAATATTGACCCCAGGCAAAGAGCTGCACCGCATACGCCCCATTCATCCAGCCTTATATAGTTGAGTCAACTGGAATCTAACCATTTTTTTAGTTGAAAAGTGGTCTCTATGCACGATCAGAGATCCACTGGTTCAGCAAAGTTCTCAGACATCTTGTTGTTGAGTTATAACCTAGTTTTAATGCTCTCGTGAGTAGCAAGTTGAAGTAAAGCACTTAATTCAAAATATTTCAGCTTCTCACGAGAGTTTAGTGTTAATCTTGGGCATACTAAGACTTCAGGATGTATTACAACTAACTCAAATGTAAAAATTCATAAAATTTGGTTGTAAAGATACATAATATATAATATAACTATTAGTGCAGTGGAGGTAGCAGTGTGGTGCATTAATAGAGTGACAGCCTACTGATTTAGAGTTGTTTTTAAGTGAGCATAATGGGTATTTTTTTGGACCTTAAGGCTTCAGTATGGCAACTTCAAAATTGGTTCTTTCAATCATTTATTAAATATTGGTTATTTAACTGTCGTTATTTGTTGTAATATGTGGCCTATTTTCCCGTGTAGTTTTTAACGGAGGTTTTTGACGTATCATTTCGTATCATGCGGATAATCTTGCTGCTGTCCCTTTTCTTTATTGAAAATGCTGCTGAGGATCTAGATGAAGGTAGGATCACCATTCACCATAGTTTTTACATAATTTATATTGTTAGCAGTCAAATAATACTTTAAAATTCGATTGAACTATGAAATGGACAATTGATTAAATATATTCATAACACAATCGTCGAGTAATTTCCATAATTGATTATATTTTACTTGTGATATTATTATCTACCAGCTGATGTACTGTTATCTGCTTTAAGATAATAACGTGGTTATAACAACAGGTTGGATAGCAGTACAACGTAAGGTTCTTATAGACTTCAATCCGGAGCAGTATTCTCTTGAAATAAAGACTGATAGCACGCTAGGGAGTGGAGATGAAGTGCGTGTGTACTTCTACACTTCAAGGTTAGACGGCAATTCAGGAGGACTCTTCTTCGACTTCTCCACTTCTCCTCAGTACGCTTTTTTCGATTGCAGCTCGGACCGCTTTAACTTCCCTACTGATCTACCTACTGCAACAGAGAAGGTATGGAGGGTAACGTTAACTAGAACCTCAGGTATCAGACTAGTGGTACACTGTAACGAGAAGGAGGTGCTCAACATCCTGATGTCAGGCTCAACGTGTGGTCTGAGTGACTGGAGCACTAAATGGAGCAGGAGCATTGCAAAGATACTGTTCTATTCCAGTGACACTGCGTCTGATTTCTACAGACCTCAACCAGGTAACTGGGTAATTCAAGATCTAAAATCTAAAATACGAAGATAAATGTTGATTGTAAAACGTGCATAATAGTTTTACGTGCCTATGAACGTGACGTGTAACACTCGATGTATTTCTGGATACAATTTGTTGTCTTTTATGGTATAATTGAGCCCTGTATAAAATATGTGAACTTATTTTAAATATCAAGGGCAATATTTGTCAGAATGTAGTAAACTGAAGGCTGAGTGGACAAGTACGATTGAGACAACAGCCAACTTTCCAGTAGACCATGGAACTGTCTTGAAAGTGACCTGTTCTGACCCAGGAGCTCTCAACAAAGGGAGCAATGAAGTGACTTGCACAGGGACAGAATTCACCTTCTCAAAAGAGCCTTGTTGCTTCAGCCTAGGTAAATCATTATAATAATATTTGTTATGCGCATAATCTGGTTAAATAACTAATTTGAAAACTGACTTTTTGGAAGGTGGATGCATAAAAACAGGGCAACACTTAAAAATTTGGGATAAAATCCAATTGCCCCACTTGACCCGACCATGTCCAAAATGACCCCTGTCCATATTTACCCCACCCTACCGAACTGTTAACTTAGATATCAATTAAAACAAGAAAACGTGATAACTTCATATCTGCCAAATATCTTTATTTGTAATGTATACACTATACACCCTACCCAACTGTTAACTTAGATATCAATTAAAACAAGAAAACGTGATAACTTCATATCTGCCAAATATCTTTATTTGTAATGTATACACTATACACCCTTTTGAATATCTCCCTTGCAAGCATCCAAGCATAATTTCTAAATTTCGGTCGACAATTTCTGTAGATAACACTCTAAATAACTTCAGGTTAGTAACTTAATAATGAAGCAGGAATTTTTACACGAGAAAGCGACGCGATGAACGATTCACCATAAGCTATATAATATATTATATAATAATGTTTTTGTTTGTTCTCAATAACATATATTGTAAATTTGATCTCCTAAAACCTCATGCTCGATTAAAATCGTTTAACTGCTGATAATATTGTAGGTGAATTATATTAATGAATCAAGTTCTAATTTCAGAGCAACGAGGCATCAAAAGAACAGAGGACCGTTCACAAAGGATCCTTCTCAATCTGTCACCATGAATTAGTTCCTTCATAGGGCTGGTTCTATCTAGCACTTCTCATCTACTCATTAACGGTAATGACTTTGCTATCTTACAGTTTACACTCTACACCCGAAGAGAATTTACATTCTACACCAAAAATTTAAGAAGCAGTCCCTTATCTTCTTTGCATCTGGATTGCTATTTCTGTTTGTAGCTTCAGCGGTATTTTTAGCACCGGGTAAAGAATCAAGGAAACTTCCTAAAAAGATAGCTGTGATGACAATAATTGTGCTAATAACTTCAGGTTTGGTTGCAACCGTTATAATCTTGAAACGTTCCGGTGAAGCGAGCAAGAAAACGGAAAAGGCACAAACATCTGATGGAACGAGAGCTTCAGCGACAAGAAAACGCTCGAGGTCTTTAGCACATGCACTTCTGCATATGAAGTTGTGAAATCAGAGCCAAAAGAAGATGAAGAAGAGGAAGTGGTGGCGAGGAAGAGGGTAAATTCCAATGAAGAACGTCCAGATAATGACTCCGCAATCTGTTAGTGTTAGAGAGGTGAAAGTGAACACCAAAGCATTTAATGAGACAAGGAGAGACATTGATAGTTTGTATTAAGACTAAATAACATGGTTACTTGGAAGTTTGTACTATTGCGATGTGATTATTAAGGGGGCATACACCAAAACAGTGGTTTGTGCCGTCCAGACTAAATGACCTCATAGGCAGTTCAGTGACCTTCTAGCGCACCGTTTCCACACCAAAAAAAATATTTTGAGAATACCTATTTTTGTAATCGAGCATTTCCTGGTTAAGAGTGCAATTTTCGGAAAAAATAATTTTTTGGTTGAGACGCTATAAGTTAAATATTTCTTGCGGTATCGGGTTGAAATTTTGCTCGCCGTTTATTCACATCTATTTCAAAGTGTGTGTAAAATCTTGATATCGTATCTAAAAAGGCTGGTGTGTTATGAATTTTTAAAGTCAAAAAGCTCAAATTGTCCTTTTCAGGCTTATTTTAACAAAAAGTCAGTCAGGGAAGATCGGATTGATTTGATGCCTGACATCAAATTGTTCTCTGAATTCTGGCGCAGTTTTTGATGCCCTCAAAAATGTTTTTACTCATTTATCTTCAGATCTATTGTACCTCAAAGCCAAACAACAAATTTAGGCACATATTTCGTTTTTAATATTTACTGATTTTTCTAAAATTTTGATAGGAATGTGCCCCTTTGAAGTTATGGGAGAAAATGTGATTTTTTGGCTTTGCAGATAAAAAATCACATTTTCTCCCATAACTTCAAAGGGAAGCATTTTAGGGTGTTTTGTTGTTCATAACTCATATATAAATGTGCTAGTTGCGGTTATTTTGCGCTCTTCAAAAAGTCACTAGAACATTCCTATCAAAATTTTAGAAAAATCAGTAAATATTAAAAACGAAATATGTGCCTAAATTTGTTGTTTGGCTTTGAGGTACAATAGATCTGAAGATAAATGAGTAAAAACATTTTTGAGGGCATCAAAAACTGCGCCAGAATTCAGAGAACAATTTGATGTCAGGCATCAAATCAATCCGATCTTCCCTGACTGACTTTTTGTTAAAATAAGCCTGAAAAGGACAATTTGAGCTTTTTGACTTTAAAAATTCATAACACACCAGCCTTTTTAGATACGATATTAAGATTTTACACACACCTTGAAATAGATGTGAATAAACGGCGAGCACAATTTCAACCCGATACTGCGAGAAATAATTAACTTATAGCGTCTCAACCAAAAAATTATTTTTTCCGAAAATTGCACTTTTAACCAGGAAATGCTCGATTACAAAAATAGGTATTCTCAAAATAATTTTTTTTTGTGTGGAAACGGTGCGCTAGAAGGTCACTGAACTGCCTATGAGGTCATTTGGTCTGGACAGTTTTGGTGTATGCCCCCTTAAGTGACAGTGTTCTGTTTACGTTTCTATTGTGCTTAAGCGTGTGATCTATTTTTTAAAAACGAAATGATTTATTTTAAAATTAAACTTCTTTTCCCGGATGCGCTGGTGCTGTTATGTTTGATGGGGAGGTGGATTATCCCTAAATAACATTATTTATAATAACAGTTTTAATTTGTGAATATATTGTTCATGTTGCTTCACGTGAGTTACAATGTTTAATTTGATAATTATTTGTTTTAGAATTTAAAGAATGTCAATGAATCACTATCAGTCGGAAATATTTCTCTTCAATTTCGTTTCTTCAATTTGATACAGTGTCCAGGAGCAAGAGCAGGAGCAAGAATTCTAAAACCACCGTCCTTAATCAATCCAAATCCAATGTATTTGTATAATATGTATCTCGCGCCGGCGTTCGATCTAATTCCTAGATCGAACCGGTTCGATCTAATTTCTGCGTTCGATCTAATTACTATACATCTTGGTGACAGTAATACTTAAAATTGTTCCATACTTCGGACAAACTTCACCTTTAAAATCCGTTCAATCCCTTTCACCCTGCTTCTTAAGAAAATGATGTTATTAATTAACCCATTAGGGACGACGAGTTTTAAAGTTTGCCGATTTTGATGCCGTTTAACACACTAGGTCACTTTACAGCAAAAATGAGATATCCAAAAAAGCTAATCTGTATCTCGTTTACTTTAAAAGATACAGCTATGGTCGCATACGACCCACTCGTCCGGGTCGCAAACGACCCATCACGGTTTTTCGGCTTTAACTTCTGAAACAAAGACGTTAGGATAAAATAAAATAAAAAGCATAAGTTAAAAACATATGGTCAATACTGTGTGACTCTAACGTTTTAAAAATAAAGAATTTGGGTCATTAACGACCCACTCGGCTCACTTGCTTATTACTACATATGTCCATGTAACTTCTTGAATTCAGCCTAAAGCATGACATCATAAGTTCAAAATCGCCTCTCAGCAAGTGATAATCATCACAAACTGCGAAAAATCGGTTAAATGGGTCATTAGCGACCCACTAAGACCACACAATTGATTAATTAAATATAATGTTGTCAAACTTTTACAAATATTAGTATAAAAACATGTTATATCTTGGTCATTACTCCTGTACGTTGATTTAACTTTTAAAATCGATCAACTGGGTCAATAACGACCCACTCGGAAGTTGAACCACGACATTAATTATCAGTATCATGTTGTTCTACCATCAAGAAAGACACTCGTAGGTCTTAATTCCACGCAAACCACGGGTGGCTGACTACTAGCCCTTCTGAGATCTGGAGTCTCACGGTAATCTGCAGATCACGTCACCCAATGACTGACGAATAATGGGCAGAATTGGATTGATAGGTAGGTGAGTTTATCAGCTGTTAGTACACGACCGTAATGTCGTGAGACAGCAAACAACATGCCTATCTTTTCCCGATTCCTAGAACGTCCAAGAAGAACTATACAACTGCTGGATTCAGATTTCAGATGGCTGCATCTACTCTCTTCGCAGCTCCCTTTCTTTACTTCTTAGGGGCCGTTCATATATTACGTAATCACTTATTGGACAATTTTTACGCCCCCCCCCCCCCACCACATAGCTATTATGTCAAAATTACACAAGCTTAATCATTTGGAAACTCCCCTCCCTCTCGGCCGATTACGTAATACTTGTTTTCGTTTTGAAAGCTGCCTCGTTGTTGCGGGGTTTGTTACCCAAAACGAGGTAGTTGTCTGAGAGATTGCAGGTTGCAGCACCGCCAGCCAAATGGGGGGGGGGGGGGGGGGGGGGGGCTTTTTCCTTGTCCTTCTTCACAGAGCTGTAGATGTAGCCATCTGAATGCAGCAGTTGTTTAGTTATTCTCGTACTTTCTAGGAATGAAAAAAAACATATTGGCATGTTGGATTAGAATATGCAATTTGACCACTCGTCTTTCAGTATTTACCCAAGGTTACATGATATCTCGTATACTTCGTTCAGGGGATTTTTCTTGAGTGACATGATCTGATCACCGTGGGACCCTGGGTCTCAAGCGGTGGGTTGTAGCAGGTCGTTTACCAAGATTCGAAATTGACGAAAAAGGTAACAGAATCTAATAAGCAACAACAACAGCATGGCTATTACCTAGCAAGTTAGGAACGAGGGCCGATTCCTTTTCTTTTGCGGCACGGCCACGGTCCTTTCGGTACAGATTTCCACGCACCATAGTATTATAGTCAGGACGCAACTCCAGGCATATGCAGTAGTGTTATTCTCGCAGCTCTTTGATGAGTGATGACGGCCCTTCAGTTGGCCCTGGATCTCAGAAGGGCTAGTAGTCAGCCACCCGTGGTTTGCGTGGAATTAAGACCTACGAGTGTCTTTCTTGATGGTGGAACAGCATGATACTGATAATAATTGATGAGGTGGTTCAACTTCCGAGTGGGTCGTTATTGACCCAGTTGATCGATTTTAAAAGTTAAATCAACGTACAGGAGTAATGACCAAGATATAACATGTTTTTATACTAATATTTGTAAAAGTTTGACAACATTATATTTAATTAATCAATTTTGTGGTCCTAGTGGGTCGCTAATGACCCATTTAACCGATTTTTCGCAGTTTATGATGATTATCACTTGCTGAGAGGCAATTTTGAACTTATGATGTCATGCTTTAGGCTGAATTCAAGAAGTTACATGGACATATGTAGTAATAAGCAAGTGAGCCGAGTGGGTCGTTAATGACCCAAATTCTTTATTTTTAAAAAGTTAGAGTTACACAGTATTGACCATATGTTTTTAACTTATGCTACAGTTTTTATTTTATCCTAACGTATTTGTTTCAGAAGTTAAAGCCGAAAAACCGTGATGGGTCGTTTGCGACCCGGACGAGTGGGTCGTATGCGACCGCAGTTAGTAAACAGCGTCTAGCTCTGTTTGTGAACATCTGATTATCACGGGCTTTTCATATGTCTCAAGGAAATCGTTGCCCGCAACTATTTTGTCCTCAACAAAATAAGCCTACATAAAGTTTTAATGTCCCAATCAAGGCAAGAAGTAAAGTGAAATATTTTCCAATTATGACGACTAATTAGCCTAATTATTTAGTTGTTAGTAATTAATTGGGTCTCGACTGGAAAGTCAATAATGTAGCCCAATAAATTTTGAGCATATGTGCGAAAGATTCGTTGCGTTTAGTATTATGGTTTGTCCTCTATAGCCTCTAGAAAAGGTGGGTCGTAAACGACCCTATCGTCCCTAATGGGTTAATCTCCATTCTCCAATTACTTGCCCTACCTTAGAGAAGCGATTAAGTATTCTGCCAGAAGGTGTGGTGTCAAAGAAGCTCATAGGTACTTTCAGTATTCTCTCGAACATAGATCTGAAAAGTATCATCTTCTATAACAGGAAGATACGTTCCCAGGGGGGGGGGAGCTCACTGCTGCTCACTGCTACTCACTGAGTGAGCAGCAGTCATTTTGACGCTGTTGGACTGAATTTCATGTGAGCTGATATGAGGAATCTGATCCAAACTAGAAGGTCAGCAGTCAATTAAATTAATTAAATAACAATGTATTGTAAAAGACCTGTGTATCTTAGAGGAAGCCATGATACTGGCGTACAGTAATCAGTATTACCTGTGTATCTTAGAGGAAGCCATGATACTGGCGTACAGTATTGCAAAAACAAAGCCCAGCACGAAAACAGTTTGTAGTAAACCTAGTAGAGCGTATATACCCAAGTACAGGAACAATTTATTATCTGAAATAAAATGAAATGAAATAATGTGCTTGTATACCACCCATATGGTAAGCAACTGACACAAGTGTCAGGTACTAACCATGTCAGAGCGGTTCTAAAGGGTGAGGTGAAAATATCCAGTAACAAACAGCTAAATCATCTCAAAAAACAAATCTATTCAGTAAATATTTAAAACTAAAATGCTCCATATACAGGGTGAGAAATCAATAATGAACTGTGTCAGCGTTATCGTACAGTGCCAGTGTAACTCATCAATTTACTCTCTATTAATGCTTTTCATACAAAGTTACAACGAATTCTTCATGTTATGCATCCTGGGTTTGGACAAGATATGACCCGTTTAAAATATTTCCATCACGTTACATCACATAATTCTCAATAAATGTAATAGATTTGTAGTGTATATATATATATATACAGTGTTGTAATTAGTTTAAAACTAATGTCCCACTAATAACCTGTGTCAGTGTTATCGTTAGAGTTACTCCACTCGGATAACCACAGTTGAGAGCCAAGTTGAGATGCGTACTGTAGAATGAACGAGACCAGTGTAACTGGGGAATATTTACTATTACACAAGTGACAAGAGTATGTAACAATAATATCTCAACATGTGACAATAATATCTCAATATGTGACAATATCATGACGTGCGAAATTGAGCAAATATACCAGCTTAAGAACCCTATATCATATATCATGTGGCAGTAATTTAATAATATGTATAACAGTGACAATGTGCAATTCCAACTGTGAATTGAATTTAATTTAGATATTTACCAACAATTCAGCTATAATCGTATAGTGAGAGCGATAATTTAAAAGTAGGAATGAATATATCAATATCGTACGCCAGGAAATACAAAATAGCGTTATTTGCAAGCTTCAAGCTTTTGATACCTCCAATTTCCGATAGATAATTTATGTAAAAGTAAAACTTACATTCAGTAATAAAATTAAAATTCAGTAATAAAATTAAAATTTGTAGAATAACTTACTGGCCCCGTAAGTAATTCCCATGTAGTTCAAATAGTTCATGTACGTTTTGTACGATATCTGCGGAATATTACTATATTACATGTACGTTTTGTACGATATCTGCGGAATATTACTATATTACATGTACGTTTTGTACGATATCTGCGGAATATTACTATATTACATGTACGTTTTGTACGATATCTGCGGAATATTACTATATTACATGTACGTTTTGTACGATATCTGCGGAATATTACTATATTACATGTACGTTTTGTACGATATCTGCGGAATATTACTATATTACATGTACGTTTTGTACGATATCTGCGGAACATTACTATATTACATGTACGTTTTGTACGATATCTGCGGAACATTACTATATTACATGTACGTTTTGTACGATATCTGCGGAATATTACTATATTACATGTACGTTTTGTACGATATCTGCGGAATATTACTATATTACATGTACGTTTTGTACGATATCTGCGGAATATTACTATATTACATGTACGTTTTGTACGATATCTGCGGAATATTACTATATTACATGTACGTTTTGTACGATATCTGCGGAATATTACTATATTACATGTACGTTTTGTACGATATCTGCGGAATATTACTATATTACATGTACGTTTTGTACGATATCTGCGGAATATTACTATATTACATGTACGTTTTGTACGATATCTGCGGAATATTACTATATTACATGTACGTTTTGTACGATATCTGCGGAATATTACTATATTACATGTACGTTTTGTACGATATCTGCGGAATATTACTATATTACATGTACGTTTTGTACGATATCTGCGGAATATTACTATATTACATGTACGTTTTGTACGATATCTGCGGAACATTACTATATTACATGTACGTTTTGTACGATATCTGCGGAATATTACTATATTACATGTACGTTTTGTACGATATCTGCGGAATATTACTATATTACATGTACGTTTTGTACGATATCTGCGGAATATTACTATATTACATGTACGTTTTGTACGATATCTGCGGAATATTACTATATTACATGTACGTTTTGTACGATATCTGCGGAATATTACTATATTACATGTACGTTTTGTACGATATCTGCGGAATATTACTATATTACATGTACGTTTTGTACGATATCTGCGGAATATTACTATATTACATGTACGTTTTGTACGATATCTGCGGAATATTACTATATTTCATGTACGTTTTGTACGATATCTGCGGAATATTACTATATTACATGTACGTTTTGTACGATATCTGCGGAATATTACTATATTACATGTACGTTTTGTACGATATCTGCGGAATATTACTATATTACATGTACGTTTTGTACGATATCTGCGGAATATTACTATATTACATGTACGTTTTGTACGATATCTGCGGAATATTACTATATTACATGTACGTTTTGTACGATATCTGCGGAATATTACTATATTACATGTACGTTTTGTACGATATCTGCGGAATATTACTATATTACATGTACGTTTTGTACGATATCTGCGGAATATTACTATATTACATGTACGTTTTGTACGATATCTGCGGAATATTACTATATTTCATGTACGTTTTGTACGATATCTGCGGAATATTACTATATTACATGTACGTTTTGTACGATATCTGCGGAATATTACTATATTACATGTACGTTTTGTACGATATCTGCGGAATATTACTATATTACATGTACGTTTTGTACGATATCTGCGGAATATTACTATATTACATGTACGTTTTGTACGATATCTGCGGAATATTACTATATTTCATGTACGTTTTGTACGATATCTGCGGAATATTACTATATTACATGTACGTTTTGTACGATATCTGCGGAATATTACTATATTACATGTACGTTTTGTACGATATCTGCGGAATATTACTATATTACATGTACGTTTTGTACGATATCTGCGGAATATTACTATATTACATGTACGTTTTGTACGATATCTGCGGAATATTACTATATTGCATGTACGTTTTGTACGATATCTGCGGAATATTACTATATTACATGTACGTTTTGTACGATATCTGCGGAATATTACTATATTACATGTACGTTTTGTACGATATCTGCGGAATATTACTATATTACATGTACGTTTTGTACGATATCTGCGGAATATTACTATATTACATGTACGTTTTGTACGATATCTGCGGAATATTACTATATTTCATGTACGTTTTGTACGATATCTGCGGAATATTACTATATTACATGTACGTTTTGTACGATATCTGCGGAATATTACTATATTACATGTACGTTTTGTACGATATCTGCGGAATATTACTATATTACATGTACGTTTTGTACGATATCTGCGGAATATTACTATATTACATGTACGTTTTGTACGATATCTGCGGAATATTACTATATTACATGTACGTTTTGTACGATATCTGCGGAATATTACTATATTACATGTACGTTTTGTACGATATCTGCGGAATATTACTATATTACATGTACGTTTTGTACGATATCTGCGGAATATTACTATATTACATGTACGTTTTGTACGATATCTGCGGAATATTACTATATTGCATGTACGTTTTGTACGATATCTGCGGAATATTACTATATTACATGTACGTTTTGTACGATATCTGCGGAATATTACTATATTACATGTACGTTTTGTACGATATCTGCGGAATATTACTATATTACATGTACGTTTTGTACGATATCTGCGGAATATTACTATATTACATGTACGTTTTGTACGATATCTGCGGAATATTACTATATTACATGTACGTTTTGTACGATATCTGCGGAATATTACTATATTACATGTACGTTTTGTACGATATCTGCGGAATATTACTATATTACATGTACGTTTTGTACGATATCTGCGGAATATTACTATATTACATGTACGTTTTGTACGATATCTGCGGAATATTACTATATTACATGTACGTTTTGTACGATATCTGCGGAATATTACTATATTACATGTACGTTTTGTACGATATCTGCGGAATATTACTATATTACATGTACGTTTTGTACGATATCTGCGGAATATTACTATATTACATGTACGTTTTGTACGATATCTGCGGAACATTACTATATTACATGTACGTTTTGTACGATATCTGCGGAACATTACTATATTACATGTACGTTTTGTACGATATCTGCGGAACATTACTATATTACATGTACGTTTTGTACGATATCTGCGGAAGATTACTATATTACATGTACGTTTTGTACGATATCTGCGGAATATTACTATATTACATGTACGTTTTGTACGATATCTGCGGAATATTACTATATTACATGTACGTTTTGTACGATATCTGCGGAATTTAAATTAAAACTTACGCAAAACTCTAATCGCAGCTTGATGTAATTGGTAATCAGCCCAACAAGGTAATTTATATAGTTATAGCTTTAAGCTTTACACTGTTGTTAAATAAGAAGTAACAGTGTAATGCTTTTGGACACGAAGGGAAACACACAATTTAAAGCTTGAAATCTTCGTAAAACTAGTATAGATGGGACTCACTTTTCCTTTCTCTACTGTTTCCTCAGTTATAAGCTTTTCATCCTTCCCGCCCGTATTATTACCTTTTATGGAGCACGTTTCACTTTCTGATTAATATTTAATAGGTGACATTTTATGGGGATTAGCAAGTTTTATATCTATTACAATTTACACATTTTACATGTGTGTCACATACCTTTTATTAGTGTAACATACCTTTTACTAGTGTAACACACCTTTTACTAGTGTAACATACCTTTTACTAGTGTAACATACCTTTTATTAGTGTAACATACCTTTTATTAGTGTAACATACCTTTTCTAGTGTAACATACCTTTTACTAGTGTAACATACCTTTTATTAGTGTCACATACCTTTTATTAGTGTAACACACCTTTTACTAATGTAACATACCTTTTACTAGTGTGACATACCTTTTCTTAGTGTAACACACCTTTTACTAGTGTAACATACCTTTTACTAGTGTAACATACCTTTTATTCGTGTAACATACCTTTTACTAGTGTAACATACCTTTTACTAGTGTAACATACTTTTTACTAGTGTAACATACCTTTTACTAGTGTAACATACCTTTTACTAATGTAACATACCTTTTACTAGTGTAACATACCTTTTACTAGTGTAACATACCTTTTACTAGTGTAACATACCTTTTATTAGTGTAACATACCTTTTACTAGTGTAACATACCTTTTACTAGTGTAACATACCTTTTATTAGTGTAACATACCTTTTACTAGTGTAACATACCTTTTATTAGTGTAACATACCTTTTATTAGTGTAACATACCTTTTATTAGTGTAACATACCTTTTATTAGTGTAACATACCTTTTATTAGTGTAACATACCTTTTACTAGTGTAAGATACCTTTTACTAGTGTAACATACCCTTTACTAGTGTAACATACCTTTTACTAGTGTAACATACCTTTTACTATTGTAACATACCTTTTATTAGTGTAACATACCTTTTATTAGTGTAACATACCTTTTATTAGTGTAACATACCTTTTACTAGTGTAACATACTTTTTATTAGTGTAACATACCTTTTATTAGTGTAACATACCTTTTATTAGTGTAACATACCTTTTACTAGTGTAACATACCTTTTATTAGTGTAACATACCTTTTATTAGTGTAACATACCTTTTACTAGTGTAACATACCTTTTATTAGTGTAACATACCTTTTATTAGTGTAACATACCTTTTACTAGTGTAACATACCTTTTACTAGTGTATCATACCTTTTATTAGTGTAACATACCTTTTATTAGTGTAACATACCTTTTACTAGTGTAACATACCTTTTACTAGTGTAACATACCTTTTCTAGAACGTGCAGTGCTCTTCCTGCGTCTCACTGTAGTTTCGTCATGTGACACATCTCCTAAGTCAGAGTCTGACATGTCTTCCTCTGCAAAGGGTTCATCATGTCAGTAGTAGTAGTAGTAGTAGTATCATGTCAATACTTTTACTCTTTCAGCGAAAACATTGACCCACTTCTTAATCAATTAATTTAGCATGGTTCCGCTTGAGAGTCGGCTTTGTTTTTAAATGGAATAAGTTATGTTAATTAAACATTTTCTGAATATTTATTTCTTGTGTCCATAGGTCACATTATTGACTCGGGTATATGTCTTCATACAACTTTATTAAAAGCAGTTAGTATGACACTTAATTAGCTTGTAACAAACACCACAGAACAGTGGTGTACACACAAGGATACAGTGGTGTACCTTACTGGTACCTACCTACTGTATTTAGTCTGTATTTAGTCTGTATTTAGTCTGTACTTAGTCTTGTTGTAGCACCCTTTACTAAATAATCTTATAATATGGTTCTCGTCTACACAAATAAGGGATTCAGAAGGCTGGTAACTACACAGTGTTCAGGTACCACACTTGCAGGTACCACACTTGCAGGTACCAACCGTATTCACACTCAGAATTGAGTTTAGTCATTTTCCCAATACGAGATTGGGGACGGGTTCTATAAAAGTATAAACAACTATACAGTCTCGTGTTTCCCAAACTCCACGGTAAATCGGGGTTTTACTGTAACTACGTGTAATGCAGAATAATGGCTGTAGCACGAGTCGCTGTAGAAGTCAGTGTATAATGTACATTGTACAATGTGTACAGTGTATAATGTACATAGTACAATGTGTATTGTGTATAATGTGAATTGTGCGGAGTGCACTGTATATAATGTATAATATACAAAACATACTGTGTATAGTGCGGAAAGTACGGTGTACTGTGTACAATGTGCGGTGTATACAGTGCTACAGTGTATAATGTACAATGTGCGGTGTATATAATGCACACTGAAAGAGTGAAATTGGTTGAATTAGTGTCGGCTGTGTCTGACATTGTACGGTATCTATCTCTGCAACTCACAAATTAAATATAGTAGCTAGAATCTCTGTAGGTACATGTATTTAATAGCAGCTACAGCAAGTCATAACTAATGATGGTTTGATTGAATTACTGAAACCTTTGACGTATTATGACGTATTATGACGTAAGAGTAGCTATTACAGTACGTGCTAGTTTACAGATCATCTCATTTCCGGCTCTGTAAAACACACAAAGATGCGGACTAAGGGGGTAGACATCACATACAATAAATGTTTTGTGGGTTTAAGGGGCTATACACCTAATCTGTTCAACTCACATAATATATATATAATAACTTAACAGGACTTTCAGTGACAAATTGTGCAGAATAGCCACATTTATATACAACTTATGAAGCAACATATTATACCCTAAAATTTTCATATTCCGAATTATCAACTTTCTGTTCTTTAAATGTACTAAAGATAGTACTTTTTACCCCTGATCTTATAATCTCAGGAGTAAAGCCCCAATGTTCACGTAACCAATGTTTCAACTATTATTAATTAACTATTATTAATCAACTATCATTAATTAACTATTATTAATTTACTATTATTAATTAACTATTATTAATCAACTATTATTAATTTACTATTATTAATTAACTATAATTATTCAACTATTATTAATTTACTATTATTAATTAACTATTATTAATCAACTATTATTAATTAACTATTATTAATTTCTAAATTGCATCTGTTAAATTGTCCGCCTTATAGCTTACATTATTTCTAATAAGCTTTACTAATACAATCAGCTATGTAATTACAATCCGATTAACTAATTAATTAATTGACTTACTGTCTGTGTTGGTGTCCTGGTCGGGTTCGTAGGAGGACACTAGTCTGTGTAGCTCACTGTCTTTACCCATGAGATCGTTATATGTTCCTATAGTTCCATATTATTAGTTACATATTATTAGTTACATATTATTAGTTACATATTATTAGTTACATATTATTAGTTACATATTATTAGTTCCATATTATTAGTTACATATTATTAGTTCCATATTATTAGTTACATATTATTAGTTACATATTATTAGTTACATATTATTAGTTACATATTATTAGTTACATATTATTAGTTACATATTATTAGTTACATATCATTAGTTACATATTATTAGTTCCATATTATTAGTTCCATATTATTAGTTACATATTATTAGTTACATATTATTAGTTCCATATTATTAGTTCCATATTATTAGTTACATATTATTAGTTACATATTATTAGTTACATATTATTAGTTCCATATTATTAGTTACATATTATTAGTTACATATTATTAGTTCCATATTATTAGTTCCATATTATTAGTTCCATATTATTAGTTACATATTATTAGTTACATATTATTAGTTACATATTATTAGTTACATATTATTATAAACAATATAATCTCAACATGGAGAACGTGTGCTGTGATATAACATTACGCTTACTCATATCACCTGTGTTCCTATTCTGAAAGCCAGTATAAACTACTTTATAGTTTTAGTATAAACTACTATTTCAACTTTATAGATTTAGTATAAACTACTATTTCAACTTTATAGTTTTAGTATAAACTACAATAACTTTATAGATTTAGTATAAACTACTATAACTTTATAGTTTTAGTATAAACTACAATAACTTTATAGATTTAGTATAAACTACAATAACTTTATAGATTTAGTATAAACTACTATAACTTTATAGTTTTAGTATAAACTACTATAACTTTATAGTTTTAGTATAAACTACAATAACTTTATAGATTTAGTATAAACTACAATAACTTTATAGATTTAGTATAAACTACTATAACTTTATAGTTTTAGTATAAACTACTATAACTTTATAGTTTTAGTATAAACTACAATAACTTTATAGTTTTAGTATAAACTACTATAACTTTATAGATTTAGTATAAACTACTATAACTTTATAGTTTTAGTATAAACTACTATAACTTTATAGTTTTAGTATAAACTACAATAACTTTATAGATTTAGTATAAACTACAATAACTTTATAGATTTAGTATAAACTACTATAACTTTATAGTTTTAGTATAAACTACTATAACTTTATAGTTTTAGTATAAACTACAATAACTTTATAGTTTTAGTATAAACTACAATAACTTTATAGATTTAGTATAAACTACTATAACTTTATAGTTTTAGTATAAACTACTATAACTTTATAGTTTTAGTATAAACTACAATAACTTTATAGATTTAGTATAAACTACTATAACTTTATAGTTTTAGTATAAACTACTATAACTTTATAGTTTTAGTATAAACTACAATAACTTTATAGTTTTAGTATAAACTACTATAACTTTATAGTTTTAGTATAAACTACTATTTCAACTTTATAGTTTTAGTATAAACTACAATAACTTTATAGATTTAGTATAAACTACTATAACTTTATAGTTTTAGTATAAACTACAATAACTTTATAGATTTAGTATAAACTACAATAACTTTATAGATTTAGTATAAACTACTATAACTTTATAGTTTTAGTATAAACTCCTATAACTTTATAGTTTTAGTATAAACTACAATAACTTTATAGATTTAGTATAAACTACTATAACTTTATAGATTTAGTATAAACTACAATAACTTTATAGATTTAGTATAAACTACAATAACTTTATAGATTTAGTATAAACTACAATAACTTTATAGATTTAGTATAAACTACAATAACTTTATAGATTTAGTATAAACTACTATAACTTTATAGTTTTAGTATAAACTACAATAACTTTATAGATTTAGTATAAACTACTATAACTTTATAGTTTTAGTATAAACTACAATAACTTTATAGATTTAGTATAAACTACAATAACTTTATAGATTTAGTATAAACTACAATAACTTTATAGATTTAGTATAAACTACTATAACTTTATAGTTTTAGTATAAACTACTATAACTTTATAGTTTTAGTATAAACTACTATTTCAACTTTATAGATTTAGTATAAACTACTATTTCAACTTTATAGTTTTAGTATAAACTACAATAACTTTATAGATTTAGTATAAACTACTATAACTTTATAGTTTTAGTATAAACTACAATAACTTTATAGATTTAGTATAAACTACAATAACTTTATAGATTTAGTATAAACTACTATAACTTTATAGTTTTAGTATAAACTACTATAACTTTATAGTTTTAGTATAAACTACAATAACTTTATAGATTTAGTATAAACTACAATAACTTTATAGATTTAGTATAAACTACTATAACTTTATAGTTTTAGTATAAACTACTATAACTTTATAGTTTTAGTATAAACTACAATAACTTTATAGTTTTAGTATAAACTACTATAACTTTATAGATTTAGTATAAACTACTATAACTTTATAGTTTTAGTATAAACTACTATAACTTTATAGTTTTAGTATAAACTACAATAACTTTATAGATTTAGTATAAACTACAATAACTTTATAGATTTAGTATAAACTACTATAACTTTATAGTTTTAGTATAAACTACTATAACTTTATAGTTTTAGTATAAACTACAATAACTTTATAGTTTTAGTATAAACTACAATAACTTTATAGATTTAGTATAAACTACTATAACTTTATAGTTTTAGTATAAACTACTATAACTTTATAGTTTTAGTATAAACTACAATAACTTTATAGATTTAGTATAAACTACTATAACTTTATAGTTTTAGTATAAACTACTATAACTTTATAGTTTTAGTATAAACTACAATAACTTTATAGTTTTAGTATAAACTACTATAACTTTATAGTTTTAGTATAAACTACTATTTCAACTTTATAGTTTTAGTATAAACTACAATAACTTTATAGATTTAGTATAAACTACTATAACTTTATAGTTTTAGTATAAACTACAATAACTTTATAGATTTAGTATAAACTACAATAACTTTATAGATTTAGTATAAACTACTATAACTTTATAGTTTTAGTATAAACTACTATAACTTTATAGTTTTAGTATAAACTACAATAACTTTATAGATTTAGTATAAACTACTATAACTTTATAGATTTAGTATAAACTACAATAACTTTATAGATTTAGTATAAACTACTATAACTTTATAGTTTTAGTATAAACTACAATAACTTTATAGATTTAGTATAAACTACAATAACTTTATAGATTTAGTATAAACTACTATAACTTTATAGTTTTAGTATAAACTACTATAACTTTATAGTTTTAGTATAAACTACTATTTCAACTTTATAGTTTTAGTATAAACTACAATAACTTTATAGATTTAGTATAAACTACTATAACTTTATAGTTTTAGTATAAACTACAATAACTTTATAGATTTAGTATAAACTACAATAACTTTATAGATTTAGTATAAACTACTATAACTTTATAGTTTTAGTATAAACTACTATAACTTTATAGTTTTAGTATAAACTACAATAACTTTATAGATTTAGTATAAACTACTATAACTTTATAGATTTAGTATAAACTACAATAACTTTATAGATTTAGTATAAACTACTATAACTTTATAGTTTTAGTATAAACTACTATTTCAACTTTATAGATTTAGTATAAACTACTATTTCAACTTTATAGTTTTAGTATAAACTACAATAACTTTATAGATTTAGTATAAACTACTATAACTTTATAGTTTTAGTATAAACTACAATAACTTTATAGATTTAGTATAAACTACAATAACTTTATAGATTTAGTATAAACTACTATAACTTTATAGTTTTAGTATAAACTACTATAACTTTATAGTTTTAGTATAAACTACAATAACTTTATAGATTTAGTATAAACTACTATAACTTTATAGTTTTAGTATAAACTACTATAACTTTATAGTTTTAGTATAAACTACAATAACTTTATAGATTTAGTATAAACTACAATAACTTTATAGATTTAGTATAAACTACTATAACTTTATAGTTTTAGTATAAACTACTATAACTTTATAGTTTTAGTATAAACTACAATAACTTTATAGTTTTAGTATAAACTACTATAACTTTATAGATTTAGTATAAACTACTATAACTTTATAGTTTTAGTATAAACTACTATAACTTTATAGTTTTAGTATAAACTACAATAACTTTATAGATTTAGTATAAACTACAATAACTTTATAGATTTAGTATAAACTACTATAACTTTATAGTTTTAGTATAAACTACTATAACTTTATAGTTTTAGTATAAACTACAATAACTTTATAGTTTTAGTATAAACTACAATAACTTTATAGATTTAGTATAAACTACTATAACTTTATAGTTTTAGTATAAACTACTATAACTTTATAGTTTTAGTATAAACTACAATAACTTTATAGATTTAGTATAAACTACTATAACTTTATAGTTTTAGTATAAACTACTATAACTTTATAGTTTTAGTATAAACTACAATAACTTTATAGATTTAGTATAAACTACAATAACTTTATAGATTTAGTATAAACTACTATAACTTTATAGTTTTAGTATAAACTACTATAACTTTATAGTTTTAGTATAAACTACAATAACTTTATAGTTTTAGTATAAACTACTATAACTTTATAGTTTTAGTATAAACTACTATAACTTTATAGTTTTAGTATAAACTACAATAACTTTATAGATTTAGTATAAACTACAATAACTTTATAGATTTAGTATAAACTACTATAACTTTATAGTTTTAGTATAAACTACTATAACTTTATAGTTTTAGTATAAACTACAATAACTTTATAGATTTAGTATAAACTACAATAACTTCATAGATTTAGTATAAACTACTATAACTTTATAGTTTTAGTATAAACTACTATAACTTTATAGTTTTAGTATAAACTACAATAACTTTATAGATTTAGTATAAACTACTATAACTTTATAGTTTTAGTATAAACTACTATAACTTTATAGTTTTAGTATAAACTACAATAACTTTATAGATTTAGTATAAACTACAATAACTTTATAGATTTAGTATAAACTACTATAACTTTATAGTTTTAGTATAAACTACTATAACTTTATAGTTTTAGTATAAACTACAATAACTTTATAGTTTTAGTATAAACTACTATAACTTTATAGTTTTAGTATAAACTACTATAACTTTATAGTTTTAGTATAAACTACAATAACTTTATAGATTTAGTATAAACTACAATAACTTTATAGATTTAGTATAAACTACTATAACTTTATAGTTTTAGTATAAACTACTATAACTTTATAGTTTTAGTATAAACTACAATAACTTTATAGATTTAGTATAAACTACAATAACTTTATAGATTTAGTATAAACTACTATAACTTTATAGTTTTAGTATAAACTACTATAACTTTATAGTTTTAGTATAAACTACAATAACTTTATAGTTTTAGTATAAACTACTATAACTTTATAGTTTTAGTATAAACTACTATAACTTTATAGTTTTAGTATAAACTATGTTAACCTTGTTCTAGAACCTGCCCATCCTTCAGCAATACCACGTGATCTACTTCCGGCAGGACTGATAACTTGTGCGTTACTAAGATCCTCGTCTGGGTGGGAATGTTATGATACGTTATCAAGTACAGACTGGTTCATAATTTAGTGTTCTTAAATTAACTTTAACGAATATCTTCTAAATTTTAAAATTATATTTAAAGTTGCAATTCAAAGAGCTGTCAGGAATATCATAATACTACTATTGATTAATTAGTTCATGCAGTAATTCTAACCCCCTAAGAAAATAAGTAACGCGACATCAAGATATTAAAAATAAAGACTAACCTTATTATTGATCATTCCGTTAGGTCCGATAACTTTTTCAAAGAGATGTTTTCCCACGTGCGCGTCAACAGCAGATAAAGGATCGTCGAATATGTAGATATCATTCTTGTTGTATATTGCACGTGCAAGTGAGACGCGCTGCTTCTGTCCACCACTTAGGTTAATGCCCTGTGTGGAGAGGTATGTATAACAGGTATGTATAAGGTATGTATAAGGTATGTATATGAGGTATGTAGAAGAGGTATGTAGAAGAGGTATGTATAAGGTATGTATATGAGGTATGTATAAGCGTGGGTGATTTTGGGGACTGTAGTTCTGAGATTTCATTGGTGGATATTAAAATTATGCAATCTGATTGGTCAAAGAACCTTACGGCTCACATTAGATAGTAAATTACGGGGTTCTTTTGCGATAGTCAAAACGCGACAACTAGCGCTGGATGGCGACAACTAGCGCTATCCAGCGCTAGTTGTCGCCATCCAGCGCTAGTTGTCGCTATCCAGCGCTGGATAACGCTGGCCAGCGCAAAATATATTTGTTCGACAATTGTCGCTATCCAGCGCTAGTTGTCGCCATCCAGCGCTAGTTGTCGCCATCCAGCGCTGGTTGTCGCTATCCAGCGCTAGTTGTCGCTGGCTATGCGACACTGTCGCACGCGATAGTTTGCGATGGCCAGCGCAACTGGCCATCGCAGAAAACAGTTTGATAAATAGCGCGCTGGCCAGCGCTGGCTAGCGCTGGATAGCGACAACTAGCGCTGGATGGCGACAACTAGCGCTGGCCAGCGCTTGTTGTCGCTATCCAGCGCTAGCTAGCGCTGGCCAGCGCTGGCCAGCGCTATCCAGCGCTAACCAGCGCAAAGTATCAATTTTTGATAAATTTCGATAAATTTTCGATAATTTTCGCGACAAATAGCGCTGGATAGCGACAACTAGCGCTGGCCAGCGCTAGCCAGCGCTATCCAGCGCTAACCAGCGCTAGCCAGCGCTAGCCAGCGCTGGCCATCGCTGGCCAGCGCAATGTATCAAAATCATATACTTGCGATATTACTCGTCAGCCAGCGCTGGCCAGCGCTAACCAGCGCAATGTATCAAAATCAAATACTTGCGATATTACTCGTCAGCCAGCGCTGGCCAGCGCTAACCAGCGCTAGCCAGCGCTATCCAGCGCTAGCCAGCGCTGGCCAGCGCTAGCCAACGCTAGCCAGCGCTAGCCAGCGCTGGCCAGCGCAATGTATCAAAATCATATACTTGCGATATTACTCGTCAGCTAGCGCTGGCCAGCGCTATCCAGCGCTAACCAGCGCTGGCCAGCGCTATCCACATCCAACGCTATCCAGCGCTATCCAGCGCTAACCAGCGCTGGCCAGCGCTAGCCAACGCTAGCCAGCGCTATCCAGCGCTAACCAGCGCTGGCCAGCGCTAGCCAACGCTAGCCAGCGCTAGCCAGCGCTGGCCAGCGCAATGTATCAAAATCATATACTTGCGATATTACTCGTCAGCCAGCGCTGGCCAGCGCTAACCAGCGCTGGCCAGCGCTAACCAGCGCTAACCAGCGCTAACCAGCGCTGGCCAGTGCTGGCCAGCGCTATCCAGCGCTAACCATCGCTAGCCAGCGCTAGCCAGCGCTGGCCAGCGCAATGCATCAAAATCATATACTTGCAATATTACTTGTCAACCACAAACCAGCGCTAGGTAGTGCAAGTTATAAAAATCAAATATTTGCGATATTAATCGATGGCTAGCGCTGGTTAGTGCTGGCCAGTGCAATATACCAAAATCAAATATTAGCGATATCATTTATCGTCAGCTGACTGACACTGACTGACCAGCGCAATATATTTGCGATATTTCTTGTCAGCTTAACGCGGGTGATACTCGTTAAATTGGAAATATTTTTTCAAATCCAAGTCCAACTCGGTGCGCATTTATATGTAAAGGAACGGTAATAAACGTACATCTACAATCGTCAGCTAGCGTTGGCTTACTAGCTGGGCGGAGCTCAACTTACTGGGCGGCGCTCAGCCTGTCATTCCGCGGGATCTCTATTCTATGTTTATCTCTATTCTATGTTTATAAACATAGTAGCCTGGGGTCCCTAGGTAAAGCTCAATTTGTCATTTGGCCTCATTCCTATTTTCTGTGTTTATGAAGATGATAGCCTGCGGTCCCCAGTATGTGGCTCAGTATGCAATACACAGCTATATTAGCAGACTTTACTCAACGCGCTAAATTCTATTACATATATATTATGCGCGGCTCTCTTTTCGATCGTGAATCCTAGTAAGGTCAGGAAACCTTATTGGATGCACAAAATGATCATAGTGCAAATAAACTTCGGCTAACTGCTAACTAAGCAGCAGTTTCTTTGCACTATAGTTAACGGGTGATACTCTTAAAATATCTGTTCCAACTCGGCGCGCGTCCAGCCTGGTAGGTTGTTAACCTACAAGTGCACGTGCGTAAAACAACCCCAGTTACTACGGTTACAATGAAAATTCCTATTTCTCATCTAATTTGCACGTGGGCGGTCGTACATACATTTTACATTCTACATAAATAATTCTTTGAATTATAGTAGAGACTAGAAAGCCCGTGGTAACAGGGACGAAGCTAATAGTATTCTTTGAAAGAAAGTTTTAATCGCATCAAAAAATATCCATCCTAACCGAAGATACAGCCGATTTAAATATAAAACACTTTAAACACAACATAGTAACAACAAAACCGATCAAAATGACGTTAAAACAATCTTTGCACGTGCACGTGCGCATTAAAACACCGTTGCTATGGAACGTTTTGGTTGTTACCTAAATTCATATTTTTCGTTTGTTTTGCACGTGGGTGGTCGTACATACAGACATTCTACATCAGAAATAATTCTCTGAATTATAGTAGAGATTAGGGTCATCATTTGGAAACCCCCTCAGCTATCTCAGATAGTATCTGATTACGTAATATGTGAACGACCCTTTATACTAATTTTACTGGGCCATGCTCAGCCTGTCTGCTGTCATTTCGCCTAATCTCTATTCGGGATATGTTTATGATTAATATGAACATAATATTTTGAGGTCCCCAGGTAAGCTAATTTGTAATTGATCCTAGCTAGCGCTAACAGTAACTGCGCGCCGACGAGTGATATCGCAAATATTTAAAACCAATACTTTGAGATGGGGATCGATCACATATAACGTAATCAGCTGAGGGGGAGGGGGTTTCTGGCCAGTGCTGGCTAGCGTTGGCTAGCGCTGGTTAGTGCTAGCCAGCGCTGGCTGACGAGTAATATCGCAAGTTTATGATTTTGATACATTGCGCTGGCCAGCGCTAGCTGACGAGTAATATCGCAAGTATATGATTTTGATACATTGCGCTGGCCAGCGCTGGCTAGCGCTGGCCAGCGCTGGCTGACGGGTAATATCGCAAGTATATGATTTTGATACATTGCGCTGGTTAGCGCTGGCCAGCGCTGGCTGACGAGTAATATCGCAAGTATATGATTTTGATACATTGCGCTGGCCAGCGCTGGCCAGCGCAATACTTTGAGATGGGGATCGATCACATATAACGTAATCAGCTGAGGGGGAGGGGGTTTCTGGCCAGTGCTGGCCAGCGATGGCCAGCGCTGGCTAGCGCTGGCTAGCGCTGGCCAGCGCTGGCCAGCGCTGGATAGCGCTGGATAGCGCTGGCCAGCGCTGGATAGCGCTGGATAGCGCTGGCCAGCGCTGGTTAGCGCTGGCTAGCGTTGGCTAGCGCTGGCCAGCGCTGGCTAGCGCTGGATAGCGCTGGCTAGCGCTGGTTAGCGCTAGCTGACGAATAATATCGCAAAAATGTTGCGCTGGCTATCGATGGCCAGCGCTGGCTATCGCTTAGCGCTGGCCAGCGCTGGCCAGCGCTAGTTGTCGCTATCCAGCGCTATTTGTCGCGAAAATTATCGAAAATTTATCGAAATTTATCAAAAATTGATACTTTGCGCTGGTTAGCGCTGGATAGCGCTGGCCAGCGCTGGCCAGCGCTAGCTAGCGCTGGATAGCGACAACAAGCGCTGGCCAGCGCTAGTTGTCGCCATCCAGCGCTAGTTGTCGCTATCCAGCGCTAGCCAGCGCTGGCCAGCGCGCTATTTATCAAACTGTTTTCTGCGATGGCCAGTTGCGCTGGCCATCGCAAACTATCGCGTGCGACAGTGTCGCATAGCCAGCGACAACTAGCGCTGGATAGCGACAACCAGCGCTGGATGGCGACAACTAGCGCTGGATGGCGACAACTAGCGCTGGATAGCGACAATTGTCGAACAAATATATTTTGCGCTGGCCAGCGTTATCCAGCGCTGGATAGCGACAACTAGCGCTGGATGGCGACAACTAGCGCTGGATAGCGCTAGTTGTCGCCATCCAGCGCTAGTTGTCGCGTTTTGACTATCGCAAAAGAACCAATTACGGGACAAATATATATCTAAACATTCTGCAATTTAAAGAATCTCTCTGTAAAGTTTGTTTAAGAAGAGTAGCAGATATTGCACGTTTTGAGTAAACTTGGTAGTATTTCATTCTTATCTTACTATCACTTTATTGAGGTATCATGTTATCGTTTACTTATGGACAGTGCTTTAATTACACGAACAAATATTGAACAATTAATCAATTCATACGGTTATCTGAGTCTATAAAAATGGTCGCAAAATTAATTATTGCACGCAGTTATAAACACTAATCTAATTAAGTTTTATATTTCTAATATCATTTAGTTTTATCTACTTAATAATATCTAGAATGTGCACCTAATCATGTTTCATCTCATTTTAAAGAGGTATTGAATAAAATGATAAACAGTAAACTGCACAGTAGTACAGTGCGCTTCTCATCCCACATAGCTGATACGATGTTGTAAATTAATATGCGTATATTTACACTTCCTAATCCCTAGAGGATAAGGCAATACTAATACATGTAATAACTACAAGGTAGGTAATGGTACAGGGGAGGGGTGTACAGCAGTACAGCAACAGTTTGTCGGTCACGTGGTCACGTGGTCACCGATCAACGTCACGCGATATTTGTTAAAATGTAATAAAAGTCACGTGATGATTTTGTTAAAATGTAATAAAAGTTCTCTATGTTCAATTTCAGATTTTGAAGATTTGACAGCCATTGCTCTTGATAGAGTTACATGTCTACATCTTTTGAGACAGCTGCCAATAAAGTTCTTAGGATTGTTGTTTTCAGATATTTTGAACTTAGATATGGTTTATAATAATAATTAATAATATTAATAATAATAATAATTAATAATATTAATAATAACAATAATTTAATAAAGTACCTTCTCTCCAATCTCAGTATTGTCTCCATTAGGAAGTATCTGAAGGTCAGTCTCCAGAGCACAGCTCGTTATTACTTCCTTATAATAACACTTGTTCCAAGCAGCCCCAAATAGGATGTTGTTTTTTAGGGAGTCGTTTAGAACCCAGGATACTTGGGGTACGTAGCTTACTGAACCCTGCCAATAGGGAACATTATAATAACCCAGGATACTTGGGGTACGTAGCTTACTGAACCCTGCCAATAGGGAACATTATAATAACCCAGGATACTTGGGGTACGTAGCTTACTGAACCCTGCCAATAGGGAACATTATAATAACCCAGGATACTTGGGGTACGTAGCTTACTGAACCCTGTCAATAGGGAACATTATAATAACCCAGGATATTTTGGGTGCGTAGCTTACTGAACCCTGACAATAGGGAACATTATAATAACCCAGGATACTTGGGGTACGTAGCTTACTGAACTCTGCCAATAGGGAACATTATAATAACCCAGGAAACTTGGGGTACGTAGCTTACTGAACCCTGCCAATAGAAAACATTATAATAACCCAGGATACTTGGGGTACGTAGCTTACTGAACCCTGCCAATAGGGAACATTATAATAACCCAGGAAACTTGGGGTACGTAGCTTACTGAACCCTGCCAATAGAAAACATTATAATAACCCAGGATACTTGGGGTACGTAGCTTATTGAACCCTGCCAATAGAAAACATTATAATAACCCAGGATACTTGGGGTACGTAGCTTACTGAACCCTGCCAATAGAAAACATTATAATAACCCAGGATACTTGGGGTACGTAGCTTACTGAACCCTGCCAATAGGGAACATTATAATAACCCAGGATATTTGGGGTACGTAGCTTACTGACCCTGCCAATAGGGAACATTATAATAACCCAGGAATCTTGGGGTACGTGGCTTACTGAACCCTGCCAATAGGGAACATTATAATAACCCAGGATATTTGGGGTACGTAGCTTACTGACCCTGCCAATAGGGAACATTAGAATAACCCAGGATATTTGGGGTACGTAGCTTACTGAACCCTGCCAATAGGGAACTTTATAATAACCCAGGATACTTGGGGTACGTAGCTAACTGAACCCTGCCAATAGGGAACATTATAATAACCCAGGATATTTGAGGTACGTAGCTTACTGAACCCTGCCAATAGGGAACATTATAATAACCCAGGATACTTGGGGTACGTAGCTTACTGAACCCTGCCAATAGGGAACATTATAATAACCCAGGAAACTTGGGGTACGTAGCTTACTGAACCCTGCCAATAGGGAACATTATAATAACCCAGGATATTTGGGGTACGTAGCTAACTGAACCCTGCCAATAGGGAACATTATAATAACCCAGGAAACTTGGGGTACGTAGCTTACTGAACCCTGCCAATAGGGAACATTATAATAACCCAGGATATTTGGGGTACGTACCTTACTGAACCCTGCCAATAGGGAACATTATAATAACCCAGGATACTTGGGGTACGTAGCTTACTGAACCCTGCCAATAGGGAACATTATAATAACCCAGGATACTTGGGGTACGTAGCTTACTGAACCCTGCCAATATGGAACATTATAAAATCCCATGATATTTGAGGTACGAAGCTTACTGAACCCTGCCAATAGGGAACGTTATAATAACCCAGGATATTTGGGGTACGTAGCTAACTGAACCCTGCCAATAGGGAACATTATAATAACCCAGGATACTTGGGGTACGTAGCTTACTGAACCCTGCCAATAGGGAACATTATAATAACCCAGAATATTTGGGGTACGTAGCTAACTGAACCCTGCCAATAGGGAACATTATAATAACCCAGGATATTTGGGGTACGTAGCTAACTGAACCCTGCCAATAGAAAACATTATAATAACCCAGGATACTTGGGGTACGTAGCTAACTGAACCCTGCCAATAGGGAACATTATAATAACCCAGGATACTTGGGGTACGTAGCTTACTGAACCCTGCCAATAGGGAACATTATAATAACCCAGGATATTTGGGGTACGTAGCTTACTGAACCCTGCCAATATTTATATTTGATTGTAATTAATGATTTTAAGGCGTTAGTGCCGAGTAATGCCTTCGGGTAGTGCTCCTCAATCAATCAATCAGGGAACGTTATAATAACCCAGGATATTTGGGGTACGTTTATAACTCACATTTAAGTACACTTCACCCTCCATTTTGTCCATTTCACCCAACATAGCTGAGACCAGGGAGGATTTGCCGGATCCTACAGCTCCCACTATAGCTACTAGTTTACCCCGCGGGATTGTAACGTTTATACTGAGATTGTAGGATTTGATTAGTAACTTATATGGAACTTCAACTATATAATTACGACCAAGACGACACAACATAAACATAATACACATATAACACTTGACTACACATACCACGTGACTACATATAACACGTGACTACACATAACACGTGACTACACATAACACGTGACTACACATAACACGTGACTACACATAACACGTGACTACACATAACACGTGACTACACATAACACGTGACTACACATAACACGTGACTACACATAACACGTGACTACACATAACACGTGACTACACATAACACGTGACTACACATAACACGTGACTACACATAACACGTGACTACACATAACACGTGACTACACATAACAGGTGACTACACATAACACCTGACTACACATAACACGTGACTACACATAACACTTGACTACACATAACACGTGACTACACATAACACGTGACTACACATAACACCTGACTACACATAACACCTGACTACACATAACACGTGACTACACATAACACGTGACTACACATAACACGTGACTACACATAACACCTGACTACACATAACACGTGACTACACATAACAGGTGACTACACATAACACGTGACTTCACATAACACGTGACTTCACATAACACGTGACTTCACATAACACGTGACTACACATAACACCTGACTACACATAACACGTGACTACACATAACACCTGACTACACATAACACGTGACTACACATAACACGTGACTTCACATAACACGTGACTACACATAACACGTGACTACACATAACACGTGACTGCTCACTTATCCAAGGTGACAGTGTTGACTTCATCCTTCATGTCCCAGGAGAACTTGCCCCCTTTGATCTGTGCAGCAGTAGGAGAGTCCGCCTCCCCACTTATAACAGCTTCCTCCTCCAGCTCCGTCAGGTTCAGGAATGTCTTGATACGAACTATACTTACTCTTGCCTGTATTTAATGGGAAACCTTTTATTATAAGTTTTTTATTTTAAATTCTTTAATAAATCTGCTGTTATTAGCGAGGAAGAACATATCTGTGGAATTAAATTATTTAAAGTTAGAACTTAATTTTCAATAATTGGTTTTATAAGATACTAGTATCTGAACCTGTATAAGTTGTGTAATCATGTTAGGCAACATAACTAGAGGAAAGCGGAGAATGTTGAAGAGCGTGAGAGAAACAAAAGCCTTCTCTGATGTCAGATTGTTACCTAGCAGACTGTAACACAGGAAAGATAGGAGAGACACCTGCAGTGATATTTACTTTACTTCAGATCATGTGATCAGATCACGTGTTTCATTACATTCCATACTTGTTAGTTGTGATATAATGGTATTCCATTCCATACTTGTTAGTTGTGATATAATGGTATTACATACGGTACTTGTTAGTTGTGATATAATGGTATTGAAAAGTTTTAATACTAACAAGTATAGGTGAACAGGTCCACATAAAGGTTATGATAATACCAAACTTTATGCGACTCTTCATTGCCCCCAACTCTTGAGACCTTATACCGTCCACCTCCTGAAATACAGTGGAGATGAGACCTTATACCGTCCACCTCCTGTAATATAGTGGAGATGAGACCTTATACCGTCCACCTCCTGAAATATAGTGGAGATGAGACCTTATACCGTCCACCTCCTGAGATATAGTGGAGATGAGACCTTATACCGTCCACCTCCTGAAATATAGTGGAGATGAGACCTTATACCGTCCACCTCCTGAAATATAGTGGAGATGAGACCTTATACCGTCCACCTCCTGAAATATAGTGGAGATGAGACCTTATACCGTCCACCTCCTGAAATATAGTGGAGATGAGACCTTATACCGTCCACCTCCTGTAATATAGTGGAGATGAGACCTTATACCGTCCACCTCCTGAGATATAGTGGAGATGAGACCTTATACCGTCCACCTCCTGAAATATAGTGGAGATGAGACCTTATACCGTCCACCTCCTGTAATATAGTGGAGATGAGACCTTATACCGTCCACCTCCTGAAATATAGTGGAGATGAGACCTTATACCGTCCACCTCCTGTAATATAGTGGAGATGAGACCTTATACCGTCCACCTCCTGAAATATAATACAGCGGAGATAGTATTCAAACAATATATAGTAACTAATTACAACACTACAAATCTATTACATCTATTGAGAATTATGTAATGTAACGTGATGGAAATATTTTAAGCGGGCATATCCTGTCCAAACCCAGGATGCACGACACGAATAATTCGTTATAACTTTGTATGAAAAGCATTTTAATAGATAATATCACAATGACCCTATACAAAAGTAAAAATCTGAGTTTAAAAACCCCTTAAAAACTGAGAAACATTTATAAAAAACCTTTACAGTAAAAGTAGCCAAATGACATTTATAATGTATCAGGTTCAAACAAAGTTTAAATAGATGACCTTCAAAATAACGTGACTTTGGAGGATATAATATTAGTGAGCTTCCTGACCTCCCCCCCCCCCCCCACCCCCCCCCCCCCCCCCCCTTCCTAGCTATATCTCCTTCATTATGTCTTTAGTAAGTGTCTCTAATAGACTTATTAAAGCTCCTCTGTTTAAACTAGAATATAGTTACCTTGAGGAAGGAATCCTCCCAACCGTACAGTTTAATAACTTTTATCCCATCTAAAACTTCATTTGTCTTCTTCACTCGCTGATCAGTTATCTTCATAATAGTTCGCTGAGGAGTAAACACGTGCATTAAGAGGGAAGATGTGTTCACACAATATCACGTGACGTCACAAGAATCACGTGACGTCACAAGAATCACGTGACGTCACAAGAATCACGTGACGTAACCATTATTATATACCGCGTGGTGGGACCCACCTGAAAGCCGTGCATTTTGCCCATAAGGACAGAGTTAAAAGGTAACATGATGATAGTGACACTGATCCCAACAAAAGTGCTAGCTCCCAGCTCCTGGTACAACAGGTACATAGCTAGGATAATCTGCAGTGGAGCTGACCATATCATGTTGATGTAGGTGAAGATTTCCTGGGGGAGAAGCAAGTATGTAAAGTATGTCAAGTATGTCAAGTATGTAATAGTTGTACTTAAATCTTAATGAAATATTATGTACTTTTAGTTGTAAACATCCTTTTTTTAATTTTCACGTATTATGTGTTAGAGATGATGGAGACGAACAAGTAGAAAAAAAACTACCCCTGCCCCCCCCCCCCCCCCCCCCCCGGCCCCCTTGATAATAATAATTGTTTTAATTACCTGAAACTTCTGAGCATCAACCTGCATTAGGTTTATCATCTGACCAAGCTGGGAACTCTTCTGACTAGCGTTGTTCAGTAAGAGGGCCTAATTGCAGGGGTTACCAATCTTTAGAAATTAATTAATAATTCAATCTACTAATAAAATTATTAAAGGCTTGACTATCTTCTGACTGATTGGAAACCGAATTAGAACTAAGAAGTCTAGGAATATAATGTGATATTGTAGAAATCAATAAATTGACAAGTCACAATATCGGTCGGATTTCACTTAACTGTCACAGTTAGAACTGTGCAAAAGTATAAACTTGGTCAATCTAATGACGAAAGAAAATTACAAAACATTATTGGAGAGGGTGAAGCGAACACACTTAAACTTAATTAACGTATAATAGAAAGAAACATTGTGGAAGATTTTTGAATAGAAGCTTTTCTGCCGTTTCCTTGACCAAAATTTGACAGTTTTGACTGAATTTTTGACCAGTGACCAATCAGTGAGGTCACTGTGAGTAAGTGTTTACCTTTCTGTAGATAGCCGCTACCAGAGCAACCCTTATCTTCATTCCTGTGTTTATCGCTCTGTCAAAATACGCCTGATTGGGTATGAACACTTCATATAATTATAACCCGAATACATTTATTAACCCAAATAATTGATCTAAAACACTTTCGGTCCAATTATTATAGATAATTGGCATAATAATGATAATTGGCATAATTGGCATAATAAATAGCAGTTTTATGTCTAATTATCTACTGGCCGTTTGGTCAATGAATTATAAACTATATTCTTAGCCAGGCATTCTATTGCTAAAATTTAAATACCGACGATATGATTGTAAGTGTAAATTAAGTTGGTTATATTTATATATATTTATTATATTGTATATTTATATATATTTATATATATTTATTATATTAACTACCTGTATACAGATGGTTTGAAGGAGGAGTGAAACTAACATCAACACGCAGAACACTATACCGTATGTAACTCCCAACTTATCCGGCTCTTGACTAGAGAGAGGTGGTTTAGGTTATATTGTGTTCTTGAGCTCTTTAATTTTAAATATAATCTTAGATTTAAATCAATTTTAAATTAGTTTTTAATCAGTTATTAATTAATAGTGTATAATATAAAATAGTTAGCAGACTACATGATTTAACACAAGTTTATCAGTTAAAGGGGGCAAGGTTTTTTATGGAACTCTTCTCGAAATCGACTTTTTGGTTGTTTCTATAGAGGGGAGTAATATCTGTCAGTTTGGTCTCATCGAAAAATATCGTTATCGCTGGTCAAAAGTCAGCGCTTAACTGTATTGCGCAAGCGATTTTCAAGTGCATCCTTGCCATAACCCGAGATATCTGTTCCAACCCCTAACCCTAAGTTAATTCAAAATGCTGAGCAGAAGGAAGTATCTTACTGGAACACTATCTTAGTAAAGGAATGATGATTTATAATTAAATATTGTATAATTGTATAATTATATAATTGTATTATTAAATATTGTACTGTAATCAAATTTCCATAATCTAAACTTGAGCAACAATTAATAATTCAGCATATTTGACGATTAAACTTGCCTAACACAGGTTGCTCCATTGTTACTGTTACAACTAGAAAGATAAAACATTATCACAGTTCATTTTCTCCTCTTAGCAGACTGAATATGAACTTATCAAGACCTCCAAAAGATTCAATGATTAATAATATTATTTACTTACTTCTCCGTTAAAATGTAAAAGATGAGTTGCTTGAGAATGAGAGGGGGTACGAAAGTTAGAATGTCGTTTGCCAGTTTCAAGAGAACGATTGACAAGATGGTCTTCCAGTTGAACTTCACCAGCGACCAAATTAGGTTCCCTCGATTTGGACAGCCTGTTGTACCTCTGAGAAGATATTATAATGTAATAAAAAACTACGGAGATGGCCGAATATAATAAGTAGTTTATGATATAACAACATATAAATGTTATAATTTATGCAAACACGTTCTTCAAAATTTGAAAAAGTTCAAAGATACAATTTTACTAATTAAGCACTAAAAATCAAACTGACTTTGGGCAAGGTTTGGAGCCGGTCCATGATGTATAAAAGTTATCAATGATTGTTTGAGTTTTTGAGTGATTTGGAACATGGTATAAATCTTTGTCCTCCAGCGGTCTTCTAAATCCTTTCCAAATGATCCTGAGATTGGTTTAGTTATGAGCTGAATATAATTCATCATAGCACCAAGCACATAATCACGACGGAGAGGAAACTGTCTCACACTTCCTTGGACAGTGTCCGGATATGGCCAAAATAAGAGGTCAATATTTCCAGGACTACTACCTCTCTGTCAATGAAATATTCGACAACCAACACATCACCACGATTGTCAATTTCGCAAACTTCACCAAACGCTTAATTGTGCCTACCCAGAGGAAGGCAGAGCATCTCAATGCTATCCGCTCGTGGTACCCAGAGGTAGGCAGAGCATCTCAATGCTATCCTCTCGTGGTACCCAGAGGTAGGCAGAGCATCTCAATACTATCCTCTCGTGGTACCCAGAGGTAGGCAGAGCATCTCAATGCTATCCTCTCGTGGTACCCAGAGGTAGGCAGAGCATCTCAATGCTATCCTCTCGTGGTACCCAGAGGTAGGCAGAGCATCTCAATGCTATCCTCTCGTGGTACCCAGAGGTAGGCAGAGCATCTCAATGCTATCCTCTCGTGGTACCCAGAGGAAGGCAGAGCATCTCAATACTATCCTCTCGTGGTACCCAGAGGTAGGCAGAGCATCTCAATGCTATCCTCTCGTGGTACCCAGAGGTAGGCAGAGCATCTCAATGCTATCCTCTCGTGGTACCCAGAGGTAGGCAGAGCATCTCAATGCTATCCTCTCGTGGTACCCAGAGGTAGGCAGAGCATCTCAATGCTATCCTCTCGTGGTACCCAGAGGTAGGCAGAGCATCTCAATGCTATCCTCTCGTGGTACCCAGAGGTAGGCAGAGCATCTCAATGCTATCCTCTCGTGGTACCCAGAGGTAGGCAGAGCATCTCAATGCTATCCTCTCGTGGTACCCAGAGGTAGGCAGAGCATCTCAATACTATCCTCTCGTGGTACCCAGAGGTAGGCAGAGCATCTCAATGCTATCCTCTCGTGGTACCCAGAGGTAGGCAGAGCATCTCAATGCTATCCTCTCGTGGTACCCAGAGGAAGGCAGAGCATCTCAATGCTATCCTCTCGTGGTACCCAGAGGTAGGCAGAGCATCTCAATGCTATCCTCTCGTGGTACCCAGAGGTAGGCAGAGCATCTCAATGCTATCCTCTCGTGGTACCCAGAGGTAGGCAGAGCATCTCAATGCTATCCTCTCGTGGTACCCAGAGGTAGGCAGAGCATCTCAATGCTATCCTCTCGTGGTACCCAGAGGAAGGCAGAGCATCTCAATGCTATCCTCTCGTGGTACCCAGAGGTAGGCAGAGCATCTCAATGCTATCCTCTCGTGGTACCCAGAGGTAGGCAGAGCATCTCAATACTATCCTCTCGTGGTACCCAGAGGTAGGCAGAGCATCTCAATGCTATCCTCTCGTGGTACCCAGAGGTAGGCAGAGCATCTCAATGCTATCCTCTCGTGGTACCCAGAGGAAGGCAGAGCATCTCAATGCTATCCTCTCGTGGTACCCAGAGGTAGGCAGAGCATCTCAATGCTATCCTCTCGTGGTACCCAGAGGTAGGCAGAGCATCTCAATGCTATCCTCTCGTGGTACCCAGAGGTAGGCAGAGCATCTCAATGCTATCCTCTCGTGGTACCCAGAGGTAGGCAGAGCATCTCAATGCTATCCTCTCGTGGTACCCAGAGGAAGGCAGAGCATCTCAATGCTATCCTCTCGTGGTACCCAGAGGTAGGCAGAGCATCTCAATACTATCCTCTCGTGGTACCCAGAGGTAGGCAGAGCATCTCAATGCTATCCTCTCGTGGTACCCAGAGGAAGGCAGAGCATCTCAATGCTATCCTCTCGTGGTACCCAGAGGAAGGCAGAGCATCTCAATACTATCCTCTCGTGGTACCCAGAGGTAGGCATGTGCCTCGCCGGGCTAAAGTAGTGAATGTCCTTGCTGTACGGCAAGTTAAACAAGGAACTGAAACTACTAGGTTCCGTACAGGCTCAACTCTACACCCATGTCAATATGTTCATATGCAAGCCTCTTGATTATATAATCACAAAATTGTAATTACTGTCCCAATCTTCGAATGAAGGTTTATTATCGATTAATAATTTATGTTTGAAGATATTGATAAAAGATTGAGATGCGATGCAATTGGTTTTAATATAAAAACTAATTTGAGGCTTATGTCACTGAATTTGACGCCTTGCAAACATGTTTGACGATAGCCTGTAAATTGATAGTTTGATCTCAGTATATAATACAACAAATTATCCAGCTAGATTGATTCAAAGGGAGAACAAAATTCCGCAATTATATAATTAATTATAATTATAATTGGTTAGTTATGCCTTACTTTGTAAGCCAATGAAAAGTTATATAATTTCCAAATGGTACATATTCTTCTGGACAGGGTGCCTGCAAGATAAAAAAGATCAGATATATGAAATAAACTTAACAGTATTATTATCAGAACTCATTAGCAAAACGTATTAGATAAGTTAAATGAATAAGTTAAATAATTAAGTTAAATAATTAAGTTAAATAATTAAGTTAAATAATTAAGTTAAATAATTAAGTTAAATAAATATTAAGAGCTCCACTGACCCTGTCATCCATCTCGGGTCTATCGTATTTCATGTGGTGTCCTTCATCCAGCTCTATTTCCTCCTGAACATTTTATAACACTTACTATTTTTCATGGTTTAAATTTTTATTGAAATTTTTATTGGAGTTAGGATAGACTGAGGATAGACGAAAATATTTTACCGATGTTATAATACACATAACCCCGGCATGCGCAGGGATTATATTTCAATTTTTCCCGCGACGCGCGGGAAAAATTTATAATAATTTCGAGTGCGAAGCACGAGGGATTATTATGAAAATAACCCCGACGTGCTTTAGCACGAGGGGTTATTTTAATATAACTTAAGCGTGCCGGTGTTATGTGTTATAAACCCCTCCGGGTTAGTGCTAGGACCAACAAATTTGACATTTTACTCTTAATTCTAGCTATATGAGATCATTATGGAAAATATGAAATGGAATTGGGGACTACCAAATAAATACAACTAAGGTACTATGACTTTTGAAATTGGCGTTATATCTAAACATTATTCCTCAGTCAGAACGTTGAATGAATATGAATATCGATAAGGGGCGGCGAGTTAAGCCTGGCAAGCGATAAAAGCTAATAATGATATCGTGTCATGAAGTTCATCAAAGTAGACGACTATAATACATGGCTTATATCAAACACGACAAAATTAACCGAACCGGACAAAATCAAATGTAACCGTCGAGACAAGTTTTGGAACTGGTCCAATTAATGTAAGAGTTTAAGTAATGTAAGCAGTGTGCTGGAGTTTTGCCAGCGCCTGCAATTAGACCGATACGTAGATCGAGTGTATTTATAGTTCTTACGTTAAGCCATAGGTCACGTGACATTTTTTACCAATGCGCGTCGTAGTAGTTAGTCACGTGATACACGTCATCAAAACACGTGACAGTACGCGGTTGAAATTCTCATGGAATATCAAAACAAAACAAATCTTGTTGAGCCAAATTAGCGGGGCGGGATTATAAAAGCTGTGCCGGGGTTATTTATTCAGCGGGAAAAAACTAACAGCGGGAGCCGGGATTATCAGAATCTATTTAGCGGGAGCCGGGATTATCAGAATCTTATTCTATCCCGGAGGGGTTTATAAAGATCTTGTTGGAAATTTTTAGAACTCGTTGTTTGATTGCGGGACCCATTGATCTTGTCATTCTATAATAATCATGCCTTATAAGGTTATCAAACATAATTTTCATGGTCTGAGAAACACGACTGCTCGCCTTTTATCTACGATGTGTAGTGAGGGTATTATAGTGATGGTATTATTGGATTAATGTCGTCAATAACGGTACATGTGAACTTAATCTACGATAATGAGCACATCAATAATATAATAACCTGGCAACTATTCCCCTCACATATCAACAACGGTCATACTGATAGAGCTGCTACTATGCCGCAAGTCTTTCCTTTCGATTTAGGAACTAGACGAATATAACAAACATATCCCCATAGAATCCCATGAATCAATGAATTGGTAATACAGGGTGTCCTAAAAAAGACGACCAAGTGATTTTGTTAATAGCTCGCCTCAGCTTAAAGTCATGTGCTCTGATCCTCCATAATCTGTGTTTCAGATCCAAACTATCAGGAAGCACTGCGGCTCCTGAGCTCATGTCACCGTTTAGATTTAATGCATTGTATTACGAATCTGTGCACTTGAACCACTGGCAGGGTGCACTCGAACCACTGGCAGGGTGCACTCGAACCACTGGCAGGGTGCACTCGAACCACTGGCAGGGTGCACTCGAACCACTGGCAGGGTGCACTCGATCCATTCACCATTGGCAGGATGGACGGGACAGGTAGAGGTTTTCAGTGAATGTGGTGGTCATAAATTATAATACCCTTCAAAAACTGCTATTGATGAAATTCTCAAACCGTTGTTGAGTTGGTATCACTATCAGTAATCACTTGGTCGCCCTTTTTTGGGACAACCTTTGTAATGTTGTAACAAATTATCAAACCTCTTTTTTGGTATTGTCTTGGGTCGATAACACCTTCTCTTTCACAGCAGAATGGGTTTTCTAAAACAAGATCAGAAACATTCAACATTTAAAATCGAATCAAGTTGATTCTGCAATTGTACAGAAATAAATCAGATAATAATCATTGGAACAGTTTTATATTTTCCCCACTTTTCCTATTACATATTATTGCATTCGATCAAACGTCAAAACACAAATTTGAGTCAAATAAAAATAACAAATAAGGAACACAATTATATTATATATTATATGTGTAATTGTACCTTTGGCTGATTTAGCAGCTCCTCGGGTATCTCCAGTATACTGTGAATGATTAAGTTGAGTAAAACTAAACTGCTGTACACACAAATCAGGATGGGCAGCTGCTCGTCTATATTCTCTACAACCTGCAATACACCTTATAGTTCCAGTTCAAAACTTAGACAATTGTTTTCTTTTTTTGTAGAGGCTGGGCCTGGGTGGCCCACGAGAGGATAGCATGTGGATGCTTTGCCTACCTCTGGGGTATGGCAGTCCTATAGGAAAACTTAGACTGTAGTCAGTAATGTTACAATTGATAGTATTCATCAGGGCAAGCTGGCGACATGGCGGGTCAAGTAAATATCTAAGTAAATATCCTAGTACATGTTACCTATACTAGGATATTTTAACTTTGCAGATTCTAGCCTGACTTGATCAATTTGTACACCTTGTGGAACAAACCTCCACAGTTCATTCACAATACTGACATTGGATATTTCAATTTCAATCAATTGAACAAACCTCCCATTTTTGTTTTTTAGCTCTATAGAGCAAAAAAGAAAGAGATTATTATAAAAACCACCTGAGTGGAGATACTCACTTTTGGAACGATGTAATTTAAAACCGAAACTTGAAGATCACAATCAATGCTACCTTATAAACTGTAGAAATAAGTGTGAAAAAAGAAAGATATTAAACCTCCCATTTCCGAGAAACAAGAGTCCGGATCCTAACAATGCTGTGAAGTGTCATAAGCCCCCAATACGACCACACTGGTAATGTTGAAACATTGCCTTTAGTTCTTTCAAAGCATGTCACAAACACCGCAAATACCTGCGATAGAATAATCAATATGTTTAACCTGGACCTTACTGATAAATTAATCATTATAACAGTAACTATAAAGTGGGGGTTATGGGCACCTAACTGGTCACAGGATCAGTAACGAAGGGCCCCGCTGTGCAGGGGGGCACCAATCGCCATCTTAGGAGGGCGCCAAATCGTCGTTTGAATGTGGGACAATTTTGAAAAACTCAACTGAGGCACTAGCAAAACTGCGCTAACAGGATGGATAAGTTTATGCACAGGATTGGTAAGTATATTCACAAAATTGTATATTATATACCTGTTATCTAAGCTAAATAATCCAGAGATCTCTAAAGTCGGAAGATTATGGATAAAAAGATACACAGGTAACTTAATATATCATAAAAGTATCATTATGCTGAACTCACAGTTGTTATGATGATTAATGTAGCACTCCATTTCAGTACAGGGACATCCTCAGTACTTTTAACAACTATTGCTATGATCATTAATTGCGGTATCAAACTAGCGATTGCTGCAACCTGGGAATTCATTTATAGGAATTTCAAGATTAAGTTTCTCAGGATTGTAGATCCCAAATTTTCAAATTGTTATAGTTAACGAATTTTTACTTTTTATGGTGATAGGTGAAATTTGAATAAAATAAAGCAACGAAAGCTCACTGTAAGAATTATCATTTTTGAATAAATTCTACTGAAAACTTACAATTGACAAAATGAACAGTGGTCTTATCCAGCGGTAAGTATAATAGACAGAGTTTCGAGCAAGAGCCATGTAGAAAGTCCCCAAAACAATGCTAATTAAACATATTATCCAACATATATAACTGTCTTCAAAACAAATAGAAAAATCGTCTGGAGCTCCTTCATTCTGAAAGTTTTCGTTATTAGTATTGAATGGGTAAAAATCATGTTCACAATCATGATTTAACATTATAACTAGTGAAATGATGCATCTATGTGTATTGCTGTTTGTCAGCACTGCTCTTGAATAGTATTAAAACTTCTAATTTGTTATTTGTAGCAGAAACTTCTTCGAAATCAGAGTTTGAAAATAATAAAAATGTTGGTAAAAATGTTCAATTTCACTTTAAAATCAGTACTTGAAGCGACATTGAAAAATACAAAATACTCACATCATAAGCCTGGCAGTAATCATCTAGATCAATTCCAAGAAAAGATCCGGACATGACAGGCTTCGTATAGTAACTATCTAGAAGAGCAGAAATGTGCAATGTCCTGTGTCATGTAGCTCTCGTTACTATAATAATGTTTTAAAGTCAATTTTGGTAATCTTTTTAATAATGTAATTGAACTTATTAACCTAGATAATTTTTGATTACTCAGTTTTATGAAGGAGCTATCTTGGTAAAATGTTTGTAGTGCTATGAGGTTGTTCACAGCTTGATGCGGCGTGGATTCTTTTAGCCGTTATATATGTTTCTTTTGAAAAAAATTTGTGATCGTTTTTCCGAGATTTTGCCGGTTGTATTTGGGGTATGTGGATTTTCTGTGATGAGTACGTGGTTGACTCGTGTTGTCACTTGTTGATTGTATGGGTTTCAAGATGTTATTTGTTTTTGTAATATTTCGTAGTATTAATAGATTATTTTAACATTGTAACTTTGCAGCTATGTAATGTCGTGAGATTTATTATTACTAATATGTATATGTACTATTTACAGGATGTTTTACATGATGTTTAATATTTAATGTAACTCTGTTAACAACTGTCTCATTTGGTAACTCTCGACACCTCAACTAAACAAAAGTATGGATAAAGTATTGAGACCGGATAGACTTGAACTGGATCTAGCTACATCAACTCAAGGAGGAAACGCAAAAACCTTGGAGCACTACGATGGACAACTTCATCGAGACACTGAAAGACACTGTAACTAGTGACGAAGCTAAATACAAGGTTTTAATATACTTTGTTAGCCCTGATATTTTCCTGCACATATCGGGACTAACTAAATACACTGAAGCCAGCGCCCTATTACAGGCTCTATTCGTAAAGACGAAAAACCCAAATTATGCTTGTCACTGCCTGGCCATGAGAACCCATAAGGAAGGAGAATCCATCGAATTATACTTGTTGGCACTAGAAAAACTAGCTAAAGAGTGTGACTTCAAGGATGTAACTGCTGCAGCGCACCAAGAGGAATGTATCAGAACGGCATTCATATCAGGATTGAGCTCACATCAGATCCGCCAACGGCTACTTGAGGATACTAAACCCTTATCTGACACAACTAAGGCAGCTACCACACTTGAGCAAGCCCTCAGGGAGAGTAAGCACTACAATCACCGGGCTTCAATACGTCCTGTCTATGACAAAGGCATGTAGCCGAAACGTCGACAAAGAATTATGTTTTAACACACTGATTGGAGACTCTCACTTCGTCAACTACAATTCAAAATAAAGTCAATTTTACATGAATAAAAATAGTTCACATCACAATCACTATGTACTATGGGCGTACGCAGGGGATAGCCTCCCTCTTTTTGAAATTCGAACCTAGAATTTTTTTGAAAATTGCTATGTACAGCAACATGAAATTGTAAGAAATGATTTTAAACTACTTTATCAAAGCATTAATTAGCATCAGGAAAGCTAGAGTGGTTCCGATGGGCCTATGCAGCCCCTCGTCTATTCAGCCGAATGCTCGAGAAATCGTGTGTGAGGGTTGAATGAGGAGCTGTACATGATCAATACAGCGGAGCCACGGGCGAAGAAAGTGTGGTATAATACCTTAACCGTCGCTGGCCTTAGTTATCGATCCTTCCGATTCCTATAAGTGCTGGTGCCGGCCATGCCGGGTGGTTTTCATGAATGACCCTGCTGCCGTGCAGCTAAACAACGTAAAGTAAAGTAATAAGTAAAATATAAGTAAGTACCCAATCATTAATCATAATATGATAGCATGCTACGACACCGTAATTTGGCTCACTTCACAATTCCCATAATATAATGTAGATCTAGTCTCAACCCAATCACCTGATCACACGTAATGAACAAACTTGTTACGCTTCATATCTCAGTCATCTGAGAAGCTATAACAATTTTTCAGGGCAAATGTTATTTAAATAGCCAAACATAATTCAATACAATTTTGCTAGATCCGATCATTTAATCTATCAAATAAATGCAAAAAATTAACTTTCATTCAAAAAAAATTAACACGAATATGTTTTGATTTGGTGCATTCCTCGTGCCTCGAATGAGTGGTGATAGTAAGCCAGAAAGAATTATTGCAAGCGGGCACTCAGTGATTGAGCTATAAAGGCCAATATATGGGTAATGACTTTTGGACCCCCTGTATGCATAAATTTTATGTAGCGCACAGTAGCGCATCTCGCCGATCTAGCGACATAATGTCGCTGTGAGAAGCCTCATTAAGTGCGCGGCGCGGCACAGTAATGCGCTACAAGCAATCATCAGTGTCAGAATAACTTACTATTACTAAATCCATATTTTCCATCCAAGCTCCTTCATAAATTAACTAAACTAATTAAAAACTTTTATTTTATTTTGCTTTTGTTCTCGTTTTTCGTTTCATTTTGTTGATTGCGTTTGCATTGCTCTAACCAAAGCCCTCTCGCTTGCAGTAGCGCGCGATCGTGAAACAAGCGCGTCACGCAGTACGTGTATACACATGGCTATACACTAACTTCAAGTTTGTAGAATCGATGTTTTTCTTAGAGCACTCTTGAAACTGGATTTATCCAAACAAACATCATGTATATAAATATATTTATATTATGTTACCTGGAGACCCCAGACTTAACGGGTGATGTACTCGTAAATATCTGTTCCATATATGCAGGAACGTCGACTAGTCCAACTCGGCGCGCGTCCTGGTATAGTTAATTGTAAACCTACAACCCCAGACTAGATATTATGTTCATAAAATAGAGATTTGGCAGAATTACAGCGCTGAGCGCCGTCTAGTAAGGAAATTGCTCGCTACTCTCACGTAAACGTATATGCTCTTAATTTAATATAATGCAAATGCGAGAATATAATGTTCTTAATATAATGCGAGAAGCTCTAAAAGAGCGTTGACCATTGTTAATGATTTGGCCCGGCGCGCGCACTGGCCCGGCGTAGCACTTGCCAGAAATGTAGACGAGTAACATCCGTCAAAAAGAGCGCCGCGTATTTTGACGGATGTTATACTCCATACTCGTCTAAATTTCTTCGAAAAAGCGCGCCGCTTTCTTCTCGAAAGCGGCAAGTGCTACGAAGTAGTACGCGCCGGGCCAGACCATTAACAATGGTCAACGCGTATAATTGCGATTGGCGTACCAGGTATAAAATTAAAGATAGTGTGATTTATAAATATATTTATGATCAGGATGATCATGATTAATTACTCTACACTCGACTGATAAGTGATTTTTTTCCAATCCAGTTTCTAGCTGGCCCTGAACGACTATTCAAAATCATAATATATCCTTTTGTAGCGCGATGCACTACTGGGCCGGCTGCGCATCATGATCAAATAATTCTTTTCACATCTTAATTGATCTTCGGTAAATCGGCAAAATGCAATGTAGGTTTATAACCTACCAGAAGCGCAGAACGCGCGCCGAGTTGGACTCGTCGACAATTGAAAAAAATATTTTACGAGTATAACCTGTTAACAAAATTCTCTATTGGGCCTTTCCGAGCTGCGAAGGATTGACATCGTGAATCAACTTAATTTAACTCTTTACACTTTAATCTGATTCCAAACCTAACGATCGCAATTAGATTTTGACCGTTCTGTGTACGTACATGCTTATACGTTTTTGTTTTATGAGTAAGCTGTCATGTGGGATTGTAAAAATAAGCTACACAATCCGTCAGCAATTTCTTTCGCTACGATGAGGTCGTTGATTTATGATTTGTAGACTTAGAGTGTAGCTGTATGAATATGATAGCTAGGACTGCAGTTGGTATCGTCTGTATGTCGTCAATAAATAACTAGCATGACACTACTACACTATACAGTGCATATTGGCTCTAAGGCTCTTTAATCAATCATTGACAAGGACAAATGTATATTGTGTTGCGTTAAAAATTGACTCACGATTTCAATCCTTCGCATCTCGTCGATCTGTGGTTGCAAGAACAAAAAAGCTAGATGCGCGGCGCAGCCCAGTAGTGCATCGTGTATTCACATAGCCATATGTGTATACGCGTACTGAGTGACTTGTAGCGCGATGCGTTACTGTGCCGCGCCGCGCACTCAATGAGGCTTCTCACAGCGAGATGCGCTACTGTGCCGCGCCGAGCTGCCATGATTTGACATCGTCAATTAATGCGTGACGCACTATTGCAAGCGAGAGGGCTCTGGTTAGAGCAACATCGTGTACAACGTTAAAAGTATTTCTACGAGTCACGAGTACACGGATCATGTTTACTGGGCGGCGCTCAGCCTGTCATTCCGCCAAATCTTTATTGAACATAATAGCCTGGGGTCCCCAGGTAAGGATCATGTATCATTGCATAATTCGACTTTCGCCCTGATACTAAATGAAATAACAATGAATGTTGCAATATACGTGATACAATTATCCAGTATTGCTCTAATTTCAGTGCAAAACACAAAAGCATATGCTGAAACCCTAACCCTAACTAAAAATTCGACCAACTTCCTTATATGGTCATATCACGTGATCAAGACAGTTTTTCGCCAATATCTCGGCAGGGGAGCATTTTAACCCTATGTCATGGGATGTGATTCTGAATCAGCGTCCGAAAATACATCGATTCAAGTTGATTCACGATGTCAATCCTTCGCATCTCGCCGATCTGGTTGCGAGAAGCATTATTTGATGCGCGCGCGACCGGACCCAGTAGTGCATCGCGCTACAACGATTCAAGCTGATTTCAACTGTCGGGGGCCCTTTTAGAACAATCTTGAAGATCGACTATAGAGTGATTTAGCACGCTCGGATTAGGTTATGGGTTAGGGTTAAGGTTTTGACGGGTGTTACTCGTCTAAATTTCTTCGAAGTAGCGCGCGCCGCTTTCTTCTCGAAATGTTATGGCCCGATGGCAAGTGCTACGAAGTTTCACATAGCCATGTGTCGACTACGCGTACTGCGTGACGCGCTTGCTACTGCTTGCTACTGCTTGCTACTGCAAGCGAGAGGGCTCTGGTTAGAGCAACTACGAAGTAGCGCGCGCCGGGCCTGATCATTAACAATGGTCAAGTTAGGGTTGGGATCAGATAAGAGGGTTAAGGTTTCGAATAGTCGTCCAGGACC